GCAGCGTAGAAGCCCAGTAGCCTGACACATGGGAGTTTCCGAAAATAGGGGACCCTAATATAGTACCCTAAATAGTAGGATCCTATTATAAGGACCCAAAAATAAGGTACCCCGAATTTTCGGAAACTCCCACATGAAGCAACAGACATATGTGAGGACAGTATCTGGTTCAGGGGCTTGGGAGAATCCTTCGATTCAGTTCCCTAGATGTTCACTGAAAAAGGAGCAGTACGTCTCCCCGTCCCTGGAAACTCGGGCAGGTTTATTCTGTCCTATCGACCTTATCCCAACACATGGTATACACAGTGAATGCAGAACCCGGCTTTCCTGACAAACGGATCCTTAGTCGATATGAATTGCGGTATGTTGTTAGGGTACAGTGCTCCCTGTGAGTCGAGCCGAGCCCTCTTCTATAAACGGCCCCAGCCCTAGACTGCTAAAGCCGCTAAAGCTTGACTCAGCTTGACGCTGTCAGGAGCGATGGAGCATCTGTCCCAAGAGCCCGGGATCTGTCTTAGAGGGCTCAAGGATTTGATGGTTTGGGGTTTGACATGTATGTATCGGGTTTAAGATTCACGGTGTGGGCTTGAGGAGGTTCCAGCTTTTCTGACATGCTGAGCCAGAAGCCGTCAGGTATCTAATTGATGCTGCTTCTTGGGAATTTAGGGAAGGAATGATCAGCCGAAACCGTTTAACCTTGGGGCCATAGATCCTGATTAATCTCTGAACCCACAACCTCAAACCTGAATCGCTTTAGGCTAGACTCTGCTGCGATAGATCAAGAAAACCCGACAGCCGAGGAATACTTCTTAAGCCACAGAAGGTCCCGAACCCCTTGATCCAAAAAGTCCAGAAGATTCTTCAGCAGAAACGCGTAGGCACGGTATCGCGCTTGTACGTTTCGTGAAAATTGCTTCTTACGGTTCCTTCGTAACTATAGCCTAATAGAAAAAACCCCAAAACCACCATTCTGCTTTTTAAGACCCTTACATTAACAGAGCCTCGCGTGCTCCATAGCCCCTAGCCACGAATGAGCTCCGGAAGCTGTATGATCTACTTGTCCCCTGAAATCCTGAAACCTTCTCAACTCCGACGACCGAAACGCAAAACTTTGATCCTACTGAAGTCCTAGTCGTCCCACTGTAAACACCCCTGCCAAGAGAGTCCGATACCCCACAATCAAGCTATGCCTCAGGGGGTATTCCTCATTGGAGAAGTATTGCATTGGGGCCGCTGAGAACTTGAATTTACAAGCCCGAAGCTGAAAGCTGAAGCATAAATCCCTGAACCCCAACCTCAAGCAGTGTTGGGCTCTCGGGGTACATGCTTGCCCTTCTAGAACCCTTACAGACCTATTTAAGGATCCCTTGAAGGAGCCCCTGTTAAGGAACCTTACTTGCTACTTAAAGGATCATGGGACTTAGTAACTAGAGTTATATTTATTTCTAAGGTAACTATACCTATATGTAATTGCGTCTAACCCATAGCCATACTTACTATACAAGTCCCATGATCCTCCAAGTGTAAGGATGCAGTCCGCACCTTTCTCAACCTGCGCCTGGCGCACCTTGGCAGTCAGCGACGGTTTCCTTGCAAGAAAACCCTTAGACTCCAAACGACCCCAAAGTAGGTACCACTTACCCTAAGGCTCCGAAAGGGGTCATGGGCCTTCTGGGGGAGGGGTTCGGGCTTTGGGGGCTAAGGTTTGGGATCTGGCTACGAGGGTCCAGGAGCCTTAGGGTAAACTCCAAATGGCACAAAGTAGGTACCACTTACCCTGGGGATCAAAATAGCCCAAAAGCCTCTTACAGTATGGTTTTTGAGCCTAAAAGCCTTAATATATGAGTCCTTAGATCCCTAGGGTTAAAGACTTTAGAGGCCAAAAGTAGGGAAACTTTTGTATACGTGGAGTTTCAAGAAAGTGCGGGAAGGTGTCAGACCTGAGTTTCGTGTTGAACATACCTGGACCCTAAGGAACCTACCTTTTTAGGGTTCCCTAATATGATTTCTTTATATAGGTCCTTAAAAAGGTAGGTTACGTGGGGTACTGGTGATCATAGAAATCCTGCATTTAGGACTCTAAACTATGGTATATTCCTTGCAATGGGTAATGCAGGATTTTGTCCATCAGCAGTAGTCATAACATCCCCTGGAAGTCCCAATGTGTAAGTATAGTATATTTGGAGGGGCAGGGGACGTAGTGAGTAGGTTATATAAGTAGAGTTAGAAGGATCCTAAGTGGAGTTGCCCCAATTATGACCCTACTTATAACCTATAACCCTACTTACTAAGTCCCTAAGCCTGTTCCCTAGTCGCCCATCTCAGATAAAGCCAGGACACTCTCCCCACCTTCTCGAAGGTTGTGCACCCACCTCTGAACGGCCTTGCCTACTGCCAACATGAGGGTGGTTGTCAAAATTAGGGTCTCGTATTGGGTACCCTACATAATAGGTGCCGTATTATAATAATGAACCGAAAAGGGACCCTAATTTGGACAACCACCCATGAAGACTTCATGAAGCGCATACGATTTGCGGCGCAAGGCTGCAACAATCGATTCCATCGGAGATCTTGGAGTAGCAAAAGCATTTGCAAAAGCAGCTTCGGCCGGATTCGCCGGCGGTTGGCGAAGTGATTTAGGTTGTGGGGTTTACATCAGAGGGTTTAGGGGCTCCGTGTTTATGTAGGGTGTAGGGTTTAGGGTGTTAGGGTTATATAACGGCTTAGGACAAATATGAGGCTCGATGCACTTCACAAATCTTCCATTTGGGGTTGATTGAGCTTGACCCTGTCATGTTAAGTGGCTTGCTTTGCCCCCCGTGAACCCCCAGGCCCTAAACCCTCCACCAAAGTTCCGAGCACTGTTAGAGGTACTTTTGGGCCAACGTAAATATTCGTATATGGCTACATGGACACGTAGGGTATGCCCCTAAACTTATATCCTACACTGCAAGCCCATATCCTTCCCAGAGGCTCCTCATTCACTACCAGTATGGAGTCATATCCCAACAGACCATCCTAATTATGATTTAGGGACCTATTTCCACAACGGTAGTATGTGAGGAGGCTCTATCCTTCATTCTGTTTCGTCTTCGCGCAAACTCCGCGTCCCAGCCCTAAGAAAGGCAGCTGGATGGCTTCTCGTCATCGGATCTGACCGAGCCAGAGCTCATGGAGGTGTGGTTCAGGACTATTTAAATACGTACCAACTGTTTTCGGGGTTCCTTTTTGAGTTTAGGATAGCATAGTCAGGGTTAAGATAAGGGATCTATAGGGGTGCAATAAAAATTACCAATACTAAGAGAACTGATTTAACCCTAAACCATACACAATCCCAGAACACACCCTGGGCTTCGGAGTAACATACTTTAATACCTTTATGGGAACATGATACTTAAAGGAGACGATTATGAAATGCAAGTCTCTGAATTTTTCCCCCGGTTACTTCAAAGCCCAGCACCCAACAAGACAAAGCCGTGCACCCTGCATCTAGCGAGGCTTCCGGATTGCAGTTCGGAGGACTCAAAAGGTGACATTGAAGGCAGGTACTAAAGGGGCCTAAATACTGCTGATGGACAAAATCCTGCATTACCCATTATAAGGAATATGCCATAGTTTAGAGTCCTAAGGGTCATGCAGGATTTTGTCCATCAGCAGTAGTTACCAATACTGTTGGGGGGGGATCCTTATTTTTAGTTATAGTATAATGGGCCGCAAAAGCCCTGTTCTAATCATTGAAACCCCTATTTGCGATTGCCCCACGTAGCTTCCTCCCACCCTTGGAGTCCTTCGAACAGTGTTCCCAAACCGTCAAACATGTAAGCTCTCAGCTCTAATTCCTGAACCCTGAACCCTAAAACCTGAACCCTAAAACCTGAATCCTATACCCTGAACCCTAAATTGCTGGACCTCTGCGGAAAAAGGCCCCATTGCACTTTAAAAAAAAAAAAGAACCCTAAATTACTAAACCCCAAACCCTAAGCCCTCAGGCCTAAAGCTTATAGGGTGTTCCCCAGCCCTCTTGCAACGGCCAGGCGACCGCTTGGTTAGAGGACCAGGAGGACGGGTCCTTGCACTTGGGGGCTCCAACTATAAGGCTTTCGGGGTTTAGAGTGTTGGGTTTTAGGGTTGAATGGTTTGGGGTTTGGGGATTTTGGGGTTGAGGGTTTTGGGGTTTTCGGGGTTTAGGGTTTTGGGCCTAGTGGGTACAGGATCCTTTCGGGTTTGGGGTTTAGGGCATAGAAAGTAGGATTGTGATTAGGGTTTAGGGTTTGGGGCCTAGGATTGGGGGCTTGGTGCTTGACAGTTTGGGTGTTTCGGGCCTTCAGGCTTCAAGGCTTGGGGAGTTTGGGCTTGGGCCCCGAATCCTACTTTCTGATGACCTCTTATATATATATATATGTATATATATATACATATATATATATATATATATATATACATTTATTTATTTATATCGACCCATTCGGAGAGCTGAAAAGTTTAAATGGCTTGCGGTTCAGGCAGGGCTTACAGGGGCTTGTCGCTTCCTTTGTCGAATCAGGCTGCTTTGTTTGGGTCTCACCTGCAGGTCTCCACTGCGAAACGCATCGTCATGAAGGGTTCCATGTGTGTTTTTTCACGGCTTGAGGGTTGAAAGGTTTCGTGTTTCGTTTGGTTAGTGGCTTCATGACATTTTGGTCCGCTGACGGTCTAGTAACTCTAGTCAAATGATTTCAGTCAAAGTCGTCGCAAGTCCAACGGAATTGAAAGACAAAGAGCGGGAGCATGGCACCAATGGCAAAACCCCAAACCTTAACCTGTATAAAGACGAGTGATGTATCTCTTGGTCTAGGCCAGGCCCTTGACGAACCTTAGAAACCCTCCAAAGCTCGTATATAAAGTAACCCTAAAAAAGATGCCTCAAAGGTTTACCCTGAATCCTTAAGCCACTTAAGACCCTCGTCCTTAAATCCTGTACCAAACAAAACCTGGCACTTAAGCCGCGCCAGGTGAAGACCATGTTCGCCTGGATGGAGCCAAATGGCGACACGAAGCAACTCGTACAGTTCACCTCCAGGCCCGTCGGGCTTTTGCGTTTAGGATTTTGGGGTGGAGGGCTTTTAGGGTTTAAGTGTTTGGGGCTTTTATGGTTTGTGGGTGTTATTAAGGCCTTTATCAGGGTCTAATTCACGGGTGTCATGGGATCCCTGAAGGGCTGTCAGGCTTCCTTCAGGGCGTTGCACATTTATGCGGGTTTTGCAGTTCACTTCCAGGACCTGTTGAGTTCGGTAGGGCTTTGATCAGGGTTTAAAGGGCTTTAGGGGCTCCCTGAAGGGTTCACTCCCAGGAGAGCCGGTTTTGGGGTGTAGGAGTAGGATTTCGGCTTGTAGGGTGTAGGGTTCAGGCTTTAGGGTTTCATTGCTATTATGGAACGATCAGGAAGGTCGCAGCAGCCCGAACTGAAGCATTCGACATGTGTAGAAACCAGAGGTTAGAAGGTTCGAAGTAGGGCGACCTGGTAATACCTTAACCCTGAATAGCCTACCTTTTTCGGGTTCCTTGTGATGATTTCCTTACATAAATCCTTTAAAAAGTAGGTTATTCCGGGTTAGGGTAGAATATAGAATACCCAGGACCCGTCTAATCTGCAAATAGAACGGTTACAACCCAGATCGGAATATTCCAAACCTTAGACCTACTACACGAGAAGATACAAAGCCCTAGCTTCAAACCCTAGACTTAGGAGCATCAAGGGACCTAGTAGGTATGCTTACAAGTACCTTATGTTGGGGTTATAAGTTTCTATACGTATGGCTTCCCTGACAGTAACCCTAGATACTACTAAGTCCCAGACCTTCATGCCCCATGTACCCATATAGTATATACTGAAGCCTCAAAGTACCCATATAGGGACCCCCTTTAAGGCCTAAGTATCTACTATAAAGCATGGAGCCTTTGGGAGATTCCTTTTAGTGCTGGTCCTGACGGCACCAGGAGCGCCGAGGGCGAGGCTGCGTCGTCTGCCGAAGCGCGGCTGCCGGCGCCTATCCGGTCAGGACAGGCCTCACCTAAACCCCACGGAGCCTACCTTTTCAGGGTTCTAATCAAGACTGTCCTATAAGGTCTTGAGGGGATTTCCAATGGGTGTTTGTGGGGCTTGGGGCACAAGGATTCAGGGTCCGGCGCTTCTTGCTTTTCGAAGTTCGTGTAATTACACCCCAAGCCCTATGATGAACCTAGAACCTTACACTAAGCCGCCAAAAATACACCCTAAACCCTAAACCCCTGTATCCTAAATCTCAAAATCACCTAGGGGCCGTAAGATTATAGACCCCGCAATTGAGTCCTTCCAACGGAAGCTTTCAGCGTCATTATAGTATACCTTATAAGTCAAAAGGAAAAAGTCCCCTTTTAAAGGAGCCTTTAAAGGAAGGTTTATTTTATCCTATACCCTAAGACTCCAAGTATACAAATGCTACCTACTTTGGGCTACGGTACCTACTTTGGGCTATTTGGAGCCTTAGGGAGACTAGGATGCCCAGTAGTACCCTTATTCCCTTTTTGTAGTCCTAGGTTCCTTATAAAGTTACCCAATACCAAAAAGAGAGACCTGTTTATTCTTAGGTTACTGGGTATCCTAGGATATATAGTCGCCCCAGCAGGAGCCGTGAAGGAGTTCGTCTACTTCTTCAAGCGGGATCCCAGCCAGATCACCTCCTCGACCCTGCCTTTCGGTCTCGCAAAGGGCGTCGGGAAGGAGGATTTAGGGATTAGGGTTCAGGGTTTAGGGATTAGGGTTTAGGGTTTACGGATTAGGGATTAGGGTTTAGGGTTTAGGGTTTATGGTTTAGAGTTGAGGGTTTAGGGTTTATGGTTGTAGGGTTTAGGGTCTGTTCTTGATAGAGGGTACTGGTATAGGGTTTTAAGGTTTTCAAGGTCCTTGTAGGATTCTTCGAAGACTCACCGGTCTTCGGCAAGACTTTCTTTGACAAGGGCTCTGATGTCTGTATGTGATGAGAAGGGTATCTATAATGCGTTATTTAGTTTTGTTACAGGCTTCGAAGAGTTTTATAATAGGGTTCGTACAGTGGTTAAAACGGTAAGGGTGTCTAGGGTTGTAAGTTGCAACGGCTTCATGGTGTTGTTTCAGAGCTTTACAAGGATCCCGTCCTCGATGCTGACTCTCGAGCTCGGTTGAGGGCTTTCGGGTTGTTCACGAGCTTCGCAGCTAGCACTCATCGGGTATTCAGACCAGGTCTTCGGGTTCATGGGTTTTGTACATAAGTTGTCGCGCTTCTGGGGCGAAAGGCGTGTCGGGGATGAGGCTTCAGGGGAGTAGGCTGCAGGAGATGCCAGACGTCCGTGTGACATTCCCCAAGCTTTCTGACCTCACGCAGTAAACCCGCACCCCCAAGACAGACACAGCATAGATGCTTAGCCCTAAGTTTCCAAGCCCTACCATGCTATACTCACCGCATGGCCGAGGAATGAGCAGATCCTCTTTGGATGCAACCGAGGTGCCAAACAATACATCCTAACGTGGGCAAGTGCTGGGACTTCGAAGTGTCAGGGTGCTTCCACCTGGGTGGTTGTCAAGATCATGGTCCCTTTTTGGGTCCTTATTATAATACGGCACTTTATCTTCAGGGTGCCCAAAAACCACCCACTTTTCTGAAGATACAGTGACCCTGAACCGTTAAGGTGCTTTTTCTGAAGATGCGAGGCGCGAGTAGATAGTTCAGCGCCCTCGAGTCCTCCAGCTTGGACACTCACCCCAGGGGTCCAAGTAGACCCCAAAGTCCTAAAATCGGGAGTACTCGAACCCTTAGGGTCAGTGCTACTAAAACTTTAACCCAGCCCAAGGCCAACGCAAGGCGATTACTCTGCATACTTGTGGGGTCCGGGTACAGACCGCTCAGGTCTGCTTAGAGATGAGCTCTCCGTGTTTCAGAGTTTATTTCCAGGACGGCGGGTTTAGGGTTTATAGTCCAAGGTGTGGGGTTTTGGCTAAACCCCACGTGACCAGGTGGTCAGCGATGTGCAGCACCACTTGCTAGGCTTTTAACCCGAACTAGCAGACTACCAGCAGAGCCCCTCTGCAGTCTTCTCTCAGGGGACTCGACATTCAGCACAAGAAAAACCCTCAACCTTTAAACATTTTTAGAATGTGCAGCCTGCATCGTGATGCGACCCAAGACCGAAACACCCTACTTCAAGGATCATGGGACTTAGTAACTGGGGTTATTACTAGGAATACTTATACTTACTTATAACCCCAATTAAGGTACAAACAACCATACTTACTAAGTCCCATGATCCTCCAAGTAAACGGCTATAGCTCCCTTCTACAACCCTGGCGGCCCTAGCTCACGTAAGCTCTTAGAAATCCGTAGAAACTAAACACCCAGAGAGCCCAATACCCCTTAATTAAGGAACATGGCTTATATTATGTAGAGCTTCATATTATGATTTAAGCTAGATTCCTTAGTTCAGGGGTATTGGGCTCAGGCTTCCACTAGCCCACGGTCCACAGGCCCTCTGTTGGACTCGCTGCTCAATCAGATGAACAACATCTACGTCCCAGCTTCTTGATGAAAGGGTTTGGAAGTTTGGATATTGCCAAAAATCAAGATGTACTAGGGGCTTGAAAGTAGCTACTGACGGTTGATCAGAGTTGGCTCCGGTTGTGCAGTGGCACAGGGTTCAAGATTAAGAGTCCCGAGCTTCGGAGCTTTTCGGGAAAAGAGAGACCCAAAGGGTCCAAAGTACCTATATAGTAGAATGTAGGGTTTCTATATTAGGAATTACTATTACGATTTGGGGAAGTATCCCCCATCACAGTACATAGGACCCTTTGGGAGAGAGTAGAGTCGAAAGCAAGTGCGGCCACGGATATGTCCAGCGTGAAATGTTGCAGCACGTAACCCTAAACCCTAAACCCCTAAACCCTAAACCCCTAAACCCTAAACCCCTAAACCCTAAACTTCTAAACCCTAAACCCTAAACCCTAAACTAACTGCCTGACCGGTAAACCAAGCATTTAGAGTCTAGGTTGTTGCTTCAAGGGCGACGGCGAAGGTTCATGATTTGGGCTATAAAGCTTAATTGCGCTTATGCAAATTTGGAAGTTAGGATTGGGCGCTGTCTAATTTTTTATACCCGAAGGTGAGATTATGCGCTTCCGGTGCTGTGACAGTGATTAGGGTTTCAGTGGCACTGAAAACCCTCGACCCCAAGCCCACCTTATTGTTCCGTGCACCTGTATATCATACACTTGAATTTCAAAGTACCTCTGTAGGGTTTATATCCAAGATCTATAGATCGATCCTTTTGTATAGCTAACTTTTGGTGCAAGGCCTTGGACCCCAAACCTTAAACTTAACCCTACCCCTCCAAAACGTGACGACATTTTTTCCGAGAGGAGCCTTGTATCCAAGGGTAAAAGGAGGGACCCTTAATAAGGACCCCTAGGTATATACCCTTAATATAGCTACTATATACCCATTCCACAGCCCATTCCAGGGTAGGGGTCCCTCCTTTTCCCCCTTTGACAGTAAGGTAGCCCTAGCTGAGCACGGATGGCCTGACAACGTGCGCAAGGACTTCGTTTTGTTTGAGGGCTGAGGGCTTGAGGTTTGGGTTTGGAATTGTTATAGGATCCTTAAGGGAGGGTGGTTCAAGGGGGGAGGGTATAAGGAATCCTTAGGGGACTGTAAGGGAACCTAAGGGAGTACTTGGGAGAATTAGGGATCACTAGGCTATATACCCCCCTTGGACCCCCCTCCCTTAAGGATACTACAAGAATTGGGTTTAGGGCTTAATTAAGGCTTCTGGCTTGAGGTTCAGGGATTAGGGTTTGGAATTTGGAGTTGGTTCAAAGGTTAGGGTTGAGGTTTCGCGTACTTGGGGATTCCGTTTTGATGTGTTTGTGTCTTTGAGTTTTGCGGCTGTGTGGTTTGGGGTGTGAGGTTCAGCTTGTTTTCGGTGGACCCCGTGTAAGTCGTCGACAATACATCACTAAGCCAGTCATCGATTTGGGGTATATGATTGATTCCCCTTCACGTCTTTGCGGACTGCTGAAATCGACACTCAGTGATTAATGTTCTCACAAACCCTTCCCTAAACCCTATAAGCCCTAAAGCCCAAGGCCGAACGCGAAGTCAAAGTCCACAGCATCAAACCCGACAACACTCTTGTACATATTGCGATGAAGTACTGGGTCCCGATATTCACAGCAGCCCTGAAATACCGTAAAGCCCTAACCTCTACACATCGTCTGATGCCAAAGCCCTGAACACCAGCAGCCATCATTCCCTAAACCCTAAACCCTAAGCCGTAAACTCCCAAACCACAAACCCTAAACTCCTAAACCTCAAACCCTGAACTCCTAAACCAGACCCCTACGCCCTCATCCGCCCACAGAAAAAGCCACCAGGAGTTCACTTCGCAGGTGCAGAACTTCATGCTCACAGTCACAGCCATGACGCATCAAGGCCGGGAGGCTGAAGGACACCAGGTGTGCAGGGTTTTTGTTTTTTTTTTGTGGGGTGGGGCTTTTAGGATTTAGGGTTTAGGGGTTTAGGGTTTATAAGGGTTTAGGGTTTAGGGTTGAGGGTTTCAGGTCACTTTTGAAACCCTACAGAACCTGCTGAATCGTCAACCTCGAGCACAGAAGGCCGAAGCCTAAACGCTATAAGCCGAAATGAAAATCCCACTGCGACCATGGGGCTTTCGCGTGTATTGTATGCTGAACTCAAGCCAGTTTCCCACAGCTGTAAAGCTCGTCCCCCCTCGGTACAGGCAAGGGCAGCACCGTCCTGTACATCCCACAGGACTGAAGCGGGATTGCTGCCGGGTTATATAATAGCCCTTACATTATTATAGCACTGTGACGCATTGTACATAAAAAGTAGCTGAGGAGTTCGTAAATCCCTTACAGGATCCCTTCTAGAGCCCTCCCTTTCAATTAAGTACCCTAGAACAGCTCCCTAAATCCCTTACAGGAGCCCTTCGAGGAACCCTTATAGAACCGAAACAACGCGCCAGAAGCCCTAATGCCATGAATTCGGAGTTGGCGAAAGCCGGGTCGGGAGGACAACTTCGCCAACTTAGAAGTCGCCTCCAAGGACAAGGATGTTGTTCAGAGCACCACGGCTTTGGGAGAATTAGAGCAGGGTTTAGGGTATGAGCTGAGGGTTGAGGGTTTAGGGCCTTGGGCTCGTTCCTATTAAACTAGGACCCAGAGTAGGCCCTTATTCCCTTTTTCAGGGTTCAGGTTCCCTTATAAGCCCCTTTAAACCAAAAAGGGCACCCTTTTTATTCCTAGGTTACTCTTAGGTCTATTAAAAGGTTTAGGGTGTAGGGTTCCACTTTTGTGCGGAGTCCTTTCCGTTTCCGTAGACACCCGATCCTCTGCTACCCTTAGTTTTATCTCCAGATCTAAGAACTGCAAGTGTTCTCTGATCCCAAACCCAAAGCCCGTCAAGCGCCACAACCCTGCTCCCTAGACCATCTACCAAAAAACCCTCCACCCTAAACCACGAACCATCATAAGCCCCTACACCCTAAACCCTAAACCCTGAATCCCAAACCCTAAACCCCTCCACCATAGAAACCAAAACGCTCACATGAAGCTCCGATCTTCATAAGCCCCTTTCCCCTTAAAGCTCACATGAAGCTGAGATCTCTACACCCTAAACGCTCAGATGAAGCTCAGAACCCCAAAAACCCCTAAACCCCCAAGCCCTAATCCATAAAGCCTAAATCCCCAACCCTCAAGCACTCAGATCGCAGGGCTGAAAGTTGCCCAGCCCCTAAACCCCCAATCATATACCATGAACCCCTCCACCCCGTGCCCCAAAAGCCCACATGAAGCTCAGATGGGAGTTTCCGAAATTTAGGGGTACCTGATTTGGGGGTCCTTATAATGAGGGTCCTACTATTCAGGGTACTATATTAGGGTCCCCTATTTTCGGAAACTCCCAATATGAACCCTTATAGAGCCCTTTAAAGGAACCCTTATGGTACCCTTATAGTAGCCCTTTACAGGAACCCTTAAAGGGTCCCCTATCTTCGGAAACCCCCAGATCTCAGGACTGAAAGTTGCCTTGATCCACTGGCACCGGCAGATCAAGGAAGTGACCACCCAACAAGACTCCGCCAACGAGGGCGCTCCTGGGTTTTTTTTAAGGGTTGAAGGTGTTTTAGGTAAGCGTTGATTTACCGACTCTTTTCAGGATTCTGTAGGGTGAATATGTTTTGTTTGTTGAAGCGCTTCCCCTAGTGTTAGGGCGGTATGTTTACTTTAGAGTCGTGCATGGTGTAGCGTGGGACGTTTAGCACTAGCAGCATGCAGAGATTATAGCTGATGCGCATGGCAAGCGCAATCTGTGATCGTATTCGCAGGACGGGAGTGTTGTCCGAAATGCCGCACTATTTCCTCAAAACCGTCTGAGCCCGAATAGGCTTGTGCCAGCATGCGATTGGCGCTAATGCTTCCCCACGAGAGGCGAGGAGGATACTCCTAAACCCTAAACCATTTTAAACCCAAAGCCTGAAGCCATTGTTGAGCAAAAAGTTAGGCCCCAAAGACGCACGAAAGCTGAGGAAAACAATGGCCCCTTGGATGAGATCGAATTCTGGAATGCACGTGACAAAAACCTTTCCCGGCTTCACGAGCAGTTGCAAAGCAAGAAGCTCCAAGAAATCTTGCGCCTCTGCTGCATTGGCATACGCTAGCTCCGGGTACTTAAATAGTAGGTCACGAACCTGTTCATATATATCCCAGCAACCTATTACAAAGGGACCTGGGGCCCAAATTAATTAAAAGGACTCTTTGCTTGTGAGGTTTTCCTCCTCTTTTGAAAAGAAGCTCCAGTACTAACGTGAGTCTTATCTCCGAGGCATTGAGGTTTGTCTGCTATGATCGTTGCAAGGAACCCCTACTTTTGCTCCCAAGGCAAGTCGTGTCATTGCTGTAGCCCCAGTGTCTACCTGGCCGGAAGCGCTCTGTTGACTGGGTTGAATCCCCCAAACCTGAAACCCACAGGAGAACTGGGAGATTCAGCACTGAAACACTCATAAGATGTCAGTTTAGGGTTTATGGTTCAGGGTTTCAAAGCCCAATAAATGTAAAGGCATCCACTTTGACCTAACAATGTGCAAGGCTGTGGCATCGCGGAACAAGTATCCAGCAGACTCACTACACTACGCCCTAACCCCTGAGCCCCAACACCTTACAAAATAGTAGGTCAGTAGGTCACGACTTCGTTGTTGCAGGGTATGGTTCTTGATACCCAGGTAAACCCTTAACCCCAGCCCCCAAAAACCCCAAAACCGAAACCCTCACACTCCAAACCCCAAACCGTAAACCCGCTAAAACCGAAGTAGAAGCCAGGACTGTGCTGGAGCATGCCAAATCAGGATGGCTGAAGAAGTGCCTCTGGCAGTTTTTGCTTCAGGTTGAAGGCATTTAGGGATTACGGGGTTAAGGGGCTACCCTTTTCGGGCCAGGGAGCTTCGCAACTAGGGCGCTTCGGTTCCCAAACAACCTCAGCCCACATCTGCCAGGTTCCGAGCTTTGGAAGAGGACCCTGGGCTGGTCTCTAAGGGTCCATTTGCCCACTTTGGCTAGGATGCCCAGTAGTACCGTTATTCCCTTTTTGTAGTCCTAGGTTCCTTATAAAGGTACCCAATACCAACAAGGGGGCCCTTTTTATTTCTAGGTTAAAGGGCATCCTAGTTAGGGTTTAAGGTTATTCTCCAAGGGCCCAATTGCCCATATAGAAGGGGCTTCATGAGATGGTTTTGAGGGATTTAGCAAGGGCTGTATTGTGCCGACTATGATTACTTTAAGTTACTGTAGGGTTCAAGAAAGTCCATGTACCCATCATAGTCGTAGAGTATCACAGGGTGCTTTCAAGCACTATATAGGAATCCTTTGAAATATTCGGCAAAGTACGAACTATCTGGGTACATGGACCGCTACATCGTTTCACTTGATTCCAATTTGCTTGATTTTAGTTTTCTGCATGTCCGCCATAGTACCGTCAGTAACTTAAACATCTCTAGACACATGTACTTACTTCATTTCCGTGTGCTTGGCCGTTCGGCTGCAGGATTCTCAAAAGCTTTTGTGTTGATGCAAGTCTTGGAGCCATGTGTCCTAAAGCGCACACCGGCACACCCTGGAACTAAACCGCGAACTAGAACCTGTGACAACAATCCGTCAAACCGTAAACCGTAAAAGTCCAAAACCTTGCCCTCACCAAGTCCTTACAAGCCAGCGGCACAGGACATTAAGTGAACCACAAGCCTTAAACCGTGAGACGAGAATTCATCAAACCCTAAACCCTCACCGAGTCCAAGCCGCACAGGACATCAAGAATGGATCGAGCGAGGCTAAGGAGAATCTGCGCTTTCTGCACCTCTCTTGGCAGTTTGTTGCGTATGTTCGGTCAGTCGGTTGATGGTAATATGAATCCTGCATTTCGAACATACCATAATTCTCAAAGTTTAGGGTCCTTAGGGAACGCAGGATTTACATTATCAACCGTCAGGTTTTGGTTGTTTGTTGGGGTAATGGTTTTCGTGCACGCACCATCTTTCACATAACGGCGCATGTGCTAGCGTGCTTGTGTAAGGTATCGTCGGAACTGTGCTGTAAGGCACATCTCTCTCTCTATATATATATATTTATATATATATTTATGTTTTATTTATGTATGTATGGGTATCGGCGTATATACAGGTGGTGTCTCAGTGTGTATATGTTGTCGCATTCTGCATTCTGTGTAGGCGCTGGGTTGGGAGGGCCTTGGGCGAAAGAGGGGTATTTAGGAGTTGTTGGTTGGCTTTACATTTAAATTATTCGTGGACCAGAATTTCTGTGGCTCGTCTTTGTGTAGGATCTACAAAGGCTAAAAGTCTGTGCAAAAGGTTGGACTCGTGACCTAATTAAGGGCCTCAGATGGAGCGGCCTAAGCAGCTTCTGACTAAGCCTTCGGTCACGCTTGTTCCCTTGGTTGCATTGCAATCTATGCCTCGAAGGTCTTCGGGTTCAGGGTGCTCGAAACCCAGAATCTATCCATCCCTGAATCCCAGTTGCTAAACAGAAAGTCCCAAACCTTGATCTCCGAATTTGTGTTCGAAAGCCTTAAACCACGCAAATCCTAGATACATTCAAAACCTGAACCCTCAATCATAAGTCTTCAACAAGCACGAAATACAGCACCCTTGCAAGACCTCTCGTGGTTTTGCTACTTTTCCGACCTCGCCCAGGAACTTTCTGAAGGAGCCCTGTGAGAAGCTGGCTGCTGCCACCCCTCCAGCAGCCTGGCTTTCAGTGAGCGCTGGCCCTTCGGGTTCAGGGCCCTTGTGGCTTTGCGGGTTCAGGTCAGGGCTAAGAGTTCAAGGCTTGGGGCTTTAGGGTTAAGGTTTTCCTGGTATTTCGGCTTGGTTGCATTCTTCGAGCGTCATCTGCAACCCCCAGACCCCCTCGCCTATACAGTCTTGCTTCTTGATGTGTATCTCCTTCGAGGGTATCATGCACGCTTCTCCGAATTTTGAGACGGGGGCGAATTCTCAGGTAGGCCTAGGGAATCACAAGCTCGAAGAGTAAAACAAGGACGCCTCGCCTCAAGCCCCTAGCTAGTACTAGTCACGGGTCCCATGGCACCCTACACCTCAAATGCCAACAACCCAATGCGCTAATTCACCCGAAACCCTAAGCCTCTTGTAGACCACTAAACCTCCCACCACCAATCCGTTACACTCTAAACCCAAATCCAGGAAATTCCGGCCATCCTGCCTGAGCTTCTGAACTACGTGCGTGCCTTGCCATTTCAGTCAGGGCTTGCCGAGTTGACTGTTATAAGGTGATCCTTTTAACTTTTTGGGTTTGCAGCGTTGCGCAGCTTTTTTTTGACAACAAGGTTTTTATAGGAAATTAGAAGGCTTTGTATGGGGTTTATTGGGCTTTGGGGTTTCAAGGTTGAAGGGCGGGACGATTACTGTCTGCGTTCGGTTCCTCTGGCAGGTACAGCTTCTATGGCGGCCTGGTGACTCATGTGGGAGGTTCAGAAAATAATAGGTCCCCGACTACTGGCCTGCTAACTCCCAACCCCGGCTATCTCCGAAGCCCTAAACGAAGACCTTCATCTCAATATAGATCCCAAAAGCAACCCCGAAGCTCCAAACCATGAACCTGCTGGAGCTGTAGGCTTTGGAGCAAACCAGTTTGGTGCTCGCTTGTGCCCTGAACCCTCCCACACCCTCGGCCACAAGCATGCCACCGAAACTTTCCATATTTCCTGAATCCCAACAGTGAAGAGATCCTAAGGAATGATCTGGTCCATCTCCACCCACTACCAGAAGGAGGATCGAATTTCGGGTCTGCTCAGAAAGATGAGCAACTCGACAGTTTCCGTCCTTTTTGAGTCAGGTGTCATGATGCAGTCTTTCGGGAGATGTACCCCGGGGCCATTACCTCATTACCTAGTACATTCTTGGTCTTGCAGCTACAAGTTTGCAGAAGCATTCGCAAAACATTCCTGTACATGGCCAAGACCGCTGCACGATACAGACAATCAGCTCCCCTGCAATGTCTTTCGGGCGTTTCTAAACCTACCTAAAACACCCAAGGCACCGAGGAAAGTAAATGTAGTGTGTTTTTGTTACGATCATTTCCGTTTTGGAACAGGTACATTGGTTACTCTGTACAGGTAGTGAAACGAGAAGTTGAACTTTCCTGAGCCCAGGCACAGCGAGCTTAGGGCTTTCTTTTGGTCTTATGTGCGGGGAAGCATATGGGGGTTTCCGAAAACAGGGGGTACCGTATTTTGGGGTCCTTATAATACGGATCCTACTATTTAGGGTCTCATATTAGGGTCCCCTATTTTCGGAAACTCCCATATGGCCAACTACAAGACCGAATGAAGGTTCTGCAGGCGGTAAACGAGCACAAAGGTAACGAGATCATCAAGCGCTGCCAAGCGACGATAGACCTTTCCGACATCTTCGCTGGGAAAGTGGAGACGTCGATGGTGAAGCTCCAGCTGCTCGGATCACGGCTTCTATCTTTGAGGCTTTAAGGGTTTAGGGGTTTTGGGGTTTAGGCTTTAGGGTTTAGGGTTTCAGGGTTTAGGGTTTAGGCCTTAAGCTTCTATCTTCGTGAAGTTCGGTTTCGGGTTTGTTGTAGATATAGATTTCGAGGAGCCGCAGCTTACGGACTTCAGAATGGAAGGATCTTTGCAACAGCCGCAGAAGCACAATTGTTCTAAGCATCAAGCATCCTGTCAGAGGGCTTCGTTGCAGTTCTTGAAGGTTTCTGGGATTTTCTGGGAACTTGGATAGTAGGATATGTTATTCGAGCCCTTTTGTGAGTACCTTCCATGAATTGTTTGTCTTATGGTCTAAAGCAAACGGCTTACTAATCCCCGTAAGCCTTCAATCAAGCAAGGATGCCATGTTAGAAGCGGGTTGATGCACCTTCTTGACTGACATCGTTGATGACAACAACTCGAAAGGGCAACATCTTCACGCTGATATGTAGACTTAATGGACCCTTCGAAGGTTCGTGCTGATCTGATGACCTAAGGCAGTGCATCGACTGCGGGCGCGAGTGGAAGAGGGCATATCAGAAGACCGTGTCTTGTCTACCACTCTAGGATGTGCTCGAACCTCGCATTGAGCTGCAGCAGGCTTGGAATGTCTAGCGCACTGCCTTGGAAGGTCTACCGACCTGTGTGAAGGTGCATTGTTGCCGTCGCTATACACACTAGTGTAGCAAGTTTTTAGGGCTGGGCTGCGCAGTTTTCGGTTGGAGTTTCAATGCGCGTGGTCAGTAGACGGAGTTCATTGCTGTTTACCGGAGAGGGATTCTGGTCCTGAGGGCTCTGCTCGTGTTGGCAGTGTTGGCGAGATGTGGCTTCCGGAACGTATTCTCTGTAGCTCCCCATTCCACTTGAATGGTAAGGATCTGTCGTGAAAGGGTCCATGCTTTAGAATTAACAACTCATGTTTACCACTTTACGTCTCGCGAGTTCAGCTGTAACGCGCCCACTTGAAGGGAGGTTTCTTTGGTTTCACCCGGGTTCAAGAGGGAGAAATGTACAGGGCTTGGGGCCATATTGGTAATTTCACATCAGTTTTGAAGCCCTTAAGGCCAAGAAGCCTCTAGGGCTTTTCGGAGTTCTGACAAAGCCACGTCAAAGGAAGCTGGCCTTGGATTTAAACCTGGACCCAGAGAGCCCAATGCCAATACCCCTGAATTAAGGAATATCGCTTAGATCATACTACGAAGCCCTATATAATCTAAGCCATTTCCTTAAATAAGGGGTATTCTTATAGGATACTTAGAAATAATTTTTAGTTTTTGGTTATTATAAACCCTAAGAAACAGCTATAAACAATTACAATTTTTGCCAGGGTTCCAAGTTCAGTATAGTATTGGGCTCTCTGGGGAGGGCTGCTGTGCTTGAGGTGCGGCTCCTGTCCAAGAATACCGACCGACCCTGGACGTTCCCAGCACCTTGCCACAGGGTGGGTTCTTGGGTTTGCTTGCTTCTTGGCGTCAGTCAACCAGTGCTGCCAACATGGAGTTGGGGCACAAGAAGACCATTCCTAGTGCGGGCTGTGAGGCTGCTAATTGTATGGAAACTATTTCCCTATCCCTCCAAGGACCTCATAGTTAGGGCCCTAGACCTCTTAAGGACCCCAAAATAAGGTCCCTGGAGGCATAGGGTTTGGTTTAGAGTCACGTTGCATTTGTTGTGTGCTCGCTGACCTCGTTTTTCCGGTTGGCCGCTCTGCCAACGGAGTGCCATGGCTTGGTTACCCAGAGACTCCCAAACCCCTTAATTAATTAATGCGGAATTATACAGCGAACTATAAGTGAACTTAGTATGTATCGACGGTGGCTCCAACTGGGGCCATTGTAACAGCTTTTCGTATGATCCTTCAAGTATGCCCTGCTTCCCAAACCCTAGGGTCCTAGGTGCCCTAGCTCCTATGCACCCCGATCCCCCCATGCACTCAGATGCTACAAGGCCTAGAGTAGAGCCAACACTGCACGCAAGGAAGGCAGCATCTTTCTGCAGATCGATGCCTTCGTCCAGCGCTGCTGCGATCTCCTTGAAGTGTCGGCTGGTCGCAGAGTTCGGGATCAGGGTGGCTAGCAAGACAGAACATGCAGCCTCGATAAGGATTCAGTAGGCGTTGGGGGGGATGGTGCTGGGTGTTCTTGTCAGCGATGCCTATGCGGAAGAAGTGCTGAGGCTCAGACGATAGCGATGATGATGAGGATACTAGCCATGCTGATGGTGATGGTGAGGATGATGGTGAGAAGTGAGAATTGTGGAGATGACGACCCGATCTTCCGACATGCTTGACTCGAGCCGCCCCGCCAAGGTGCCAGGGGCTGCAGCAGTTCGCATGTCGTCACTTGGCATCTCCTTGAGAGGCCCTAAACCCTAAACCCTAAACCCTAAACCCCTAAACCCTAAACCCCTAAACCCTAAACCCTAAACCCTAAACCCTCGAGAGTTGTAGCCGCCTGGGATTGCTGCATGGCTTATTACTTCTAACTGTAAGGCTTCTGCAACAACTGGGTTGTTATGCATTTGCGAGGCATTTAAGCTCAGGCTTTCTATTTCGTGCTAGGGCTTTCGGGTTTAGGCCTTAGGCCTTCAGAAGAACCTGCAAGGTATGTGAACTGACCCAGCGATACTAACTAAGCCGCCATATACGGATGCCGCTGATGTATAATCATGCTTGCGGTCGCGACTGCCGTGTATTGTTACCAACAACGTCTCGAGATCATTGCCCATTCTTCAGAAGCGTGTTTGATGCGGATTGAGATAGTAGAAACTAGATCTCTTGAGGTTCAATTTGTGAGTCTTAACCTCCCGGTTGAGCTTCTTGGATAGAGCCTTTAAACCCAGAACACTTGAACACCCTCAGTGGCAGTCCAAAGCCCTGCAGCCTTCTTGGCTAAGGATTTCGTGGTCAGGCCATGCCAGCCTTCGGCGGGACAAAAGCAGGCATCTCTGTACAGCCTGTTGCGGAGTGTCAAACATTCAGGGGCGGCGCTAGGGTTTTCCTAGCAAGTTCTTCATCGAGGTTGCGGTGTTTTGCTTCACCAAGGTTTTCTGGATTGGAACTCTACGGGGAATTTGGGACAAGTTTTAGTCTGCCGGGTTTCGGACCAGAGGTAAACTACTGCTTTCGAGATGTTGCCCTTAGACAATAAAATAGAATAGATGCAGCTTGTATCTCCAGCTGCTCTCTCAATGCTCCTAGATCGAAGGTAAAGCAGTGCTGCAAAGCACCTCAATCTGAGCCTGCGCGCGAAGGGTGCCAACATGAGCAGTACCCCAGAGGCTCCATATATAGTACCATTATGGAATTAGGTCCCGAAAGACCATCCATATTGTGGCTTTGGGGATTTAACTCCATACTAGTAGTATATATGGAGCCTCTAGGTACTGGTTGTCATACTCTAGATCCCCAAGGGTCCAAGTACCCAATAATCATATACTCTCCAAAATCCTAACCTACATAACTACTATCCTAAAACCGAGTACCTGATTATTGGGTCCTTTGGACCCTTGGGGGAAGCTTGTTTTGTTCACCCAGTCTTGTCGGGTTTCCGGCGTCGACATGCTAGGAATCAGTTCCCGACCCGACACTCAGAGCTTTGTGCCCCTATCTACACTTACAAAAAACAATATCAATAATAGTAGCAATAATAATGATAATATTAAGAATAATAATAATAATAGTAATAATAATAATAGTAATAACAATAATAATGATTCTAATAATGACTTACCAGACTTCTGAGGCGAGATCAGTAATTCCATCTACGAGATCGAGGACAACTTCCTCAAGAACTTATCGCGCCTTCAGTATCCACATGTAGATTATGACATCCTGGACGTTCGTGCCCCCAAGTGGTCGGGGCCTTACTCGGAGGGGCAGGGGCGGTGGCTGATCTTGCATGCCCTGAACCCTCTAAGCCTGGTGATACAGGGCTATACGCCCAATTCAAACCCATGAAACCCCAAACCTTAAACGGTCAAGCCACGTGGAGCCTCATTGTCCTTGAACTAAAGCCTAACCACTAGCCGAGACCCTTACCAAGAGTCCAAATTGCACAGCTGCAAAGTCCACACCAAGATTCGCTTGAAGCCTTAACAGGTACTCATATACATATTCGTGGACAGTATATTCCTTATACAAACATAATGCCTACTCGTCGTATCCCACCGGCTTTACCGTAGAACCACTACACTGCAAAGGAAGTTGCATGTCCGGCCCAACTTCAGTCACCCCAAAGTTCGGAAGCCTCCATTATACTTGCCTGAATAACACTAGAACTTGGTTGCATACCCGAAGCTCAACAACTGTAGCAAAGCATTTCCGCACATACCCCAAATCTTAGCATGCTCATTAAGGCCCCTATGATAAGCTGGACCCTACTGTATGCCTTCCCTTCTCGCCTACGACTGAATCAGCTGAGGCCCGACCATTTCGGTGCCTTCAAGAACCAGATGAGAGATTTGGAGGCCTCACGCGATTTCAGCAGTTGTAGGTCGTAGATACTGTTCAGGAACTTGTTTTGGATTTGACCAGTTTGCAGCTGCTGTGTGGAATAGGCCTCTAGGCATGCGTTTTGCACTGAACAGTCCAAAGCAGACAGTAGATACCCTGCAGCAAACCATCCTGCCCTTTGTCCGGGTTTTCGTGTTGCTGTTTTTGTTCACCATTGCATCAGAGCTTTTTCAGCGGGTTCATGGAGGTCTTTTTGAGATTTCTCCTACAGATCTTCGGGCTACAAGGGTCATAGGGCTCAAGCTCTTGCGTGCTGTTTCGTCTCCGTCAACTTTCGATGCGGTGTTGCCGTATATCATAGGGATCCTTAGGGGTGTAGGGGGGAGGGGTGTAGGGGACTATATTTCCTTAAATAGGCCTTATTAGTCCTTGTTATGGGCATTAAAGCCCCCTACCCCCCCTCCCCCTACACCCCTAAGGATCCCTATGAGTATAGAACATTGAGTTGCCGGCCATGTTGGCTTCTCCGTGATGCACCGAAATTGGGAGGGGCCCGGGGGCTCAAAATGTCGGCAAGTTTGGATCGCTGAATAGTTGCAGCATCTTCGACGTTAGGTAAAATGTCCATCGTAATTCGGGCGGATGGCATGGCAATTATGCATCCATTGATAGGACATTGCTAGTGTTTTTCGCGAGTAGCGCCGGATCATCTCAAGCCACAAGACAGAGAATCAGTTTGCTCCGAGCTCCATCGGTTGCGCAGGTGATGTACATGAACGTCCCTTGGCCAGGATCTGGTTTGAAAAGGAGCAGCCGGATTTTGAACAAGCAAGCGCTACACAGCTTAAACCCTTCTTACTTTCCTCTTCTTGCTGCCCAAAATCCGAAACCTGCTGTAAACCCTACGTATCCCAACCCTAAAACCTTCAGTTTAAGGTCATTACTCCCATGGGCGGTTGATGAGAGCAGGTGCAAGACACGTGTGCAATGCAGCTCCTGGGCTAAAAGCCCTCGAACCCTTGTGCTTACTCTTACCAGCAGTGGCCGCCGGATGTAGCAAGGGCGGACTTCTCGAATGTGTTCCTGGGAAATTCGCAGTGTGCGTCTAAGCCCCGAAGCCTGACCATAAGAATTGCTCCATAGATGACCCCCCAAGGGTCCAAAGGACCCAATAATCAGGTACTCGGTTTTAGGATAGTAGTTATGTAGGTTAGGATTTTGGAGAGTATCTGATTATTGGGTACTTGGACCCCTGGGGACCATCCGAGGTCATCAACAGCGCTTTCGAAGGTGTGGGCACTGTGCAGTCCCTCGGATGCACACAAACTGCAAGTGCAGTCTGCGATCAGCATGTTCGAATCATGTTTGCGGAATCCATGGCGGTGTGTGAGTCTGATTGCCTCGAAGTGCCCGTGCTTAGCTTCCAGCAGCAGTTTGCATTAGCTCGTACGACGACAAGACAGTCTCGGCAGAGAGTACCTGTTGCATAAATCAGGCCTTCTAGAGCCGAACAAGGTCTGCTTTGCTTGGAGGTTGGCGAGTTCAAGGGTCCGGCATTTACAAATTCGCAATTTAATCCTTTCCAGGCATGGCTGCTCCTTTGCTCGCAAGCTCGTTCGTGCGAGACCCGAACTCATGTTGTGCCGGTGATCAAGGGCCTTGGGGGTCGTGTGCCGTCTTTGCACTTTGCGGAGCCCTGAAGTCAGAGATTGATAAGCTGGATATTGAAGGGCTGCGGATGTCGTCTGTGCAGAAGATGGCCGAGCGTGTGATCAGCCTGAACCTGAAGAACCAGAACGGTCAGGAACTTGTGGTTCATGGTACGACAGTGGATCATCTGGTGGAGAAGTTGAACCAGCGCATGGCGGCGAAAGAGCTAATTTGGGTGACAGACTGTCACAAGCATCTGACTTTTCACATTGTGCTTGAGAGGTTTGACGCCCTGGAAACCTTGGTAAGCTTTTTGCACGACAATATCTGCATGCTATGCAGGTTTCGCAGGCTTTGCCTGGACATGGAAGAGTCGTTGTGGACAACAGTTGGGGCGACTGCAGTCGGAGCATCGAAGTCCCTGGTGACATCTTCGACTTCAGATATGGGTATCGAACAAGCCTGGCAGACATACATGTGCGGGTTGCACCAGACAACGTTTGGCTAAAGGTTCCGCAACTTAGCCGCCCTAAAGAAGTACCCTGCCCGCATTGCTGCCGAGCCAATGTTTTTGCGAATGCTGACTACCACGAAGGATGGATGACTACATGCTGTCACGACTCGTGCATGGGGCAGTTTCAGACAGTGACCTGTCCTCATTGTCAGAGAAGCAATGTTTGGAAGAATGCTGACTACAAGCAAGGATGGAAGTATACCTGCTGCTACGACTCGTGCAAGGGGCAGTTTCAGACAGTAAACTGTCCGCACTGTCAGAAAAGCAACGTTTGGAAGAACGCTGACTACAAGCAGGGTTTGGTTTATACTTGCTCTCACGACTCGTGCAAGAGGCAGTTTCAGACACTGAACTGTCCGCAGTGTCAGAGATGCAGCCATTGGAAGAATGCTGATCATGGGCAAGGATGGGTGTATTCGTGCTGGCACAGCTCGTGCAGGGGTCAGTTTCAGACCGTGTACTGCCCACACTGTCAGAGAAGCAATGTTTTGAAGAATGCTGATTACAAGCAAGCATTGACGCATACATGTGTTCACGACTCGTGCAAGATGCGGTTTCAGACAGTAAACTGTCCACACTGTCAGAGAAGCAATATTTGGAAGAATGCTGACTACAAGCAGGGATTGGTGTATACCTGCTCTCACGACTCGTGCATGGGGCTGTTTCAGACAGTAAGCTGTCCACACTGTCAGAGAAGCAATGTTTGGAAGAATGCTGACTACAAGCAGGGATTGGTGTATACCTGCTCTCACGACTCGTGCATGGGGCTGTTTCAGACAGTAAACTGTCCACACTGTCAGAGAAGCAATGTTTGGAAGAATGCTGACTACAAGCAGGGATTGGTGTATACCTGCTCTCACGACTCGTGCATGGGGCTGTTTCAGACAGTGACCTGTCCCCATTGTCAAAGAAGCAATGTTTGGAAGAATGCTGACTACAAGCAAGGATTGAAGTATACCTGCTGCTACGACTCGTGCAAGGGGCAGTTTCAGACAGTAAACTGTCCGCACTGTCAGAAAAGCAATGTTTGGAAGAACGCTGACTACAAGCAGGGTTTGGTGTTTACTTGCTCTCACGACTCGTGCAAGAGGCAGTTTCAGACACTGAACTGTCCGCAGTGTCAGAGATGCAGCCATCGGAAGATTGCTGGTCATGGGCAACGACGATGGGTGTTTTCCTGCTGGGACGACTCGTGCAAGGGGCAGTTTCTGACCGTGTACTGCCCGCGCTGTCAGAGAAGCAATGTTTGGAAGAATGCTGGTTACAAGCAAGGCAAGGATTGACGCATACATGTGTTCACGACTTGTGCTAGATGCAGTTTCCGACAGTGAAATGTTCGCACTGTCAGAGAAGCAACATTTGGAATGATTCTGTCTACAAGCAGGGACTCACGTGTAGATGTGTTCGCGACTCGTTTCAGACAGTGAACTGCGCTGTCAGTGATGCAACATTTGGAATGCTGCCTGTGCTGGCTTGCAATGCAGTCTTGTTGCCATTGTTGTCAAGCTAGCTAGAGTCGTCTTCTCGTTCCGAGGTGTATGAAGATGGTTTTGGCTTTGATGCGATGTTGCGGGTATCCATGGCTGGCAACTCCAAACTAGCTTGCGTTGTTCGGTGACATCATTCACGAATACAAGTGGGGTGTGTGTGCAGGTTGCGCGACTCCAGAGCATGTATGTCGTGCACGGTACTGCAGGCTTACCAGAAATACAAGTCGAGTATTGCGTCAGGAATGTCGAGACTCGAGACTGGTTCTCAGGCCCAAGTAAGTCACTATCTGAGCTGCCACGCGGGTCGCCCATGCTTCTCACGACAAACTGTGGTTCGACCAGTCGTGTCGCTGCATCACTACCATGCTGACTCGATCTGACTCGTTCGTTTCCCATACCAACAGCGTCCCCAGTCCGTGGGCGCATGTTTCATTCATGCAGGAGGGCTCCGTGACCAAGAAACATGTGCGCCGAGGACTGCCTGCCAGGTTCTTGACAGCTTCTACCAACTTGCCAAGAGGGAGCGTGGGGAACTCAGTGATTTTGGCCATCGGCCTCCTCCCAACTCGGAGGGGTTTTGGACTTCGCTTGCAGATTGTGCATCCGTAGTGACGCCGTAGTGAGTTCCTGGACCCCCCAACTACTTTACCCTCTATTATACCCCAAATACACACTATAAAGGACCATAAGGGCTCTATTAACGGGCCGGTTCGCTGGTTCAGTTGATTAGACTGTGCGTTGATCCCTTCTTGATTTGTTGCACCACCTACCATAGAGCTGGACCAACATGCTGGGCATTACGGGGGTTCGTTCCGCACAAGATCAGTTGACATGGCACACTGGCTATTCAGCGGGTGCTTCCTTGTTGCTCTTTGCGACATACTTGACGATGACCGCACACAAATATTGCAGTAGGGGAGCAGATTCGCTCTGCACCTGACGGTCTTGTTCTTCGGTCTAGCCTGCTTCAACGCGGTTTTTCAGCCGTGTGAGCCGAGCACTTACAGGTCGTTTAGATCCCGAATCTGCAAACGGATCATGAACCAAGGTACTACACCATAACAGGACCTGCGTCACAGACGGGAGTGCAGGCTAATGCCAAAGATCTCGACCCTTACTGCAAAACGCATTACCCGATTGCCGAAGCATTCAGCGTCAGATTTCTCAAACTCCTCCCCCCAAACCCTGGAACGCGTAATCCATGTTAATGCTAACTGTCAACCGACGCGCTGAGGTGTAAAAGCATTCGTGGAGAAGAAAGGCGAAACTTTGTACAACGTTTTCCTCAATGTGCCTGGGCTTTATGGAGCTTCGGAATCCTTGCCTCGGCTGCCCCATGCTCTAGAAATAAGATGCACCCGGTCACATGTTGTTCTGTTCGGGACTATGCTGTCTCTCAGCCTTGTAGGCAACTCGGACCTGTAGGAATTGGAGTTTGACTCGCATGAAACGCTTCAGGGCAGAACGGAGCCGGTAGTGAGGAGTGAAGTCCAAGTCCAGGAATGTCGGAGATCCATACATACAGCGACTTCCTGGGATCCCTCCCATCAGCCCAAAATAAGTACTAGATACTTAGCCTGGGGCTCAGGAGAGGGTCTTGGACCACCCAAAACGTTTTACATAATTGTTTCTGCTTGTCTGGTCCGAATATGCGTTCTCGGAGGCTGCTCGGTTGTCGGTGTCTGTGTTTTCGTTCTGTAAGTTGTCACGCTGGCAAACTCTAAGCGGACCGAGGAATTGAACCACAACATCAAGAGGGAGTTCGACCAATTCAGGACGCATCTGGCCACTTCCTGCCTGTCGGCATTCGACTTCGCTGTCATTCTTCGGCATGTCGCCAGGGTTGAGGTCACATTGAAAAGAGGACAATGTGGACAGTTTTAGGAGTGTCTTGGGCTTTGTAGCATAGTGTTCAGGGTGTGTGGTGTTGGTTTCTGCAGTATCATCCGCCGGGCATCATAATCACACCAAGCCACATCAAGATTCATAACTCAAGCTTACGACAGCCGATTATACACCTTCTAACTCCTTCCACTCTACGGTTTGAAGAACCAAAGAGCGAACAGTGCATGCCCTGGCAAACCCTGATGGGATTGTCTGACCCAGGCTCTTCCGAATCCGTTTCGTTACAGTTGCATCCCTGTTGCGAACATTAATATGCCCCTGCCCGGCAGCCGCCCCCACTCCAATCCAGCAGACTTTCTCACGCAGGAAGGCGCCTCCTTTGCCGGTGTTGCAGGGCCATCCGAACTTTGCGGGAGCTGCCTGGGAAGCCCAGAAATCAGTGTCGTTTTGCAGTGTTGGGTGCCAGGGCTTGTTTTGTTGAGGCTTGCGATCTCGACACTTCGGTTTTGGGTTTTGGGGGGTCAAACATAGGGGCCTAAGTAATCACCAACACTATTTTGGTGGTTCGATGTTACAATTATTGTGTAATGGGCCCCAGAGCCCTATTCTCATGGATCATTATTATGGACCTTATATTTGGCTGACAGCTGCTGTCACGCAACAGAGACGGAGACGATTGCCGCCTGCTCCTTCAGCTTGCAGCAGCAGGGGTTGGGAAGGCACTGCAGTGGTTCTCAAGGTAGGGCTTTGGGACATTTTATATTTTCCCTTATTGGGCTTAAGAGGATCTTATTTACTAATATTTTTCAAAGGCCTTAAAAGCCCCACCCAGTTCTTGTCGTTCTGACTACAAAGGCCTTCAACCCTCAACCTCTCTAGGCTCCGATCCGGAAGCCAGGGCTCTGCAACTCCCAATCCGAAAGCCGTTGAGCCAGATACTCTCCATAACCAACCGCCGTTAAGAGCTTGATCATCCCTCTTCCTGAGGCCTTGGCAGTTCGAGGGCTCATGCTTCGAATCCAGCAGCAGATGGCATCCAAGCTACAGGAAGTGCTGTTCGCGGTTTAGGCTGAATGGTTTGAGGTTCAGGGCAGATTTCGGTCTTCAAGTGTTTCTTCATGATGCTAAGACCTGAAGGATTGAGCATTTAGGAGGTTCTCGGGCTCAAACTTTCGAGGCTGCCTGCTGCAGCGAGACCTCGTGATTTTCTGTTTTCGGCCTGTCTGATTTTCCACTGCTGTTATGGGCAAGTCGACGGCAACTAGGGTGTACAGAGGTGACGTAGTTGTCCTGTGCAGAGGGTTTAGCCAGTCTACGTAAACAGTCCCAAGTGGATAGGATGCTACCACCTTCGCCATCATGCGATGCCAAGTTGTCCTTGGAGCCTTGGGTCTTACTTTATGATCAGCCTCCGTCTGCTACAGCCCCAATGTAAGCGTTTATTCTGGCAACCACTGCGGATCATGCAAATGAGTATCATCCTCAGCTTGTCGAGATCCGGCACGCCGGTTTAAAGTTGCAGAAACCCCAAAACAGCGCCGAAAGCCTAGGCAGAGTTGGATCAGCTCTGCTACCTGGACTCCTGCCCCTGGGCTCACTCACAAAGATCTTGTAAGACAAAGCTCTAGGGGTCGATATAGCTTTCGTCAATTTTTCAGAGGGGTTCAGGGCTTAGGGTAATGCAGGGCAAGGCCTTCCAAGGGGGTAGTTGAAGGTTCACTGGTTTAGGGTGCGGAGCTCTCGATTATGGCGCTGGGGAGCCTAAAGTTTGGATTCAGGCTGGTTCTCAAAGGTGCAGAAGACATTCCTCTGGTTGATGGAGCAATCTTGGTGCTCAGCCGTTGTGACACGTTGGAGGCCGCGCAGGACCCAAGGAGTTTGAATCCAGGAGCTGAGGAAGTAGCATTTGTTCTGAGGTGTTTCTCGAAGCCCAGAAACCGGCACGATGGTTTAATATACCTACTACATACGTAGGGCTTGGGTATATAAGTAGGGGCTAGGATGCAAGAAGTTTGTAGGGATAGGGTATAGGTTCTAGGAGTTTTCATTACGAGAGGTTGAAGAGTTGATGGGCTCCTGAGGTCGAGAGCAAGACGCCTGCCGCGACCTCTACAGCAACATGCACAGCAACATGGAGGCTGACACGACCTTAGGATTTGAACCCCAAGCCCTTACAGGCCGTAAGGTTCAGCGGAGAAGCATTCAAGAATTACGACAATGTCCGGACCAATATGTATCAAATCTCGGCAATAATGGGGTTCCCGAATACACCGAAAGCTCAGTTCAATTATATAGGTGTCTAAGTGTTATATGCCACAGAGAGACTATGTTCAATTCGAAAGATCTTGGAGGCATGAATCCTCAGGCATGTGGCAGCGAACTTGGAGACACGCAGTTTCAGCCCGTACCTCTGAAGCCCGCCACCCGAGACACCGCCAAGGCTCTAAGCCGTAGCTCACAATATGCAACACGTAAAACACCTCGACGTCCACACCCATACGGCTTACTGACAAGAACACAACCACAATCAAAGACGCATCAACGCAACCTTCAAGCATTCTAAGAGCTCTAAGCAACTAGTGTCGGTCCTAAACCCTACACCTGACACCCAGCAGATGCAACTTGTGTCTGTCAGTCCTTCGTCCTGACGACCTTCCAAGACTGGGTGCAAGAGCTGAAAAGCCGCCAGGCTGATATTTGGGGTTGAAGGCTTCGGTGTTTGTGTTTCGGGCTCGTGGATGTTGCTTGTTTTGGTTTGTAAACCGCTGAACCTAAGGCTCCAATATGCCGGGTTCTTTGGGACCTCGGGTTCGCAAAACCTGGGATGTCTGGTGTTTGTGCCAAGCCTTAACATCGAAGTCCAAACTCCGAAACTGTGAGTTTCAGAAGATGATCAGCCCAAACATATACCCTCCGCCACACCACCGCCGTTCAAAACTGTGTTGAGAAGCGCTTGAACGGTTCGTTCACAACCCCGTGCAAAACCTCATAAACCCTGTTTTCAAATCCTGAAACCGTCCCTAAACCTTCAACGCGAAACGTTGCCCTGCCTTGTTTCTTTGGATCACAAAACCCTAGAAATCGAGGCATGGACGATCAGAACCTCTCCAAGCGGCTCCAGGCAGCCGAGGGGATCGGGATCGAAAGGAGCCCAAATTACTTGAGCAGTGCCTCGGGTTCTCGTGTGAGGGGGTGGCTGTACTGTAGATGTTCATCAGTATGTTTCTTACTATTTAGATGTCTGTTCATTATCTGTTGCAATTCTAGATGGTATAAGTATGAGAACGGTGAAGACGAAGATTGGTTGACATGATGATGATGATGATGATGAGAATGATGATGAACATGATGATGACGATGGTGAAGAAGAAGATGATGGATATTGTTCTTACATACTACTAGTCCGTTCGGAATGTAGACACGCTTCGCAGGAGCTTTGTTTCGGGGATCCTAGTGCGGTGAGGGTAAGAAGTGAAGGCGCTGTCGCGGTTTATGCTGACTGCGAGGCCGACACCCTAAACCCGGAACACTGCAACGGTACACCAACTAGACCCAGCATTCAAACTGAGTACTCAGTGAGCTTGGGGAAAACTGCAGTAGCGCCAAACCCGTTTATTTGAGCCAACCCCTTCAAATATATCAGGAACCGTTGATAGTAACGTATACACCTTAATCAGAGGGCTTCGGAGTTTCTGGCAATCCTGTCCTGTGGAAAGCCTTAAAAACTTGAGTTTTAAACCCTACGAGAAGCTTAAAGCCCAGGACCGCAAAATCAAAACAGCCCTAGACCCCAAAATCCTAAACCTCGTTAACACGCCGCCGGAACGCAGGTGAACCTCCTCGTGAAGTCAGAGGACTCTCGCTGCGAAATTTCTGCACCGTCCCCCTAAAACCGCAAACCTTCGATATTGCCCCAACTGTGACTGTTCCTGTATGGGAGCAGTACCCAACTTAACCCCCCCGAAAGGAAACCAACCTTTACAGATGCCGAGAACGGGCCCCTTCAGGGAGCCGTAAAAAGGGAGCCCGGACAAGTGCTTCAAGTATTGTCAAGTGGGGGTTTCCGACCATTGGGGGTACCTTATTTTGGGGTCCTTATAATAAGGATCCTCCTATTTAGGGTATTATATTATACAGGGTCCCCTATTTTTGGAAACTCGCAAGTATACTATATTTATGACATAAGGACGCCCTACGCGTTGAACCTTAAGCCTATAGATCACCAAGGCCGCTCTAGGTACGTCCTAAGCGCAAGCTCTGCTGGGGAGAGGGAGGGACACCCCCGATCCGTATCGAAGGATGATATTTCCAAGTCTAAACCCCAAGGGTCCAAGTACCCAATAAACATATACTCTCCAAAATCCTAGCCTACATAACTACTATCCTAAAACCGAGTACCTGATTATTATTGGGTCCTTTGGACCCTTGGGGTAAAGGGTACAAGGCCATTGGGGGGTTAATCCCAGGAGACGATCAGCAGCAAGTTCAAGGGCGGCTTACTGGAGTGCAACTTCGACCATGAACTGGTGAAGATGATTCAGGAGGCAGACTTTAGGGTTTAGGGCTGTTGGAACTTAAGGTATAGGGTTCAGGGTTGAGGGTACAGGGTTTAGGGTTCTAGGGTTTTGGGTCGGCAGTGGGAAAAGGGATGCGGCTTCCCCGTCTTTGTCAATGATTACTATAGCATCGGTTGTAACGAGACCCCAAGGGCCCACCGAGGGTTCAGGGTTTGGGGCTGTAGGTTGTCAAGAGACCCACTAACACGGGAGTTAAGGAATACTCCCTAAATTCGATGTAGATTCCTACCTGAAGATTAGGGGATGGAGCGAAAGGGTCGGGGGCGGAGTCCCTAAAGGGTTCCTTCAGGGGTGCTACGGGGGTTCTGCAATGAGGGTCCTTTTGAAGGGAACTCTGAAGTTCGAAGAGTGCCTCAGAGGTTTTTCCGAAGCTAAGCTTTAACGGTTCCTTGAACGGTTCCATTGAGGGGCTGAGTGTTTAGGGCGTTCGAAGGTGCACGTTCGTCGTGAAGGGGCTACTCAACCTGATTATGATCAACTTTGCCTACAGCCCAAACCGACCAAACATACGGTCTGCTTGCCCTTGGCCCGGCAGTGGACAGGTGTACTACTGGGAGAAGATTCAGGGCAGCGGCATCGTCGGATGCTCAGCGAGGGCCATGTGTCCCTGCACTCCGTAGACCCACATTTCTTGGACCAAAAGCAAGAGTTCGAGGGCTTAGGCTCTTTGATCTTACTACATTATCCGGCCCTACTCTAATCATCTCTCATGATTCAGGCTCCGAGATTATCCCCGAAACTTCACCAGAAAGCTTCACCGACACTTGGCCATTGGCTGCTGCAAAGTTGTGTCTCTCTGCGGTATGCCCATTGTCAGATGCTGGCCAGAGCTGTTGAGAAATATGGTCCCAAGCCCTGTATAGATTCTAGAGCGGAGTCCTGAACCCCACCTGGAATTTCGAATCAGAGGTAGTTATATGTCGGGCTTATATGTCGGCTAACTATGGTTAGAAGTTATCGCCTAGATTCTTGCACTTCTAGCCCCACTTGTAACTACCGATGAACCTCCAAGTAAACCCCTTAAGCTGCAGGCATCTTTCCAAAAGGGGCCAAAGTACCTATATGGTAGAATGTAGGGTTTCTATATCAGAAATTACAATTATGATTTAATGGGGAAGTATCCCCCATAACAGAACATAGGACCCTTTCAATTTTGCAACTGACCCAGGTCGTCCCGTATGCTGCGCACGAGCTCGCCGGGCACCGCGACAAGATCCGCGTTCTCCGCGAACACGTGCTGCGGGTGGTGCTGCTCTTAGCCGGCTTGGAGTCTTCAGGTTTCAATACGGTTGATGATATAAATCCTGCACTACCCATAATAGGGAATGCACCATTATTGCCATAGTTTGGGGTCCTTAAGGTAATGCAGGATTTATATCATCAAGTGTATGGTTCCCTCAATTAGGGGCCCAAAAAAGCGCATAAGCATAAGCATTTTATAGTGATATCCCTACCTTATTGAGCTTCATTATGAGGGGGTTATATGCGAGATCCCTATCCTTGTTTTGTGCTTCTTCGGGGCCCTATTTAAGGGTTCCCTGCAGGGTACCATAAGGATTTAGTGTGCAGGCTATAAGGGTCCATGCACCCAAATATTAATGCCGCCTTTGGCCCTAAAGTATCTTTGGTATATAAGATGTGGGCACATGGCCCGTAGGGAAGTTTAAGAATCCCAAAACTAGAATCCTGATCCCAAGCCCAAAAACATAAGCTCTAAAACCCCAAAGACCTAATGCCCTAAAACCTAAAGCCTCGTGCCCTGAACCCAACGACCGTGCGGAAGCTCGACTTTCCCGGACTTGAGCCCCTGAACCACATAATTACACATGGTAGGCTTCTTTTTCTTGTTATAACATGTCAGTGTGTGGTTTACCAAAGGTCAAGTGCCGAAGTAGCTGCTATAGAAGGAGGAATAGACTGCTCTCATCTGCTTGGAAGCGAAATGGCGAACGCCTTGATCTAATAGCAGTCTCAAGCAACTCTCGTGCAACTTCTCTTTGTTGGATCACCTTTTTCGTTACTCCACGTGTGTGAGCCGGACTCGCGTCTCTTCGTCGGCTATTGGTCGGCTGCCGCTCTGATGATGCCTGAAGAAGGCCCGATGTTCGAGCATCGATGGATCAGGGTTCGAGGCAAAGCAGCAAACTCGATTCTAAGTGAATCTCACGACGATGATGTTCTTCAAGCGGGCTACGCAAAAAGCTTTGAAGCAAACCGCAATTTCCGACACCCTCCATTTGTCTCCAAGGTGCGCGATTACAACCAGATCATGTGCGAGCCCTGGGAATCTTTGTTGTGTTTTAGGTATGACACTCAGATCTCAGTTACCCAAAAGGGGCCTAGGTACCTTTTGTGGTAGAATGTAGGGTGTCTACACTAGGTTTTTTGGGGAAGTATCCCACATAACAGTAGCTAGGACCCTTGAGCTCCTTGGCCAGCGAAGTGAATTAGCCTTTCTGTAGGGTTGTAGTGTCAGCTCTAGAGGTTATGGCAGGTTAAGGTATATCTTACGATGACAGGCAGAATACAGGGGCCGACTTTCAGGAATCACCGATCTCCGATTGCAAAGAAGCTTAGGTCACGAGACTTCGGCCCTTGTGGTTCGGGAGCTATGATGTTGGTGTCAGCGTGGCCTGGGTAGATCCATCCACATTGTGCTAGACGTGGGCCTCAACGGGTTTAGAGTTTAGGGTGCTTGGGCTTCGTTCCTTTTTCTGCACCTGCAGCGTTCGCAACCAAGATTTGTGCGACCCTGAGCTGTGCTTTTGACCAAGAAGTTGTTGAAGTGTATGTTTGGGTGTAGTTTCTGTCCAACATCGGACAGGCACTCGCCCTAACAACCCAGATCCCGAAACTCCAAAGCACAAAACCCCAGATTGACTTGGCTATTTAATTGAGGGTCCTCCTTTATTGAAGCTCATCATTCTCGCACATGGCGATAGTGCGACAAGCTGGTTGCGGAGTTTTGCGGTATCCTGTCGCGCAAAGCAAGGTTTGGCAATTCCTGCGACCGTATACTTAAAGGATCATGGGACTTAGTAACTAGGGTTATTGCTAAGGTAACTGTACTTATAACTACTTATAACCCCAATTAAGGTACTTATCACCGTACTTACTAAGTCCCATGATCCTCCAAGTAGAATCAGACGAACGCCGCAAAGAGTCCTGGAAAGTCAGCTGCGCTACTTCGCTATGTCCGAGGTTCCCGAAACTCGAAAACCCTAAATCCTTTCACTTATACAAGCCCCATATCGGAAATCGGAAAGTCTGCAACTCCCCCTTGTTTTCCCCAATTCCTACAATCTAAACCCGAAACCTTATAAAACCCAAAGCCCTAAATCCTAAACCCTACAACTCTAAACACTAAGCACCGAAACCCTAAAATCCTCAAACCCTAAACCCTAAACCCTAAAATCCTTAAATCCTAAAACCCTAAAGCCCTCAAACCCTAAAACCCAAATACCCTAAAGCCCAAAACCCCCGGGGTGGTATCTGGGCAGGTCGGCTTTGCAACCGGAGGAGCGGTTCCTTGGTCCGACATGGGCGTTTCCGAAAATAAGGGACCCTAATATACTACCCTAAATAGTAGGATCCTTATTATAAGGACCCCAAAATACAGTACCCCTAATTTTCGGAAACTCCCACATGGTCCGACTGAGACCCGAGAATGCAACACACTGTTTAGGGTTTTTAGAGTTCGAGATTTAGGGCAGTTTAGGATTTAGGGTTTAAGGTTTAGGGTTGAAGGTTTAGGGTTGAAGGTTTAGAGTTTAGGGTTTAAGGTTTAGAGTTTAGAATTCAAGACTTGCTGTTTCGGGTTTACATAAGGTGTAGGGCTTCTAGGGTCTATTTCAAGGTTTTGGGTTTCATGTAGCACCCTCTTGGGGCTCTTTAAAGGGATCTATAGGGTTTCTGTAAGAGATCTACAAAGAAGGGTTTTAGGGTTTAGGGTTTCGTAATATGGGGTCCTAGCCATAAAGCGAGTTCTCCCAACCAGGTACAGCATTTAGGGATCTAGGTATGTTCCCATGGGCCCAGTACCCCTTCTGGATTTCTGAGGAACCCAAACCCTACACCCTGAACCAAAACCCTGAGCCAAACCCTAGGCCTAAAGCTTAAGCCCCAAAAAGCCCTAACCCCTAAGCCCTTCGCCCCAAACCCTAACCCCAAACCCTAAACGGTGTTTATAAGGCACAATCTGGGAGTAGACAGACCAATTCGCCTGAAGAGGGCCATAAGTTATAACAATGGGGGGTTGGGTTGGGATTTGATATATCAGAGGCCCTAAATCCAGGAGGTCTTTTAGGGTTCAGCGTTAAGGCTGTTAATCAGGGGGTAAACAGTCTTCATCACGAAGTAGGTTCTGCTATAGATTGTCAGAGGAATTTGAACTTATATACCTGGGTTGTTGGTGGTTGTTAGGGGGTTGCTGTTCAGGGCCGTAAACCGGTAACCATACACTACATGTATATAGCATTTAGTATGTAAGCCCTTCTACATGTCTGTAGGAGCCCTACAAACCCTCCTACAGAACCCTTAAGTTAGGAACCCTTTTTGGCGTAATTAGCGATTCAGGATCGACCCCGAGTTTCGGTTCGAAGGCTTAGAGTCAGGAGACCTGCAATGAGGAGGTCGAAAGACGTTGTTGTTATTTTAGTTGCTTTCTTGGGTTTGGGTGTTTAGTTATTAAGGGCTCAAGGGTTTAGGTCGTAACAGTTTGTGGTCTTAGGAAGCCATATCGCGGGAACTGATGATGCCAACACTGCACCTAGATAAGTTCTAGGGTAGCTAATGCCCGCATAATTCTTAATGAGCCGGCACTGGTCTTGTGATCTTCAACGTCTTTCAGGTACAGTAATTACCTATGACCCCAACCTTAGCCACCAACCCTGTTGATTTTATCCCCTTATGCTCCCCACATTTACTTACGCCTCCCCAAGATGCTGTTCAATTCATTAAGGCTCCTCTACTACTAGACCCGGATAGTAACGCTTGTATAACCCGTTTCAGAACCCTGAATTACACTGGGACGTCTCTTCCATCTCCGTCCAAAGTTTGATCGCTTTAAAACAACAGAATCTTGACGCAGCCGATCAGTCGGTTGGTTGGGTTGGGACAGGGAATGCTCCCGGCGTGCAATGCGCGTGATGCGCACTTTCACACGAGCATACTGGCTAGGCACAGGCCCCGAGCGCTCAACGCCTATTTCTCGAGAGGCTTCATACTTGGAGGATCATGGGACTTAGTAACTCGAGTTAATATTAAGGTAACGAAACTTATAGTTACTTATGACCCCAATTTAGGGTGCCATACTTACTAAGTCCCATGATCCTTTAAGTACGGCCAGTGCGAAGCCTCCCCTTGATCGCTTCGACAATGGGGCGGAGGCCGTCCAGCTCTCCTTGGGTACAGACTTGCTGGTGTGATCCTACCTTAGACCCTAAACCCCAGACCCCATAATCTGAAGCAGTAACCTTTCTTGAACCCGTATAGAAGCCCTAGCGATCCCGCCCTTACCCACTAGTTCGTCTGTTTAACTAGCAGTAGAAGTATCCCCTTACGTCCCCTTTAGATCATAATCGGCACACATTCATACACCAAAATAAGTCCTGTGAAGTATGAGCTTAAACACTAAATCGTCTATTCAACCACTTACACCAAGCCCTATAACACCCTTAGCAACTTAAACCCTGAACCCCAAAGCCCTAAACACTAGATCCTGATAGAATCCTGTTTGACATGCTTACAGACCCCAACCCTAAACTCCAAGTCATACGCGAAATAACATCATAACCCTACACGCTAAGGACCCTAAACCCCAACCCCTAAACCTTAAACTCCAAAGCCCTAAACCTTAAACCCTAAGACCCTTACGCCTTAAACCCATAACCCTATAGACTCTAAGGCGTCTCTTCAACCACCACATCCGGACGCTGGATCGCAAGATCGGCCCGGGACTGACGAAGCTTCTTGGCCTGGGACCGGCTTGTACAATATAGGGCCTATATAACCCAGAGGGTCCATATACATTACTATTATGGAAGGAGGTCTCAAAAACCATAGTGGGGATGGTCTTTTGGGACCTAATTCCACAATGGTAGTGTATATGGACCCTCTGGGTAATTTAGGTGCAAGAGATTTTGGAGGTGCGGGGTTTTAGGGATAGACGTCGAGCTTTTGGGATTCGGGGGTACAATGAAGGGTATGAATTTTGGTTTGGGTTTTGACGGGTAATATTAAGTAAGGTGTTCAGAGTTGGAATTCGGTGTGAATGGCATAGGCTCGGATTTTTGGCGCCTGGGGCTTTGAAGTTTAATTTGAGGGACTTCAGGCTGTGATTGCAGAATAGCACCTTTGCAAGAATCTCCAAGCCAGGAACATTGCCAAAGGCTCGTCCACAACGAATCCATAGTCCAGTCTCGCTCAGGATTGATCGAAGCTGTCCCTAAAGACAGAGCACAAACCGTCACAATCCCTGAACCTCAAGCCCCAACATCAGATCCCTAGACTCTGTAAACCCCAATCCCCATAAACCTGAAACCCTAATCCCCAAAAGTTTAAACCCTAATCCCTACAACCGCAAAGCCCCATTCCCTAATCCTTAAACCCCTATCTTGGTCCCCAACCCCGAAAGACCCTAGAACCTTAACCCAACTAGGCTACCTGTTTAAGATGTATATAGCAACATCAAAATTTAGGTTTCTTAGGGTCCTATGTTTTTTAGGGTCAAAAACCCTAAACCCTGAACCCTGAGCACTAAACCCTCACCCCAAGGACCCTCAATCCTAAACCCCAAACCCTAACTCTGAACCCAAAGCAAAGGTTCAACTGGACCTCCGACGGCATCAAGGAGTTCTTCGTGCGAGACAGCTGCAAGGTGCCTCTGACAAACCACAAGACCCGAAAGGGTGTTTAATAGACATAGACAGATTTAGATATCGATATAGATATAGATAGATATTCTATAGTTGTATATTATAGTTGTATGTGTACATATATATATATATATATATAGGGAGAGAGAGAGAGAGAGAGAGAGAGACAGAGAGACAGAGAGACAGAGAGACAGAGAGACAGAGTACATATTGCACGCATGGAGGTTCGATCATTTGCACATGTGTTTATTTGCCAAATATTTTTGTGTCCGCAACAGTAGTGTTTTCCTGGACGCCAATTCGCTTGCAACTTACGGCAACATCACCAAAACGGCATCCGAAGTGGCGGTACAGGCGTACCCTGTGAGACCCTTTCGACGGGCTTACAAACTTTACAGAAGTCTGCGAGCTTTTGAAACCACGACCCCCAAATCCATACATGTACATTTATATTTGTACTTGCTTGTGTCTTGCTGGACTTTATGTGTAGATGTTGTTTGGTTGGTTGACTGTCTGTCTCTCCTAAGCCTTAAATCCTAAACCCCGGTCGAGGAGTGTGCCAAAGTCTACGACTGGGTGAAGCAGTTCAAGCGCAACAATGCGGAGATTTTGCAGGTCGCAAGTTCGTTTAGCTGTGTGTTTGCGCTTCTTGAGACATCGGAATCGATGCTTGAGGTTTCGGGTTTCTGGTTTGGCTATTGGGGATTCAGGACTAGAGTTTGTGGGTGTTGGCATCCGAGGCTTGAGGTGTGGTTGGTTTTGCCTTCAGGGTGTCCGGGTTATGATTTTGAGTTTCGGGACTACTGGACTACTGGAGTTAGAGTATGGGCTTAAGGTATCTACAAGGGGGTCCTTTGAAAGGATTTAGGGTATAGGGTTTAGGGTATAGTGGTTTAGGGTTTGGGGCATACCCAGAGGCTCCATCGTAGTTCCTGTTTGGGCTTACCTTATAGGACTCTTACTATGAACCCCGGAAAGGAACTACTATGGAGCTTATGCGTAAGTTTTCACCAACGCACAAAACAGCATTCCTAGACCTGGGCTATTCAGGAGTTTCAGAACGGAAGGGAGGCCGAAATAGGACCCGTGTTAGAGTTACCCGACATAGGCTTGTACCCTAGGTTTACGAGATTCCAGTATGACCCTATATGCCCTAAACCATGGAAATATCACTCAATTCCTCAACCATAAACCGTAGGGTGATATGGGGTGCTTGACGTTTGGTCACTGGTTCGGGCATGGGCGAGGATGAAGAATGCAAAAGGATGGTGGGAATAAAGGACCCCTTAAGGGAACCTTTTTTGAAGGAATCCCTTAAAGGATCCCTTACAGGACCCCGCAAAGGATCCCTTGATATCAGCCTTGTTGCAGTTGACTTGCGACCGTGATTCTGCATTGTGGAACCCTCATAAGGGGTAAGTCTTCGTGATCATGTAAGCCACTACGACAAATGGCTCTGTAGGGTTTTTTGAGCCGATTCCTCAAAGAGGTACTCAAACTCGCCAGCAAGAGCCCACACTGCCCAAGCCACGAGCCCTAAACCCTATGTAGCTTGTACGACCTTCTTAAAAAAAAGCAACTGTGGACCACATCCCTTCTAAACTCTTCCTCTCCAGGTCTGCAAGAAATTGTCCGAGCTCCACATGATCAAGATTGAGAAGAAGACGGTGCACCGTGACGACGAGTTCCGTGATGTCCAGGCAGTGACAAGTGCCAAACTTGAAACTTGCGTAACCCGAAGTCTAGTCGGTAAGGTGCCCTGAAACCTAAACTCTACACATCTCTAAACCCTAAACCCAAGTAAGAATGCAGTTGCTGTTCGGGATTGACGGTTTGCTGTCTGCAAGACTAGGATCATGGGATCGAGTAAGTATGGTTATGTGTACCGTACTGTGGCTTTAAGTAGTTATAAGTGTAATTACCCTACTAACTACTCGCGTGACTAAGCCCCATGATTCTTTACACACACTCTCAGGCCCCCTCGATACGTAGAACCCCTCTAGACCGCTTCTTAGGCGCCCTTAAGGGAACCCACTTACTAAGTCCCGCGGTAAGCTTCCGCTGTGTGGGTGCGCCGCGATCCTGCGCAGGAGCGCCGGCGTCTCGAAGTCAAGGAGGAGTTCAACAAGGTGCGCTACGGTCTATGGTTGTACCATACGCCTTGTTTAAGGCACCTACAGCTATGGTTAGGATCTGTTCTATTCTTAAAACGTAGGTACTATAGGAAACGGGTAGGGTATGATCGTGCAGGTACTCCAGCACTGTTGGCTTTTAGTGCCCGTTGTTTGGCATTCAGGGTTGCAGGGTGCAGGATCTGTTTCTCGGAAGGCTTACGCCCTCGTTGGACAATAGCTTCGAATCGTGGAGAATCGACAAGGTCGCAGGTCCCCACCAACAGTATGGTTGTGGCTTCCTAGTTTGGGATACCAGAGTCTCTATGTAGTTGAGCTGAATGCATTGCTGCTTGATGCTATAAACCCACAAACCCTCACCCAACACCCTAATATGGGCGCCTTAATGATTAGAATAAGGTTCTGGTGGTTCCTTATTATAACTGCAGTATAATATCCCCAGAACCATGGTCTAATTATCATGGCCCTATATTGCACCCTAAGCCTAAGGCCCAAGAGCCTCTCCGTGAGTGAAAGGCCTTCCAAAAGATCACGAACCTCATGCTGAACTCCTACACCTTCTTCGAGTGCCGCGATTGCACTACGGTTGTAGTGTACGCTTCAAGGTTAAGCAGAATATGCATGCGAGACACTACGGTATGTGGTTCAGGGTTTTGGGATCCTTTGAGAGTCTGGTGTTCTGGGTTTGGGGTGTTGAGGGTTTTGAGGGTTTGGTGGTGAGAGACCGTGTATTTTGCCAACGTGGGTTTCGAGACTTATGCCGCGGAAGTCGTAAGGCAACATCGTGTTATTTGGGTCAGTGCTAATGCCTAGGACACGTTGCAAGTCAGTCAGAAGCTGTATCTAGCTTCCGGTTCTTCGTGTCAGGGTAATATCAGGGTCGGAATTATCAGCATCACTACTCCCCTATAGTCTCTACGTATGCTGATGCTACAATATGCCACAAAACCTTCCGTTTATGTATGCTACAATATGCCACAAAACCTTCCGTCTATGTAAGGCCACTACAGTCCCCAAAGGATCATGTACCCAAGCAGTATTTACTGTACTTTCGCCCCAATGTAACTGTATAGGGAGTACTGTAAAGCCAAACTAGGTCTTCGCTGCCTAAGGAGCCACCCACTTGACATCCAGCGCGAATGGAAGATCTACATCGACAAGGTCGGGCGCTGTTTAGGGTTTAGGGTGGGCGCTGTAGGGTTAGAACAGGCCTCTGGAACCTCACAGCACCAAAGTGTTGTTTTCAGAAGTCGAACTGTTGGTACAACGTTAGGATACGCAAATATACATATGTGTATATACGTGCACATATATATATATATGTCTACCTATAGATCTATCTATCTACCTATCTAACCCAATCTCGTCTACGTAGTCGAATCTGCCCTAGTCACTAGTCCATTCCATAATGTTATAATGAGTTCTAAACTAGTCTAATCTATCTATCTATCTGTCTATCTTCATATCGATCTATCTTTATATCGATCGATCTATCTATCTATCTGTGTATCTATCGATCTATGTCTCTATCTATATATCGATGTACCTGTCTATCTTTAAGTACATACTTTACCATGTGGTTTAGAATCTTGCCTAAAACTAAATCCAATGTAGAAGTCCTCTGCAGTTAGTTCAAGCCCAATCAATACAGTATAAACCGTTCAGCATAGTCGAATAGATCATGCTACACTATATTGACGAATCTTGTCAGGATTTGGTTGGGCCCGACTTTGGTATCTTCCCGCAGTTGAAGGGTCATTATTGGCCAGTCTGCGGAATACGCGACCACAAATCTCCGCACTTCCTGAACTTGCTGTACTCTGAACCCTGATCCTTATAAACCCTAAACCCTACACCGTCGAGGTTGACAAGAAGATCGAAGAGGCCCTGAAGAAGGCCAGGCCAGCTAAGCTCTCAGGAACTGGTGCTCATTTTAGGTTTAGGAGTGTAGGGCTTCTGATCGAGACTCGGGATGTGGGCTTAGGGCTGATTTGGTTTTGGTTCCGTGCCGCGGACTCATGCTACAAATGTTCAGAGTCCAGAGTTTTAGGCTCCCAAAAGCAAAAGGAAGCCAGCCTAAGCCAAACCCTAAACCCTTAACCCCAAACCTGCAGACCCTAAAACTTATATAGGTGCAGGGACTCTTGGGGGTTTAAGGCACATCAGCTCAAGTTTTTCAGCTCGGGGCATCTGGTTCAGATCGTCCTGTATTCGGTGTTTGTACCGTGGACTCGTGTTCAGGGTTTCGGGTTTCGGGGCCGCCTTTTCGTAATTGCTTTGGTTTGTCATTATGTGGGAGTTTCCGAAAATTAGGGGTACTTCATGTTGGCGTCTGTATTTTTGGGATCCTGCTATTTGGGGTACTATAGTAGGGTCCCCTATTTTGGGAGACTCCCTTATGATGCTGTCAACCGAAGGAAAGTCTCGAAGTTTGAAGTTGAAATTTCGAACTCTTTGAGCTAGGCGTTGCGCTCTAAAGCTGCTGACATTCCGCCAGTATTGGCAAAAGTATCCTCGAACATCTAAACAGACTGTGTTTGTGCTTCAACATACCTAAATCCTACAAACACTTACAAAAATCTCCATTAAGGAAAACCCTTGAGCATGTCTCAGGAATCCCAAACTGGCTTGAGGTAGTTATTATATTCCTTCTTCGACATGTTTTGGAGTCTCTGGGTAAGCTCTTCTAGGGTAGATAAGAAGCGACCATGGAGGCTGTCAAGACGAGCCTACAGGATCTCTGCAAGGCGCTCAATGGCCACTCGGAGAAAAGCCGAAGGGTTTATGTACTATAGTGTGGCTGGTATTCTAAATATATATATATATATACATATACACAGATAGATAGACAGATAGATCGTATATATATCTATATATCTGTATATACACACATTCACACATAGCTATAATGCCGTCTGATACTGTATGGGAGAACTACCCCAACATGTCCCCCTACAATAGCAAAATCGTCTCAGGAGACTCCAAGACCGAGCCATCTCCGCTGTTCAAGATCCAAGCAGTGTTGGATGCACCTGGGCTTCGAGAGCGACCGTTTTGTTTTGTGTGAGGGGAGGGGGCTTAGGGTTTAGGGTTGAGGGTTTGGGTCTCGGGTTTAGGGCGTTGGTCTTCGTGTTAAGGAGTTTAGGGTCTGCGGTTTAGGGTTTAGGGGATTGGGTTTGGAGGCTATACGACCTAGACCCAGACCTTCCTGGATCCCTTGCTTATGGAATATCCTTGGTTGATTCACAGCAGGACGCCTAATATGACTTCAGGTATGTTCCTCTTGTTCTATAAGGTATTTTGGAAAACGGGGGACCCCAAAGGGAGGACCTCGTTCTGGTGAATATACTTGGGGAATCGTTATAAGTTGCCTGAATTGGTGTTATAAGCTTGTGGGTATACTTACGGTTTCTGCTGCTTTTCAGGAGTAAGGGGGGGCAGTGGGGCGGGAGGGGGAAGGCTGCTTAATAGCCTCCTTCCATCACATATCCTCTCGAGTTCGCCTACTAGTGAGACGACCGGGTGACAGGTTCCTTTAGGAAGTCTCAAGGTTTGGGGTTTGGAGTTTCATTTTTGGATGTAGGGCTTCTTGGGAATTGCAGTAGAGTCTACAGTAGAGGTCGCGAACAGAGTCACAAAACAGTTGAAAGCTCTAGGACTGCAGAGTCAAGGGTAGATGGTCCCGGTTCAGAGCTTGGGCTCGGGACATGGTTCTTTCAGTGAACTGGACCGCTGTTTCCATGAACTGAACCGCTGTTTCGGTGAACTGAACCGCTGTTTTGGTGAACTTTCAGGGGCCTAAGGTAGGGCGTGCAGACAGGATGTAGGGTGGGGTATGGTTGGGGCTGGGTAGGTTTTGCAGGCTACGGTATGGGGTTGGGTAGGTGTTGCAAACCAACATAGGGTGGGGTACGGCAGGCCAGGGGAGGGTAGGGTAGGGCAGGGTAGGTTGTGTGGGTTTTGCAGGCGGTGGTTCTGAATGGACGGGATTGGGTAGGGTAGGGTAGGGCAGGGTAGGATAGTTCAGAGGGCAGTAGGGTAGGGGTAGAGTAGGGTAGGGGACAGGAATTCTGCGTGGACGGGATCGGGTAAGGGTAGGGCAGTTGTTGCAGGCTAGGGTACGGTGGGGTACGGCAGGTTAGGGTTGGGTAAGGTAGGCTAGGGTTGGGTAGGGTAGGGTGTGAACTGTGAAGTGTGACCTGGTTCACTGAAGCAGGCGGGGCAGTTCACTGAAGCAGGGTCCCAGTTCACCGAATTCAGTTCACTGAAACTGCGGGTGTCCGTTTGGGCTCAGTGGCTCTTCAGTGTCCATGCATGTAGAAACCTGTGAAAAAGACGTTTTGCCGTAAGCCGATGTTGATCATATCTGCCACTTTACATGTGTGCCAAGGGTCCATGTACCCATGTACCACATACTTTGGCACTACAGTACAGTTAAAGTTGCTCTGTAAGAAGCCTTTCAGGCTTTTGTATACACTGCATGGATACACGGGCCCAAGGGGAACAGGAGTTACATGAGTAGCTGCTAAAACTATGGTCCCCTTTTGGGTACCCTAAATATTAGGTGCCGTACTTTATTAGGGACCCCAAAAAGGGACCAACAATTTTGACAACCACCCATCTGTTTCAATAGGGCCTCGTAGTTCGGCATAGTTAAACCCCTGGGCCTTACACCTGAAGCGGACTCCGGATTACGGATTGTTTTGTTTTGAGGAGTTCAGGTTCAGGGTTTAGGGTTCCTTTAAGGGCTTCGGGTTTAGGGTTTATTCAAGAGTGTAGGGTTTTGTGTTTATTTCATTATTGTAGGTTTTAGCATGGTTTAGTTTGTGTTTTGCCCGGCATCTTTCCTCAATGCCCGAGACCCGCAAATTGAACGCCCAATCCGATTGATTTTGCAAGCCACTCTCAACCCTAAACCCTTAATATAATTCCGAAACCCAGGAGGTGAAGATGGACTTCAAGCCACCCATGGCTCAGCTGAAGGCGGCATCAGGGGGTGCTTCGAAACTTGGGGTTTTGGCCTCGGGGCTTCGAGCTTGGACTGTAGGTTTGGGTTTTGGGCTTAGGGGGTTTGGGGTTTAGAGTTTAGGAGTTTAGGGGTTTGGGGTTTTGGGGTTTGAGTGTTTGGGCTTTAGGGGTTTAGGTTTTGCAGCCCACCAGGACCCCCGACAAAATCGCCCTTAAAGTTGTCAAGGGCTTTCATGTTCAGTATGCAGGGGTGTTTTCTTATGGGCTAGAATAAAGGGTATTGGGGACAACCGAGCCTTTGGCCTAAAACCCTAAACCCCAAACCCTAAACCCTAAAACCCGAAACCCTAAATCCTAAAATCCTAAACCCTAAACCCTAAATCCTAAAACCCTAAATCCTAAAATCCTATACCCTAAACCCTAAACCGTGGGAATCTCCTGACCAGGATCTGCTGCAGATGGTCTGCCGCAGCTCGGTCGGACCAGTCTTCCAAACGCATCTGGGAGTTTCAGAAAATTAGGGGTACCTTTAAAGGGATCCTTTAAGGGTTCCTTAAGGGATCAGGGTTCTCTAATTAAAGGGTTTAGGGTTTGGAGTTTCCGCAAATTAGGGGTACCTCATTTTGGGGTCCGGATAGTAAGGATCCTACTATTTAGGGATTATAATGGGGTTTAGGGCATCTGGGAGTTTCCGAAAATGGGGGACCCCCAATATCCCAAAGGGTCCAAAGTACCTATTTAGTGGAATGTAGGGTTTGTATATGAGGAATAACTAGTATGATTTGGGGAAGTATCCCCCATAACAGTACATAGGACCCTTCGGGTATAGTAATGACCCGAAATAGCAGGATCCTTATCATAAGGATCCCCAAATAGGGTACCCTCACTTTCGGAAACTCCCGTCTTCAGAGGCACCCCAGAAGGTACCTAAGCCTAGGGTATGGGATAGTCCTATATATATATATATATATATATATATACTTAGGGGCTGAGTTCCCGAGCCCCCAAAAAGACTACGTACGGTCTTCATTTATGGTAGGAATATATGAGCCCTAACAGGTTAAAGCTTAACTACTCAGCTACTGAGTATAAGTGGCCGAATCCCTAGGGATCAAAACAGCCCAAGAGCCTTATATTCACTTATATTCTATGGTCTTTCGGCCCAGAAGTCTTAATATATGAGCCCTTAGATCCCTAGGGAAAAAAGGCCAACTGGGAGACTTACATCCGAGCCAACATAAAGCTATCCTACCAAATTAAGCCTCAAAGTCAGCAAAAGCACCTAGGCACGGGTTTTGAGTTGAGGGTCTTGAAGGTACAGTACTTGGAGGGGCAGGGGACTTAGTAAGTAGATTATCGGTAGGGTTATATTTGGGGTAACTCCACTCCATTTAGGGCACTTCTGACTCTGCTTATTGCCTACTTACTAAGTCCCCTGCCCCTCCAAGTAGTATCCCTACCCAAAAAGGTGGGCTTCAGTGACAAAAGAATCCTTTTTTACTTCCTAGGATACCGGGGCGTTCACTTAGGTGTCTCACCCCCGAGAGCTGTCTGTCCGGGGACCGTAGGGGAAGTAGTGATAGTTGTGGAGCAAAGGCCCCTGCTATCTTCGCCATGAGTCGCAGGACTTCGCTACCAACCGAACCACTGGTCTCAGAACCTAGCTAGTGCCTGCCGAGACCAAGAGCGGCTCATTCATATATGATGGGACCGCGCCAGGTTTTCACGACTGGCAATTCCGGACACAGATGCGAGTGCTCCAACACCGCGAAAAACAACGTCGCGAGCCAATGAGAGTGAGCTGCACGTCCAGCATGGGCGAGACTCAATCCATTGCAACCGGCCGGAGACTTCGCTAAGGCTGTTGCCTAGCTCCCATTGTCTGGTCATGTGTCACGGGGTTCCTGGTCTCCAAGATAGGTCCACTACTGGCCCAGGCGAGCTTTGCCCCACTGATGGAGCGTGCACCACTTATGCACTGACTCTGTAAGCGCAGCACGGTCTTCAATCTTTAGAACATCACTGATCGAATCATCCACGATTTCTCGAACATCCTCAAGAGAAGCTGCAGCCAAACAAAAGTTCCCGATATGCAAGAGGACCTTCGAAACACGCTCCTCGAGCCTTGAAAAAAACCCCGGACCTTTGCAGAATTTCCGGAACTTCGCAAAATCCCTATCTATGAAGCAAAAGGAAGTCCCACAATTATACGATAAACCCCAAACCCGAAAACCCTAAACCCTGAACCCCTAAACCCCTTATAAACTCCTAAACCCTAAATCCCAGCCGAGGAGACATGACCATGACGCTGTCCGTGGTTCCCAGGCCTAGCTCTCCAGAGCCCGAGTTCCGAATTCCGAAGCCTTCGACCACAAGTAAGGGTCCATAATTCCCATAGTTTAGGGTCCTTAAGGTAATGCAGGATTTGCATCATCAACGGTAGTTCCCCTAAGGGTCCATGTACCCAAATAGTAGGGTTGTAGGTCTCAAAATCCATACTCTGAATGGTTTTTGGACTTTGAAACCCTACTATTTGGGCACTTGGAGGCTTAGGGATAGAGTACAAGCCCAAAAGTTGCCCCAATCCTCAAAAAGGTTCATGTACAATTGTAGGGAATCCCTTTGGTGTTGGTAGGGACTTTTTCGGTTTTAGTGTTTGGGGGTTCGGGTTTTGGATTTTGGGCTCTACAGTTTAGGGTGTAGGCTTTTGGGGGCGTCGGGTGTCAGGGTTTCTTGAGGGCTTGGGGCTTTCTGGCGCTAGAACTCATGATTCAAGATTTTCGGTGCCGAGCAAGATGCAGTGCAAGATTTTAGGGCCCACATAAAATGGCCTGGGACCCCAACCCCAAGCCTGCAACCCTACACCCACCACCCCTTATTACTAAATTAAAGTCGCATAAAGCTGATGCCCAAAGGCGTAAATCCAAAGCCCCCAGACTGAAACTAGAGACACAGGCTCCTTTGGGGGGGGGAAGGGTTTGCCGCATCTAGGGTTTATAAGGGCTGTACTATCGAAACACTGAAGACAGGCTCGCCGAGCACCTCTATCAGGTGAAGGTCGAGCGAGACCGGCCCCCTCGCTGCAAGAAGCAGACGCGCAGTGCTCCCCTAGGTCCCATAGCATCTAGAGACCCAAACATTCCGTGCTTTGGGGACAAGTGCCACATCGGTGTATACCATGTGCAAACTGTAAACGTTCTTTGGGGATGCTTTGAGCATTATAGGGTACAGTTTCCACGGCTGATGGGCGAACTTTACACTTTCCATGATAAAAGAATCTGCCGTGTGCCTGCGTATGAGCATATGTGTATATGTCAGTTTAGGGCTCTTAACCTACTACAGGATTTCGCTCAACAGCTGTATGACGATGAGGCGGCAGCAGCCAGCACAAGCAACGAGCAAAAAGAGTGAGTGCAGCCATAGCCAGAAATTTCGCGCTTAGACTCGCAGCTTTGCGTACTTCTCATCGGGGTCGGATGATTTAGAGGGCTGCGGGGCTTCAACGGTTCATGGGCGATACGGCCGGTTTTCCAGAGCTTCATGCACGATAATATAGAAGCCTAAATCCTTACCAATTACTACTCCCTAGGGTTCCTTTTCATAGTGAGACTATCAAAAAGTCCAAAACCTTCTTTTCAATTCTGCAACCCCAACCTTAAACCCTTATGTTAATATTAGGCCCTGAACCCTAAACCCTGCTGTAGCCAGGGTGAAGAAGCAGCAGCTGGAAGAAGCCGGGGACCTCGCTGGCGCGAATGCCATTCCACCGCCAGGCCGGATAGGGTTTACACCTTCAGGAACCTACATTTTGAGGGTTCCTTATCATGGTTTCCTTGTATGAGTCCTAAAACAGGTAGGTAGGTTTTTCAGGGTTAAGGCAGGGTTTCAGAATGTATATTGAAAGGGTTTCTGGGTGGTCAGACTTCAGGTGCTTTGTTCAAGGTTACAGGATTGGTGTATAATGCAACTCCGCTAGATTGCGGTTTTAAGGACTCGGCCTGCTTTAAACTGCTGTTTTGTTGAGGTCTTGGCAACAAGAACCCCAAACTCAGAGTTGTAAAGGGACCATGCACCAGAGTGTAGTCTAGAGTTTAGATCTGCCAAAGCATAGGCTTCGCAGGTCCCCACATCCCGGATTATGTAAGAACTATACGAAGAAGTAGGTTGTAGTGATTGTACAGTGGTTTACAGTAGATTACAGCTGAACCTATTTATACCAGTTTCGCGATACGGTCAAGATACCTGGATGACGGAAATTTGACTGAGGGCTGGTGTCCATTGTCGAATAGGGTCGGTATTGTCACAACCACGAACACTGGAAACCTTTTTCATGAAGGCCCCCCTCATTGGACCCCGCACCTTCATGCGAACCCGCGGACACACCCTAAACCCTAAACCCTGTACAGATCCCTCGAAGCAAGCAACCGGCACTGGTCAGGGGAGCCTCCCAAAAAGAAGAAGGGCTTCTTCGAGGCCGTTTTGTGCGCTGTTGCATACAATCAACTCTTGTTTTACAACGGTAAAATAGCAGATCAGCCTCCAGTTCATAAAATGTGAACTTCTAGGCCTTGCTGCTTTTTTTCCTCTAGAGATTAGAGGTTTGACTGCAGGGTTTGAGATTTAAGGTGTGGGCATATATTGCTGTTGCAAGGTTTGGGTATAAAGGATTCGAGGGTTGGTTGGGGCTGTTGCATTCAGGTTTTGGGATTGCGAGTTCAAGAATCGATGGTGCCATACTTTCGGGGCATTTCCAAGCCTGTGGCGAAGGTAGTGAGAGGCTCTGTCTGTTTCTGAGATGCACACACAGTTCTTTCCAGGCCACAGCAATGTACGAGCCTTTAAATCCTTTCCATTAAACCTGAAACCCAGTCTCTATAAGCCTAAACCGTGCCCCGAAGCCCCTTGGAATGGTGAAAAGTTCTTTTTCCAAAACAGGCGCGGTTGTAGTCTTTGGGTGAGCTCTCATAGACTCGATTATTACAAGATTGCCCTGTCTCGGTTTTGTCGTCGATGTTCAGCCTACTTATTCCTTGCCAGCACATGCTAGGGAAAGGATCCAGATGAAATCGACAACTAGGATGCCCAGTAGTACCTTATTGCCTTTTCGTAGTCCTAGGTTCCTTATACAAGTTACCCAATACCAAAAAAGGGAGCCCCTTTTTATTCCCAGGTTACTGGGCATCCTAGAAAAAGAGCCATGGTCAGATAGTGGCTTCAAGTTTTCTCAGAGGAAGGTTTGGAGACGAATCTCCTCCCCAGCTTTCGGGGAGCTTCCAGCACAGCTCCCCTTGCTTCCAGCATAATTTAGTAAAGAGTTTAGGAGACGCTTGTAAGCTGCAGGAGACACAACCCTCACAGAAGCTCTACATCCTCATACCCCCATGCCAATACCCTAAGCCCCTAAGCCCTCAGCACCTTAAACCCGAAGTCCGATCCCCAAAGCCGAAACTGAGATGATAACGCAGAAGTGAAAGAAGACCCCTGAGCCCCTGAGCAACAGACCTGGCATGACTAGCGACCGTTTAAGACTCCTGCCTAGGACCCCTGAAGCGTAGAGTGACCCCAATGATAACCCTAGTTACGAAGAGACCCGGTATGAAGGCCCGACCCTTATAGCGACCTTACCCAAGGGTCCAAGTGCCTAATCACCATATACTCTCCAAAAGACACATAACTACTATCCTAAAACCGAGTACTTATACTTATTATATAAGACTCCTGTCTAGAACCCTTGAAGAAACATCGAGCTGGGCGTCGAGGTCGACCCCAAGCCTTCCAAACCCTGTAGGAGCCCCATCTTGACTTGGAGATCTAAGGAAATCTCACAGACACTCATAACTGACCCCCCTCCCCGACTCCGAAAGAAACTCGAAGCCCCAAACCCGGGCCCTAAGCCCCAAGCGCTTGACCCGAAACCTTCCTAAACCTTCCTAAACTCGAAACCCTAAACCCTAAACCTCTCCCTATCCCTCCAAGGACCTCATAGTTCGGGCCCCAGACCCCTTAAGGACCCCATAATAAGGTCCCTGGAGGCATAGGGTCTTACTTTACCCTAAACTTTCCTGAACCGCAAGCCCCACCTCCCCTCAAAATTGCGGTGTGCAGGAGATCTCGAAGGACGAGGACTGAGCTCGGGAAATCCTCAGAGCTGTAGGCTTTATGGTTTAGGGTTTTGGGGTTTCCGGTTTTAGGGTTTTAGGGCTTTAGGGATTTAGGGTTTAGGGTTTTAGGGTTTAGGGCTTTTGGGGTTTTAGGGATTTGGGGTTGAGGGTTTAGGGTTTTAGGGTTGTAGGGTTTAGGATTTTGGGGTTTCAGGGTTTAGGGCTCTAGGGTTTTAGGGATTTAGGGTTTAGGGATTTGGGCTTTAGGGATTTAGGGTTGAGGATTTAGGGTTTAGGGTTTAGGGTTTTAGGGTTTTAGGGTTGCGGGTTTAGGCTTTGTGGTTTAGGCTTTGCGGTTGGGGGGTTATGACTTGCTATATGCCACAGTATCATTCGGTAGGGACTGCAGGGGCCACCATTCAATAGTAGTCCCTTTGAGCCCTAAATCCCTAAACCCTAAGCCCCGAAGCATTGGTATAGAAGACTGAACAATCAGCAATACTATTCTGCACGGCTCCCTTCTTTGTTATACTTCATAAGAACCTTAAACCCAATATCCCCTACCTTAACCCGGAATAACCTACATTTTCAAGATATACGGAAATGATAATAAGGAACCTTAAAGAGGTAGGTTCTTCAGGGTATAAGGTAAACCCTAAACCCAATATCCCCCGAACCCTAAACCCTAAACCCAATATCCCCCAAACCCTAAACCCTGAACCCAACATCACCCAAACCCTAAACCCTAAACCCAACATCCCCCAAACCCTAAACCCTAAACCCAACATCCCCCAAACCCCAAACCCTAAACCCTAAACCCAACATCCCCCAAACCCTAAACCCTAAACCCACATCCCCCAAACCCTAAACCCTAAACCCAACATCCCCCAAACCCTAAACCCTAAACCCTAAACCCAACATCCCCCAAACCCTAAACCCAACATAAACCCAACCATCCCCCAAACCCTAAACCCTAAACCCAACATCCCCCAAACCCTAAACCCTAAACCCAACACCCCCAAACCCTAAACCCTCCCCCAAACCCTAAAAACCCTCAAACCCATCCCCCAACCCTAACCCAATCCATCCCCCATACCCCAAACCCTAAACCCTAAACCCAAACATCCCCCAAACCCTAAACCCTAAACCCAACATCCCCCAAACCCTAAACCCTCCCAAACCCTAAACCCAACATCCCCCAAACCCTAAACCCTAAACCCAACATCCCCCAAACCCTAAACCCTCAAACCCTAAACCCATCCCCCAAACCCCAAACCCTAAACCCTAAACCCAACATCCCCCAAACCCTAAACCCTAAACCCAACATCCCCCAAACCCTAAACCCTAAACCCAACATCCCCCAAACCCCAAACCCTAAACCCTAAACCCAACATCCCCCAAACCCTAAACCCTAAACCCTAAACCCAACATCCCCCAAACCCCAAACCCTAAACCCTAAACCCAACATCCCCCAAACCCTAAACCCTAAACCTCCCCCAAACCCCAAACCCTAAACCCTAAACCCAACATCCCCCAAACCCTAAACCCTGAACCCTGAACCCAACATCCCCCATACCCCAAACCCTAAACCCTAAACCCAACATCCCCTAAACCCTGAACCCTGAACCCAACATCCCCCATCCCCCAAACCCTAAACCCTAAACCCAACATCCCCCAAACCCTAAACCCTAAACCCTAAACCCAATATCCCCCAAACCCCAAACCTTAAACCCAACATCCCCCAAACCCTAAACCCTAAACCCAACATCCCCCAAACCCTAAACCCTGAACCCTGAACCCAACATCCCCCATACCCCAAACCCTAAACCCTAAACCCAACATCCCCCAAACCCTAAACCCTAAACCCTAAACCCAATATCCCCCAAACCCCAAACCTTAAACCCAACATCCCCCAAACCCTAAACCCTAAACCCAACATCCCCCAAACCCTAAACCCTGAACCCTGAACCCAACATCCCCCATACCCCAAACCCTAAACCCTAAACCCAACATCCCCCAAACCCTAAACCCTAAACCCAATATCCCCCAAACCATCCCAAACCCTAAGCCCAACATCCCCCAAACCCTAAACCCTAAACCCAACATCCCCCAAACCCTAAACCCTGAACCCTGAACCCAACATCCCCCATCCCCCAAACCCTAAACCCTAAACCCAACATCCCCCAAACCCTAAACCCTAAACCCAATATCCCCCAAACCATCCCAAACCCTAAGCCCCAATATCCCCCAAACCTTGAGGCCCCCAGCCCTTCAGTCCTTCGAGCCTTAAGCCCAAAGGCCTGAAACCCGAGCCCCGAAGCCCTAAACTTCTTCGCCCAAAACCTCAAAATAAAGCACGTCATGGCCTGGATTTCTCGCATTTTCTGCTGTAGGTGAACCAGTACGGCGTGAAAGTTGGCGTCTTCCTTCTGGAGGTGCTTAATGGCCAACCGCTTGGACATTTTCGTGCCTCGCATCGTGAACAGGTGTGGCGCCTTCTTTCGCAGTCCCCCTCTCCTTAAGGACGAAATGACCCTTAAAAGTAGGGGCCCTATACCCATATACTATGAATCCCTATATGGTATATGAACCTTAAACCCTTTTAGGGTTCATTTCGTCCTTAAGGTCTTTCGATCAGATGCAGCGCCGTGCTGAAGAGAGGCGGTGGTCCCCAGCATGGCGCCGCGCAACTCCTTGTGCGTATCCTCCAAGCTTGCGAGGATGACAGCCTTTGAGGGTAAAGCACCCTGAACCCCGAAGCCCTAGAGCCCCAAACCTTAAACCCTAAACCCTAGACCCTAAACCCTAAACCGTACCCTCAGGCTCCCAAGAGGGTCATGGGCTTTCTGGGGGAAGGGTTTGGGCTTTGGGGGCTAAGCTTTGGGATTTCACTACGAGGGTCCAGGAGCCTTAGGGTAAGCCCTAAACCCTACAAGCCCGAACCCTGTCCTTCATGGAGGATTGCTGCATCAAGTACGTCAAAGAGGCAGCTGCAGGGTTCCTTTAAAAGGGCTCCTTCGAAAGGGCTTAGGGTTTAGGGTTAGGGTTTAGGGTTTAGGGTTTAGAGTTAGGGTTTAGGGTTTACGAGCCATGTAGGAGTTCCTTTAAGAGGATTCTTTTGAAAGGGAGCCTTTACGGCGTTCCCTCAATTCCTTTAAGGGCGCCGTTAAGGGCCCGTTGAAGTTTGTCCATGCACCCTTAAAGGATTTCTCACCGGCTTGTTTGCTTCGATGGCGTGTTCGGTTTGGAAATAGGGTTTACTGGAGGCTTTAGGGTTTTATAGGCTCCCTTTGCCTATGTGGGCCTGTACTATATAAAGGGGATGGTTCCATAGTAATCTACGGCTGAATAGATATAGCAGCAGCAATCACTACGTAGATACGTTCCTTCGGATTGAGGTCGGTTGCTCCCATGCAGGAAAGATTGAGGCAAGTGGCTAGTTCTCGTGTCGTGCCGTGAGTTGATTGTATGTAAGAACAAAATGTTCTTAGTCAACGCAACAATGAAATCGATGATCTTAAGGATTGAAAGCACCGAGGCCATAGATCGTAAGCCCCCATGCCCGAACGAAACCCTAAACCCGAAAGTTTAGGAGGGTTTAGCGTTTAGGACCCTAAACCTGAATGTTACCCTGAAAGAACCGGAACCCTTAAAGGATCCCCTTAAAGGATATACTAGTTTGGTACAAAGACCCTCAGGGAAGCTTTCGGTCCGAAACCTAATCCCTGAACCCTAAACCCTTTACCTAAGAAGCTGTCGGCCCGACAGCCGCAGGTGCTACGTGGCTTTAACCACTGTGCCATGCGTTTGGGTGAGCGCCTGAAGTTCTGGAGACGCGGCTGACAACTGTGTGTCGTTTAAGGGTTTAGGGTTTGTGTTTGTGTTTGGTGTCTGTGTTTTTTGTTGTTTAGGGTTTTAGGGTTTTAAGGTTCAGGGTTAGGGTTTCAGGGTTTGGGGGTTTAGGGTTTAGGGGCTTAGTGTTCAGGCTTTAGGGGTTTCCTTGATTGTTCTGAACTCAATGTTGAGACTATGGCTATGGTCTCTATGGCTTTTGGTTTTCGGATGTCTTGTTTCATTTGTCGGGTCTTGTACAAGTAACTAAGAAATTCATGGATAAATTCTGGGACTTGTGGAGTGTTTCGGCAGGCAGGGATTCGTAGCGGACAGGGCAAAGATCTGTGACTTCGGGCATAACTTAGCAGACAATGCAGAGTAAGTATACGACATTATACGAATGTCATGACATGACGCAGCGCCACGGTTAGATGTAAGTTCGGTGTTATCGTTTCCTCAGCTCTGACCCTTGAGCGGTGCGACTTCAGAATGGTTTGGACTTAAGGGTTCGAATGTGCTCTGTACCACATTATAGAAGAAAGTAGCAGGCCCTATGCGACTTGTGAAGGCCCCTCTACTCTTGTGTGTCAAATCTAGGGCGCGGCTGCTGTGCCCCAGGAACAGCTCCTACCAGCCGATCGTGTCACAAGACAAGGACACTTTCATCAGGCGCTACAAAAAGACTGCCGCTCGGTCTGTAACGACATTAGTATCACTTGTTGCGTCGTGTTTACTTGATTCTGTTTTGGGATCCTTTCGGATGTTTGTGTTCATGCTTCAGGCTTCAAGTGATTAGTTAGGCTTCCTCTTCAGCAGAAACCCGACAAACCACGCACATACATGCACACTGTGGCAACATCCGGTTGCTTCCCGAAGGTGTCCTTAGCTAGATGCCCGTTCGTTAAGGTTTTGGTTTCCCGTATCGCTCAACTTGGCAAACAGTGAGTACGTAGTGAGCCTCTTACTTATGGGCTATAGCCCCGAACTTGCTCTGCATGGACCAAAACGTGAGGATCATATGTAGAGTAATCTCTAGTTCCCATAATGTAAGGTACCAGGACTGAAGAATCTGGAGACCTTTTATTACGCTAAGGTACAGCATTCCAATTAGGCTAGCACCCTGTGTCCCTAAACCCTGACACCTTCAGCCTCAAGCCCAACCTCAAACCCATTATCACCGGATAAACCCCAAAGGGTCCAAGTATCATCATGGGACATACTTAGACCCCCCAAAATGCCCTAGAAGTATATACCAGGATGATACCCTAAACCCTAAACCCTAAACCCTACATAAACCCTAAACCCTAAACCCTACATAAACCCTAAACCCTAAACCGTGGCTTGGACCCTTTGGGAACATGAACATGCAAGACCCTACAGCCCTAGATCACTGCAAACCTTGAGGCTTCCACAGGGGTGGTTGTAACAATTCGGGTCCTTTTTTTTGGTTCCTTATTATAATGCGGCACCTAATATTTAGGGTACCCAAAAAGGGGCCATAATTTCGACAGCCACCTATGTATGTAGTGTAACTTACTGTAGATCAAAGGGGAAAAGGAGGGACCCTTAATGGGGACCCCTACCCCATAATGGGCTATATAATGGGTATATAATGGCTGTATTATGGGCATATACCTAGGGGTCCTTATAAAGGATCCCTCCTTTTACCCTTTGAGTAGACTGTAGGTAGCCTCAGTTTAGCACTCCAGGATCCCAAGCGCAGCATAAGACAGGTTGTGGGCACGAGGACCCGAAAGAAAAGGTGTGCAGTCAATAAGCCGTTCCTTACCCAAAGGGTCCAAGTATCATCCTGGTATATACTTATAGGGCATTTTGGGGGTCTAAGTATGTCCCATGATGATACTTGGACCCTTTCCTTAAGGGTTCATGTGCCCAAATAGTATAGATACTTTGCCCTGAAAGTAGTCCCTATACAGGTACTTTGCGGCTAAAGTATAAGCTACTTACCCTGAACCCTAAACCCGGAGCCAGGTGATTTGGGGCCAAAGTATAAACCATTTGCGCACCTCGACCTTTAGGGATTGCAAACCTCGGAACATCCAAGGAGCGCTCGCTTACCATTGTCGGTCAAGACATCCAGCGGCCACTTGGACGATGTAGGTTTTTGTTCGAAGGCTCTTGTTTTGGTTTGTCTTAAGACGTTAAGACTGCTAGGGATTTCATGGATATTTTGTAGTAGCTTTTTCAGGTTGTTGTTCGACAGCTTTCGTTTTTGTTTATTAGATTTGTGTTCAGGCTGTTAAGGGTTTCACGTGTGTCGATATTTGCGATTCATACGTTTTCCAGGATTCCTTAAGGGTCACTCTAGCCGCATGAAGACATAGTTAAACATCTTGCCTTCTAGCCCCCATGCAATGATACTACACATATATAGTACCCCAAACCCATCGCCCTGAACCCTTGACTGCAGCCGTGCATCGCAAATCCTGAGCCCCAAACCACCAACCCCAAACCCTAAACCCAATCCCTGAAGCCCAACCCGCAAACCCTAAAACCCCCCTAAAACTGAAACCCTAACCCTAAGGGTCCAAGTACCAAAATAGTAGGGTTTCAAGGTCCAAAAGCCATTCAGAGTATGGATTTTGGGACCTAAAACCCTACTATTTGGGTACTTGGACCCTCTGGGAAAGTTGGAACATCTTTATCCTCATCCCCTGAAGTCAAAGGATAAGGGTGACCCTAGCACTAATCCTCCTAAGGCCATGTTCCAACTTTCTGGGGTTTACCATAACCCCAGGAGCAGAGTAGGTAACCTTTAACCTTTTTTGGGTAGTCTAGTCCCTATATGATCCCTGCATAACCAAAAAGTTTAACCTCTAGTTCCCAATGATACCCGACAAGTGGGTAACTCTTCCCGGAACCAGCCTTGTCCTTTTTCGTCCCTTTTTCATGGTTCCCCAAAAGAATAAACAGGGCTCTGTCTATTCCTTAAACCCTACAGTAAACCCCATAAAGTTGGAAACCGGATGAAGGCAAAATAGTGCTGGGATTCCCTATACACTACTCTTAAGGATTGAGACTATAGGGTTTCCAACTTTTGGGCTTCTACTGTACTGAAACCCCTATAGATCCCTTAAAAGGAGCCCTTGCCCTTGTAGATCCCCAAAAGGATGCTCCTTAAACCCTAATGAAACCCTAAACCCGGAACAGGTACAAAGATGTCCAGACGGACATTCAGCAGGAGGAGCCGAAGGCCCCTCTTCCCAGAGACGTTTAAACGCCCGCCATTAAGGAATACCTGGACCCTATAAGGAACCTACCTTTTTAGGGTTCCCTAATATGATTTCTTTATATAGGTCCTTAAAAAGGTAGGTTACGTGGGGTACTGGTAGACCTTAACCTAGAGTTTAGGGTTTGAGAGGTTTAGGGGTTTAGTTAGGGTTTAGGGTCGAGGCTCCCCACTCATGTACTACCATTATGGAATTAGGGCCCTAAACCATATTAAGGATGGTCTGTTGCGGCCAAATTCCATAATGGTAGTATATGAGGGCCTCTGGATAAGCTGTTCTAGGAACCCTAGTATACTCATTTCTTAATGACGGCGTATACCATAAATCTGATACTAGAATTCCGAGAATGATTTAGCTTCTATTCTTTAGGTAAGGTGTTTTGGGGACCCGAAGGCCCGTCATGTTGCCTGCGCTTCAGAGTTTAGGGCTGCTCCTAGCGGCTAGGAATACTATTTGTCAATCGATCTATATATATATATATACATATATATATATATATATATGTGTGTGTGTGTCAAAATATGTGAATATTTGTAAAAATAGAATATACATCCAGTTGTAACTTATTTGTATTTTGATTCAGATTTAATGTGCTTCCATTTATCTGTTTAGCTTGTCGCTACATTTTTGCCCAAGTCCACCGAGATCCTCCCCGAAAACGCAGGTCCAGTTTTCTATCGCAGGTGCTTGCATTACTGAGTCCCTGATCCTTCGTCCCAAACGTAAGCCCAAAGCCCTACCCCGGCACCGGTATCTACTTGTCAAAAGCCCACGCTAGATCCTAAACCCTCGGCCGTTTGAATGCTTGCTAAGCCCCGGATCCATGGTTCAAACAGGATAGCGTGCGCAAAAGGGGGTGTTCATGTGGGCCCTGTTGAGCTCGAAAAGGTCACTTCGGAACAATCGAGAATCTTTGTCCTAAATCCTTACGCTCACTTGCCATCAAACCGTTAGAGGTTCCCCGCCTAGACGCCTGGACACTCAATCCCACCATGCCTGCTAAAACCCTCAGCCCTCAAGCCCTATACACCGTGTAGTTGATTCCCATAGATTCACAAACCCCATGATGATTAAGGAATAAATCTTTCTGGTGTTTCTATTATAATTAAAGGTATATTCCGTACTTGAGGGGCTTTGGAATCTTTGGGTCCCGGTTTTGTGTGTGTGCAGGTAGTCATTGACTTCATCGAGACCGATTTCCAGCCCTTGAAGAGCCTTGAGCTGTGTTAGTCCTTGGGGTGTTTAGGGGTTTAGGGTTTGTAGGGCTTTGGGTTTTGGGTCTTGGGTTTAGGGCGTCTTCGAGCGTCTAGGGGTTCAAGGTTCAATGCTCAGCGGTTGCCGGTCGGTGGAGTATTTGGGAGGAAAGTGGAATCCTGAAACCAAATGGCGTCCGTCCGCGGAAGGCAGTGGGAGGTCAAGCCTTCGAAACACCGCAAAAAGACCAACTACCCATAGGCTCGAATGTATTCCTTTTTGGGGCTGCCTTATAGGATTCTAAACATGAACCCCCAAAGGAACTACTATGGAGCCTATGGGCACAAGCTCGTCGAGGATGCCGAAAGCCTAAAGACTTAACCCTAGACCAGTTGGAAAACAACTTCCGGTAAGCTTCGATGCCAACCTCAAGTTTCCCTCACCCACCTGTACCGAGACTCCGCAGGAGCTGCATGAAACGTTAGAACCATCCGAATCTTCATCTTATATATGTTCTCAAGTCAACCCTTGATAAAAACCTGAACCCTGCCCCTCCTCATAACAAAGCACACAGGAGCCCTTTTTCAGGATCTCTGCTATGGAACCCCTTTGTAGAAGCCCTTGCGAAGCCAAGGAATGCTTTGGTCGACCACTGCCAGCAGTGGCAGAAGAAGCTGACGGACCTCCTGAATGAGAACGCGCGTACGGAGATGAACAGGAGAGAGTTGGGTTTGTGGCTTCCGGGGCTTACTGGGTTCATTGTGCGGGATTTTAAAGCAAGTCACCCTGACAGGAGTCTATAGTAAATCACTAGCACCGTTTCCTTGTCATGGTATTTTGAATCATTATCCCGATCCCTAAACCCTAAACCCCACGGCCTGAAACCCTGAGCCAGCAGGAGGAGGATCATGGGACTTAGTAAGTATGGTTTAGGGCCGTTTAGGGTATCTTTCAAGGTTACTATAGGGTTCTATAATAGGGTTCCTTAAAGGGATCTATAAGGGTTCTAAATACTGGGGATCGAGGGACTGAGTAAGTATGGTTATAAGTTCCTTAATTGGGGTAACAAGTACATATATGTATACTTACCCTAGTAATAACCCTAGTTACTATATAAGTCCCATGATCCTTTCATGAGGAGGATCTAACAGATCAAAGCACAGGTCTTGCACTTCACATCCTACAGTAGAAGCTGGAGCATCCCTGTCATCATGCCCAGAATAAAGTATAGCGGATCCCAGCACGAATCATCCTAAATCCATATTCCAAGTTTCTGGCATGCATTATAAAGCCTACCCACGAGCATGCTAAATTCCAAACACGACACCTACGTCCTACATCCTGAATCCAAACTAAACGCCACAAAGACTCTTACAACCATAGACTTAAACCCACACAGCTCAAACTACCACCCATGTACCCATATAGCATATCCACTTAAAGGCCTAGGTATATACTCTATATGTAATTATATACATACATACATACATACACATTAAACTCTTATAACCTAGTTTTATGTATGTACCTGTACAAAAATGTACCTATGCTAAACACCCTAACATAGAAGCTATATGGACGCAACACGCAAGTAGGTTTGGTATACGTAAGCTTAGGTACAGCCAGCCTCAGGCAAACTCTTCGAAACCTCAGTTCAAGGGTGCTGTATTTTCAATAAAACTAATACTATGCTTAATATCGTAGAACAAACCACAAAATAGTATTGGTAATGCGAAACCCTACGAGCCCCAAAATAGTAATATTGCTTGATTCATTAAGTATAGCCACAAAAATGAAAGAATGGTAACCCTAAAAGCCCTGCAAGCCACAAAAGCCCCGGAACAGTAGTATTAAACACTTATTTAGGCCCCTATAGTGCTCCCCGAGACCTCCAAACCCAAAAAAACGCACCATCCAAGCCGAAGTCTTGTTGATAGCTCCGATTTAGGGTTTAGTTTAGGGCCTAGGGTTTAGGAGTTTAGGGTTTAGAGGTTTAGGTTTAGGGGTTTAGGGCCCTCCCCCTTGTGCATCCACATAACTTTTTGCGATCACGACATGAAGGTCCTGCAGCAAGGGAGGGGTCTGCATTGGTGTTTGTGGTGTCCTTACCTGGCCCGGGTATCTGCTACGATTTTGAGCCTGGAACCCTATGTATCTGCATAAGCTTGGCTCTGCCATGTCTCTGGCAGAAACCCCTTAAATAAGGAATATAGCTTTGAAGCCCTCTATAATGTAAGCCATACTCCTTAATTAAAGGGTATTGGACTCTCTGGGTGGCTGTAGGACCATGTAGCGGGATCGCAGGCTTTTGGAATACTTCGACACGAACACCAAGATCTTCCATTCAGAGATTCCAGACATGGCCCCCTGGCTGCACGAAGCCATTGGCCGAGAACGGTTTAGGGTTTATAGGGTTTAAGGTCTATCCCCGCGGCCAACGCTAAGCGAATATGTGTATGGACCCACACGGTGGTAACACCAGTGGGCGTCTACACATATTCCGAACCTTGAGAATCGGAGTCTTCCAACATTGGCATGAAGCATCCCTTATAACTAGGACTCTTATTCTTTGCGGGGCCTCTGGGTAGCGTTTAGGGTTTAGGGTAGGCTTTTGGACGGGATGTTGGGAGGCGACAAGGAGCAACCTTCGACCTGGGCTTGCTTTGCAGGTAGCAAGATCCTGGCTTGCAGGTTTTGATGTTTACTTGGAGTGGCAGGGGACTTAGTAATTAGGATGAAAAGTAGGGTTATAATTGGGTAACGCCATTTAGGGTTCTTTCAACTCTACTTATAACCATACTTAAGTCCCCTGCCCCTCCAAGTAGGGGTTGGTGAATTTGGTAGCCTGTTTTTTTTTAACATGTAACAAGCAGGACATACACCAAAAAGCCCAACCATTGAACCTGAAAGCCGAATCTCCTAATCCCCTCAACCCCCACACCCTGCTTGAATGCAAAACCTCTCTCCTAGGTTCCTGAGTATTGCCCTTTTGCCCGTAGTACTTAAGGGCTCCCTTATTAAAACCGAATAGTCGGAGAAAAGGGTGTCAAGGGGCTACTCAGGAACCTAGTCTTCAAAGTCCCTGGAGAGTTGAACAAGCCTGACAGCCCCGCATGCTAGCACCCTATAACGGCCGAACCCTACGGCCCTAAATCCCATGAACCCGAAAACTCGACACCCCTATTTTAGGCCCTATACACCCTAAACCCATGCCCTAAACCCTTATATAGTCTTGTAAAGCCCAAAACCTTACAAGCCTTCACTAAGCTTTGTCATAGTTGGGTAGCATTTTACATTGTTATGGGTACTTGAACCCAATAAGGAATAAAAAGGTACTTTTTTAATCCTATCCCAACAATGAACTAGTAAGGATCAGCTGAAGACACGGATCGCCCTCTTGGAGCAATGCCGCAAAGACGATACGGACATGGAGTCGAAGATCAAGCTCCTCGGCCTTTGGGGAAAGGGGGGGGAGGGCCTAGGGTTTAGGGTTTACGGGTTTAGGGTTTAGGGGTTTAGGGTGTACGGTTTAAGGTTTAGTTAGGGCTTAAGGTTTAGCTTAAGGTGTATTAAGTCAGGGTTTTGATTTTAGGGGTCTTTTGGTACCGGAGGGTTTAGGGTTTAAGGTTCGATAGGGCGAGAGGGCTTCAAGGTTTTTGTAATCGTGTTGCGCAATGCCTTTTTTATATGGGGTTTGCTAGCCGCCAGGGTGTTTAACGGGGCCTTATAGTGGTGTTAACATGAAGTCTTACCCCTCGCCCCGCTCAGGCCCATCGAGGACAAGTACGCCAAGTTGGGCGAGTTTGAGGCACTTTCAGCCACAGCCAATGGTCCCTTCGAGGGTTCAAGGTTTGTGTGGTAGGATTCCCCAACATCACATGAGCAAGAATTGGGGTAGGTATACCCCCACATAGACATCAAAGGTATTGGGACATCTCTCTGTAAAGTGCTCACTACACGTGAAGCCCTTTAATACCCTAAAACGCTACGAAGCCCTTATGCCTTTGTTGGGCCCTTGCATGGGGCGAACCGCAATCAAACGAGCGCCTGCAAGCCTTCATGCTCATAGACCCCACCTGGACCCTACAAAACCTACCTGTTTAGGGATCCTTATTATCACTTCTGTATATAAGGCCTTAGAGAAGTAGGTTATCTGCGGTTAATTAACCAGGTAACCCTCGATCCCAGCCCTAAACACCAACAAGCCTTGATGCTCATGGCTGCCGAGCCTTCGCATCCCCGGACCCTGTCAAATTGTCACTAAACCCCTGCAATAAAACGTCTGGACCTGTGACCCCCTGTTCAGAAGCACGACGCATGATGCCCCCCCGCTTCCGTTTGCATCTAGCTACCGCGATGTGGAGGGCAGCGCGAGCTTGGTGGCGCGTATTCTCCACGCCGAATGAACTCTAGTTTGGCAAAGGGGCCGCTACACTGTGGCCGACGCCTGCCGTGGCAGCTTCTGTCACTCCATTGACAAGGATGTCTACGCACACCCGCTCACAGCTTCCCCGAGCGAGCTCCGAAACACGGAGCCCTTCTGTCAGATGAGCGAACCTGGACCCTCAAAGTATGTAGGATTATAGCCTTTTATAGGTTTTGGACCATTATTTTACCTACTTTTGGGGGTCTAGGAACTGGAGCAGATGGGCTTCTTGTTGGTGGCCACGTACCTTCGTAGGCCCGCACTTCTCGGCTCAGTCCCAGACCCCACAAGGGTTTAGGGTTTAGGGTTTAGGGTTTAGGGTTAAGGGTTTAGGGTTTAGGGTTTGGGGTTTAGGGTTTAGGGTTTAAGGCTCAGGACCCACAAGATGGAACGCGTCCACCTCTGCTTTGAAGACGCACAGGTTCGAAGCTTTTGCGCTGCAAACTTGCCGAGGAACACTCCCGCCTCTTAAGACCCACAAAACCCTGAACACACTAAGCCTTACGCCGTAAGCCTATCGTGACTCCGTGAACGTTGGTTGAACTCCAAGCCCCAGAAATTGAGACTTCTTTACGGTTTAGGGTTTAGGGTCGTTTGCGCGATGTTTGCTAAAATAAGGTTTTGCGGCAGTACACACACACACACACTCTCTGTCTCTCTTTCTCTTTCTCTTTTCTATAGTATTTCTGTGTATCATATACGGAGCTTTACTTGAGATGTCCGAGTATGTGGTAACTACCTTACATGAATGACCCTGACAATTTGGCCCGACCCTTCAAATCCAAACCGCTTCCAACAGCTTAACCTGCCAGGTTGTCCCCTCCGACGAAGAACTTTCTCGCAAGGCCACGCATCGTGAAGCGTGGCGAGGGCAGGGCCTTCCTTGAAGTACCACAACCTATTTGTCCCATGTAGAATCCGCAATGATGCTTGCATTCGGACCCTACAAGAGAGAAGATTTTGGTAGCTCATGTCAGGTCTCTCAAACTCTCGGATCCGCAGGTATGGTTTAGCATCCAATTCTTGTGGGTTGCAAGGCTTTCTCGTGCTTATAACAAATAGAGGGTAGAGGCATGTAGCATTTGAGCATCTAGGGCAAGAGCCTGTCAGAGCTTCGATGCACATGGGCTTAGTATGCAGGGTTTAGGGCTTCAGCTGTGCATGTACTGGGACATCATATGCGCCCCAAGACCGTTTAAGCCGCACGGGTTGTTTGATTCCAAGCTCTTGCATCATGGAACTCTTCACTACCCACAGCCTCCACTGTAAGCTCAAAAACCTTCAACACTGCACGCTCCCATTGAACACGAAAAGCTGCTCGTGGACCGGCGGTCCTACAAAGCACCCTGAAAACGCGCAGCTACGCACCAGACTCGCCGTGGATAGATCGCAGTACTCATAGGCTCCATAGTAGTTCCTGGTTGGGACTTCCTTATAGGATTCTAAATACCAACCCCCAAAAGAAACTACTATGGAGCCTGTGGGTACCCGCACCCCAAGCAATAAGATCTTGTCAAGACCAGGAAGATGCTTCACGAATTGCACATTGACAACTTGGAGGACTATGAGACTTAGTAACTATGGTTATACGTACCTTAATTGGGGTTACAATTAACTACAAGTATAGTTACCTTAGTAATTAAAACCGTAGTTACTACGTCCCATGATCCTTCAAGTACCAAACCCTTAATTCCTAAACCTTACTTCTGTTCTGTGCTTCTTGGGCAGCCAAGCTAGCTGCATGGCCCTCCTCCAACACCAAGGCAATGAAAACCTGTAATCGCCTCCCCCTAACATTAACCCCCCCCTAATACAAAAACTCCCGGCCCCCCGGAATTTCGTGGCTTCGGGCCCACAGTTGAAAGTTAATGAAAAAACATTTTTTTTTTGGGGGGGGGGGGGGGGGGGCTAGGATTGTATGAGTGTTAATAGAGCCAAAGATTACAGCTGTACTAAAGACAGTAGAGCTTTAGGGCTTAAGGGTTCAGGGCTGAGGGCTAAAGCTTTAGGGCTTAAAGTTTAGGGCTCAGGGCTTTAGGGTCTAGGGCTCGAGGTTTAGCGCTTAGGGCTTTAGTAGGGCCTCAGGGCTCCAGGCTTAGGATAACTAGCAGCTGGGAGTCCGGGTACGTGGATGCACCGAACCCCCCCCCTAATATTAAAACTAAACCTCCGAAATCCAGTTTTGAAATTAGGGGGGGGGGGCCTTTAATATTAGGGGGAAGGGATTATCTTCTCAGGACCTTAGACCCTCAACTTGGCCCGGACGCAAACTGAACCTTTCCACCCAACTGCCCGAAGATCCTACCTCAACCCGGCTAAACCCCGATGCATACGCACAAGCTCAGCCCCAAACCTGCTGGGTTTGGAGGCATATTGTACGATAAATGACACTAAGGACCCCCCCCCCCCAACAGAAAAACAACAACACTATTCTACTTATTAAGGCCCCTACAGTAGCAACATTTGTGAAAGCTTCATAGGAAGCCGTAGAGGGTGCCAAGAAACGGGCAGGCCCAGATGCGGCCCGCTATGGAGACTTTCCGTGAGACGCTGGTGGAAGCTGAGATGCGTCGCTGGACTTGTGCATTTCCCTACGGCTGATGATATACAGCCTGCATTACCCATGATAAGCAATATACCAGAATTCCCATGGTCTAGGGTCATTAAGGCAATGCAGGATTTATATCATCAACTGTAGTAGCTAGGTACTTGGGTTTAGGGTAGAAGCTTTGTAGGCTAGTTTTGGGTAGAATATATGGTTATTTCCCTGACACTAGGGATCCAAGCATACAAGTAGTACCTACTTTGGGGGCCAAAGTCTATAAATGCTACCTAATTTGTGCTTTTTGGAACGCCCTCGGTAATGGTCCGAAGGATCTTGGTACTGGGGCTTAGGGTATCATTATTGTAGTCTAGTTGTGGGTAGAGTTTGTGATCATCAGGTCTAGGATTCAGGAATGCAGCACCTAGCACTCCGAGCCTATGAGTAGTCTTTCCTATGTACCTGCATGGTAAATAGACCGCCAAACCTCAGTCTAATCCAACGTATTACTCGTGATTGTGCTAAGAACGTCTTTGTTCAAGGTGGGTTTGGCGATGCATGATCGCATGCATTGGGGTTCTTTTGCTTCCGGCCCGGCAGCGGACTTTCCCTGTAGCACACCCTCACTTACACCCGCATTTCGAGCAGCAAGGGGGCTCAGCAAGACAGCTTCCAGCCAGCATATCTGGATCCAGCATATCTGGATAGAGGCCCTATATATACTTCTCCTCCGAAAAAGTCCTTGAGTTACACCCTTTTCTCTACTTGACAGAAAATCCCTGAACAAAAAACCCTAAACCCTAACCCTGCAACCCTGAAACCCCTACTTGGAGCGGCAGGGGACTTGGTAAGTATGGTTATAAGTAGAGTCAAAAGTACCCTAAATGGACTTTACCCCAATTATAACCCTAGTTATAACCCTACTAAGTCCCAAAAACCCCTCCAAGTAAACCCTAAACCCTAAACCCGATAGATCCATTTATGAAGCCTTGACTAAGTCCCCTGCAACCATGAAGCCATAAACCCTAAACCCCGTAGATCCCTTTAAGGAGCCCTCCCCATAAGTCTCGAAGCCACAAACAAGTAGGGTTTGGTACTTGAAGGTGAACGCTAAAGCTCCGAGGCATCAGCAAGTCCCTAAACCCTAAAATCCCAGAGATCCCCTTTAAGGGACCCTAGAGATCCCTTTAAGGAGCCTTTTAAGAAGCCCTTACTAACCCCAAAGCTCCGAGGCATCAGCAAGGCGAAGAAGTTGATGAAAGCAGGCTTGGAGCAAGATCTGGGCTCCTTCGGCCAGGCCTGCCTTTCTGGGTGTAGGCCTTAACCCGAAATAACCTACCTTTTTCAGGAGCTAAAGAAGGAAATCATAAAGGGTGTACTTGGGGGTAGCTATAAGTGGGGGTTATAAGTAAGGTAACTATACTTATAAGTGGTATTAGGAGACGTATAGCCCCAGTTATAACTACCCATGAACCTCCAAGTAGGCCTTACGTAGGGGTTGCCTAACCCCCCCCTGATAGGATTTACCTGAACCCCCAAATCTAGAAGAAGGGCCCGACACCTATAAAAAATACAAATTCTTCTACATACTTTGGGGGTCCACACACCGTTTTACGAAGAATGGGTCCGATCCTAAAGCCTTCACCCCAACTCTCCAACATTTAGTTATTTTGGGCTGCGGGAGTTTTGGGTTTAAGGATTCGCGCTTTTAGAGTCTAGGTGTTTTGGGTTTCGGGATTTTGGTTGCTTTAGTGTTCAGGGTTTAGGATTTAGAGCGTGGGGTTGAGGAGTTGGGGCTTAGGGGGCTCCTGCCATTTCGAAGGGTCAAACTTTCTGTCCAGGTTTTTTCGGAGGCGGACTCATTTGGCATGTCTAGCGTGCTGTGGCTGCTTAGAGGGGCACGGGACTTAGTAAGTAGTGATAAGTAGAGTTATAAGTACCTTGAATTTAGTCCCCTTTTTTAAACATACTTATAACCTACTTACTGAGTCCCCTGCCCCTGCAAGTAGACCCTATGTCAACCCTAAAAAACCCTATAGATCCCCTTTAAGGAACCCTAGAGATCCCTCCAAGGAGCCGGAAAAAGAACCCTTACTAAGTCCCCTGCTCCTCCAAGTGGGCAGACAACTTTAGAACACGTCGCAACCGAGAAGCCCGACATCCACAGCCCTGAGACCTACTCAAAGGGGGCCTAAGGGTTCGGGGGATACTTAAAGGATCATGGGACTAGGGTTCCTTAAAGGGTTCCTTTAAAGGGGTCTATAAGGTTCTATCAGGGGGATTTTTAGGGTCTACTTAAAGGATCATGGGACTCAATTAGTAACCAGGGTTATTACTAGGGTAACTATACTGATAATTACTTATAACCCCGATTCAAGGACTTCTAACCATACTTACTAAGACCCATGATCCTCCAGGTACGCGAAATTGCCTTACTAAGGGTTCAGGGTTTGGGCTTCGGGTTAGGGCCCCAGAGTCGCAAAATTGTAGGGGAGTGTCCGAAAATTAGGGGTACCTTATTTCGGGGTCCCTATAATAAGGATCCTGCTAGTTAGGGTACTATAGTAGCGTCCATTTTCGGAAACTCCCATAGAGGTAACAGAAACCTCGCTGCAAAGGGCATCCGCGACGTGAAGACTGACTTCAGTCGCCATGCACCGTACAAGAGCGATGGCCACGCCCTCGGTTGTTGCTTGGAGCTGGAGCCAAGGTGTTTGTTCGCCGTTTCTTGTGTTCAATCGTTTAGCGTTCCAGGGGTTCCGTTACCTAAGGCTCCATGTACCCATATAGTATATACTTAGGCCTTAAAGTACCTATATAGGGACCCCTTTAAGGCCTAAGTATCTACTATAAAGGTACATGGAGCCTTTGGGTTAGGGGGAGACTATACTGGGTTGCTACAGGGTTCGGCTGAGGGGTTTGTTTGCGTACTTTTCCTCTTCGCTAAAACATCTGACGGCTTCCAGGGTTGTATCTTTTCAGTTGCGAGGCTTTCACGCATCTTTTGCCCCCAAGGTGTGCAGAGAGACTTAGCGTTTAGTTGAGGGTTGAGGTCTGAGGCGTTAGGTTTTGATGGCGCCGCTGCTGGAAGGTGCCTATATAGTAAACCCCCAAAAAGTTGGAAACCTGATTAAGGACAAATAGTGCTGGGATGCCCTATACACTACTCTTAAGGACTGAGGCTATTGGGTTTCCAACTTTTGGAGCTTTGCTGGGCAGAAAGGGCAATCGAATCGACTCCGGTTTAGGGTTTAGGGTTTAGGGTTTAGGGTTAGCGAAGAGGCCCCCGTATGCAAGCAAACCCTCAGCCAAACAACGCTGACGACCCTTGTAGCAAGCCGGCATAGTCACATAGTCTCCCCTAACGGAACCCCTGGAACGCTATGAAGCCCGAAAACAGGCCTGACACCGGATGGAGCTTTCACCATGCTACAGAGCCCTGGCTTCATAAAAAGGGGTTCGGCTCGGGGGCAGGAATTTCGGATTTCGGTCGGTGCGGCCTCTTGTGGTGGAAGTATACTAGGGGCAGGCAGATGGAACTTGGGTTGAGAATGACTGCTCATGCTGTAGACCCGCGGCCGGTACCTTTCGTATGTGTTCAATGCTGAGCATAAGAAGCACCTGGTACCAAACACGATGTATCCTGCCTCTGAGGTTTGGTGGCAACTGCGTGTTCATCTCCAGTAAGTAAATCGACCTAGGGAGGATTGTATATCTTCAAAGATTTCATTTGTGCTACCCTGATGCAAAGAGGCTTGCACAAGACGAGTTCCGTTCACAGTTCGTTCGTGCATTTGTGTCGGAAGGTGGGTCCAGAATGGTACTGTTCGTGTGCATGTCATGTATGTCATAGATATCTATATCTTCCGCTGCGCATGTTCTATGTATCTGCGTGCATGCATGTTATAAATGTTTACAAACATGGGCATACTCTCTCTCTCTCTCTCTCTCCCTCCCTCCCTCCCTCTCTCTCTCTCTCTCTCTCTCTCTCTCTCTCTCTCTCTCTCTATCTCTCTCTCTCTCTCTCTATATATATATATATATATATATACATATATATATATATATATATGTATATATATAACACATATATGCATATATATATATATATATATATATATAGATAGATAGATAATAAATGCATGCATTTTCAGCATACACACATATGTATACATATATATATATATATATATATATACATATGTATATATATATATATATATACATATGTGCATGTATATGAGTACTCACATACGTAGGTACGTAGGTACATACATACATGCATGCATTCATGCATACATACAAGCATGCATACATTCATGTATGCATACCTACATACGTACATACATACATTTACTACCAGTAGAGTTACGTACTTTCAGCCCCTTGAAAGTGTCTGCCAGAGGTCTGCGCAGTTGAAACTATGTAGTCTAGTAGCCAACTATGCAGGAATCTGATGCACAAAACCCTCCCGTAGTAGACCTTCCTTCCGAGAACCCCCCCCAAAAAAGGCTTGCAAAGCCTTAGAAGGAACCCTAAACCTGGAGCCTTGAACTCAAACCCTAAGATATGCCGGACGAATCTCTAAACCCGAAATCCCGACCAAGAGACCCGAAACCCCCAACCCTATACACCCTACCCTAATGCTCCTGGACCCTCGTAGTGAGATCCCAAACCTTAGCCCCCAAAGCCCAAACCCTCCCCCAGAAAGCCCATGACCCCCTTAGGAGTCTTAGGGTAAACCCTAAACCCCTAAACCCTAAACCCTAAATCCCTAAACCCCTAAACCCAAACTCTAAAACCCTAAAGCCCTAAACCCTAAACCCTAGAACCCTAAACCTTAGGAGTCTTAGGGTAAGCCCTGACCGAAGTAGGGTTATAAGTGGGGTAACTCCATTTAGGGTACTTATAACTCTACTTATCACTACTTACTAAGTCCCCTGCCCCTCCAAGTAAGCCCTCACCGAGGAACTACCGGAATCAGATCGAGAACAAGCGGAAGCTCGAAGCGGAGTTTCGGCCGAAGCAGGCTCGCAAAAGATGCGGCTGCCAGGGGATGTTTAGGGTTTAGGGGTTTAGGGGTTTAGGGTTTAGGGGTTTAGGGCTTAGGGGTTTAGGGTTTAAGGGTTTAGGGTTTAGGGGTTCCCAGAGGGTCCAAGTACTCCTTCTTAAAGGACTTTAGGGCTTTTTGAGGTATCAACAACCATAAGTAAGGACTCCTTGGACCCTTAGGGTAAGGGAGTATGTAGGATTGAGGGTTTTAAGGGTTATAAGGGTTTTGCGCTTAGGGTATGTCGGATTTAGGGGTTTAAGGGTTATAGGGGTTTTGGGCTTAGGGTACGTCGGATTTAGGGTTCAGGATCAAGGGTCCATGTATTCTCATACTACTAGTATATTCTTTGGCCTTAAATTTGATCTCTTTCTCAGTGCTTTAGAGCCTAAGTATGTACTACACGGGGTGCATGGACTCTTAGGAGGGATCTTGTGCAGGACGGGTTTGGGGTTTAGGGTTTAGTCTTGTCAGAGGAGTCGAGTGCTTACGTAAGGTCAAGGCTGGTGGTTTAAAGATTTCTGTTTTCAGGTGCGCAGCCTGCATTTCTAGCATTCCTTATTCCGGTATGACAGGAAGTGCTTTGGGGTTCGGTTCAGGTAGGTAGGTTAGGGGGTTGAGGCGGTAAAGGGTTGTGGCTGCAACTGATAGCCACTTGTTGGTCTTTGGCGGTTTATGTGGGCAGGTATGCCTATGATTTTGGACAAGCTGCATGGTCTAACGTGCACTTTGGTAGTTTTACCGACGTCACTGTTTTCATCACCGCGAGTCGTAGTAGTTCAGGTTGCTTGAGTGGTTTCCCTCTAACAGGCGATGCTTCTGCACATAGGCTTCCACACGGGCTGACGTGTGGAATCGTTTCTCTTGGGGCCCATACCGGACTTGCAAAAGCTGAACCGAAGGTCCTAGCTCACAGCCCGATCCCGAAGCCAGAAGTTAAACCTGAACATTGCACTGCCAACCCGCTATTCAAACCCCGGGCCTGTGTATGTTCAGGACTGCAGGTATGCATTGCTTGTATCAAGCACCCACATCCGTAAACAAAAATCAACTTCTGAAACTCTAGAGCCCTAAATCCCGATCCCTGAACTTTCCTTATACACCCTACCTGAACCCCCCCAAAGCCGATCTTTTTCAGGAATCAGCAATTACATAAGGAATCCATCATAAGCAACCCTAAACATGAAGGTTTCTTAGGATGCAGGTCATCCCCAAACCCTCTTGCAAAGCGTCCGAAGTACCCACGAGGGGGATGCTTACCCACGCCACCAGTAGTCTATATAATCGTAATTCCCATGATAGAAACCTTACCGCCTACTATGGCTGATGATATAAATCCTGCATTACCGTACGGACCCTAAACTATGCGAATTATGGTAGATTCCTTATCATGGGCAATGCAGGATTTATATCACTAAACCCTAAACCCTAAATCCCTATAGATCCCTCAAAGGAGCCCCTTAAAGGTACCCTTGGTGGATGGTTTGTATCATCCACCGTTAGCACCCTTTGGGTCTGACAGCCCCTCGCCCTCCCGAAAACTTCTGTGGCAGGAGCTGTTCGGAATCGAGCCGGCAAACTACAAGGACGGATGACGAGTTTCAGGGCGGAGGTCTTAAGCTTTGGGTCTTACATACCCCTAAGGGTCCATGTGCTCAAAAATTACACACTTTGGCACTAAAGGCACCTAAACAGGCAGTACTTGAAGGCCAAAGTATATATTTACGAGTTAAAACTATTAGTTGGGTACATGGACCCTGAGGGTACGGTCTAGGATTACTGGATCAGTTAGGCCTTTGGGATATTGTATGTTTTCCCTAAGTGGGCTTCAGAGGATCTAACTTACGAGTAGTCAGGGGCCACCCGAGAGCATGCATGGTGTATAAGATAGGCAGGGTTTAGTCGAAGGTTTAGGGGTGCATATGGCATAGGTAGAGGGGAGTTCGGGTTGCAAGGTTGGGTGCAAATATTCCTTGACGGAGTTCGAGGTTTAAGATTTGGGTATCTTAGTAGCTGACTGCTTACATTTTTTGGGCTTCATGTCCCGCTATAGAACTGGAAGTAGACATTTTTGCTTTTTCGGGCTGGTGAATTCAGCAACTGGGGTATACGTGTTGAGAGTCGAAGCTTTGGTGTTCTCTTGCGAGAAGTTGCGGGTGGTAGGGCTCTAGGCAGGAGCTTTTACTGACCATGGAGTCTTCAATATAGATCTAATTATAGCTCGCTGCGATGACCCAGCTTCTAAATATGTATACAGTATACATATACATATATGTATCTATATATAATATGTACATCTATATCCTCACTGTCAGAGAGACCTTGAGGGTCCGCGAGCCCAAACCGCAGAGACTTGCGCATGCACTCGTCAGCAATGCCATAGGATCTGCCGGGTTTTCGGGCTAATTCTGCAAGCCCTGGAGTACAAACCGGGGCTATAGCAGGTTAATGTGTTTAGTTGAGGGGTGTGGGTTTGAGCTCGGATTTAAGGTCTTGTTCAAGGTTTTGGGCAGGCAGTTGCCAGGGAAATTGACACCATGAAAGGTACCTCTGTGCTCTACACGGCCCTACACCTTATTTCCAAAACTCTGAACCCTAATTTCCGAACCCTAACCTCTGAACCCACACCTCTGAATCCTAAACTCTGAGCCCAAAGCTCTGAACCCTAAACCACTCAAACCCTGTACATCCCATAATATAGGGGCATAAATAGTTACCTATACCATTCGGGGGGTTTCCTTATTACAGTGATAGTATAATGGGCTTCCCCAGAAAACGCCCATTCTAATTATTATTATTATAAGGCCCCTACACTAAGCCCCCATAATGCGCCCTCATAATCCTTACAGACCACTCTGAAAGGAACCCTTAAAGGGTCCCTGTTCTAAATATCAAGGCGCCTGCAGTAGGCTCATCCAACATCAGGAGCTGGATTGGCAAGCCCTCAACTCTGAACCTTAACCTCCGAACCCTAATTCCTACACCCTAAACCTTAATGGTGCTGGACCCTCGTAGTGAGATCCCAAAGCTCAGCCCCCAAAGCCCCCACCCTCGCTCGGAAAGCCCATGACCCCCTTAGAAGCCTTGTTAGGGTAAACCCTAAATCCTAAACCCCTAAACCCTAAATCCTAAACCCTAAAACCTTAAACCCTTAAACCATTGGCTGCCCGCGCCCGGCGGCGGCCGGTACCACTGAACGCTACCGCTTCGAGATCTGCTTGCTTGGCCAAGCAGATCGAGTCTACCAGACCTGATTTGGCACTGCTAGCCATGGGGCACAATAGTAAAATTGGGTACCCTTATCTCCCAGCGCGAGAACCCTGGCGGGGACGGGACCTGGTAGAAAGAGCTTGACGAGCGACCCTGGCGGGTATGGCGGGCGACTCTGGCGGGGACGGCTGACGACCCTGGCGGGGACTTGGTGGACGGACGACTTTGGCGGGGACGGCGCGCGACCCTGGCGGGGACGGCGGGCAACCCTGGCGGGGACGGCGGACGACTCTGCTGTGACAGCAAAAGGGCCAAAAACAGCTTGGCAGACGACTCTGGAGGGGGACGGCGGACGACCGCGGGGACGGCGGGCGACCCTGGCGGGGACGGCGGACGACTCTGGCCGGAACTTGGCGACTCGGACAGGGACTGAAAAAACCAAAAACAGCTTGGCAGACGACTCTGGAGGGGATGGCGCCTTATCTCCCAGCGCGAGAACCCTGGCGGGAACGGGACCTGGTAGAAAGAGCTTGACGAGCGACCCTGCCAAGGATGGCGAGTCCTCTGGCGGGGACGGCTGACGACCCTGGCGGGGACTTGGTGGACGGATGACTTTGGCGGGGACGGCGCGCGACCCCGGCGGGGACGGCGGGCAACCTTGGCGGGGACGGCGGACGACTCTGCTGTGACAGCAATTAAAAAGGCCAAAAACAGCTTGGCAGACGACTCTGGAGGGGGACGGCGGACGACCCTGGCGGGACGGCGGGCGACCCTGGCGGACGGCGGACGACTCTGGCGGACTCTGTGACCCTGCAAGAACGGACAACTCTGGTGGGGACTTGGCGGTGAGGCTTCTGGGCCCGACGACCATACTGGTTGACTTTGACAGAAGGCCAAAAACAGTTTGGCAGACGGACGACCCTGGCGGGGACGGCGGGCAACCCTAACGGGGACGGCGGACACTCTGGCGGGCACTTGGCTTTGACAGCAACTAAAAAGGCCAAAAACAGCTTGGCAGACGGTTCTGGAGGACGGCGGACGACCCTGGCGGGGACGGGCGATCGTGGCGGGGACGGCGGACGACCCTGGCAAGGACGGCGTAAGGACCTTGGCGGGGACGGCGACCCTGACCAAGCGACCCTGGCGGGGACAGCGGGGTGACGTTGCGGGGACGCAGTGACGGGACGTCCTAGAAAGAGCTTGGGGACAGTGGCCGACTCTGGCAAGGAGCTTGGAGTGCGAGTTTGGCGGCAAAGCTGGACAATTCTGGCACGGACTGCCGGGCGAAAAAACCCTGGCGGCCGACTGGATGATCAGCACTCTTGGCCGGACTGGCACGGACAGCGGACGGCTGCAGACCACTTCTGGAGGCCTGGCACTGGGCCCTGACGGACGACTCTGACGACGGCTGACGGACGACTCTGGCGGCCGGCGAGGACGAGCGAGGGCGTCGCTGCTATTTTGTGACTACATCACTCGGATGTCCCTTTGACGTTCCGCAACATTGCAACGTCTTTTCGGCTAGTGCAGCACTCGAATAAGAAGAAGCAGAACACAAAACCCGTTCTAGTCCTGCTTCGGGTGGTTGTGGGTGGGTTCCACGTTACGAAGACGGCGCGACCCACGACCACTCCATGGGTGGGGCGCGCCGTGGCACTGTGACACACCCTAAACCCTAAACCCTAGAACCCTAAACCCCTAAACCCTAAATTCTAAACTCCTAAAACCCTAAACCCTAAACCCCTAAACCCTGAACCCTGAAACCCTAAACCCACTAAGCCCGAAAACCCTAATACCCTAATACCCTAAAACCCTAAACCCCTAAACCCTCTATCCAACATCAGGAGCTGGATTGGGTGGAGCAAGAGATCGAGAAGCTGACCATGGTCTCCTGGCGCAGAAAGGGGGGGGTCTTGCAGGGTTTACTTGGAGGATCATGGGACTTAGTAAATATGGTTATAAGTACCTTATTATTACTTGGGGTTATGATGAGTAATTATGAGTATAGTTACCTTATTAATAACCCTAATTACTAAGTCCCATGATCCTTTAAGTAGGGTTTGCATACAAAATACGAGGTAACCGTTCGTTAGGCTTTGAACTTGCGTTTTCGAGTTGGTGGTTGGGCGCCTGAGAGCTTTTAGCCGAGTGCTTGATCTTGGGACTGTGCGGTTTGCAGGTTTCAGCAAAACAGTGCCGAGCATCAAGCATGCGCCTATGGGTGATGTTTATAAGCTCTCAACGCCTGACCTTCAACCCCAAACCGTCAGTCCACAAAACCCGACACCTGAACCTGAGCATCCAAAACCTCTTGATTAAGGAATATACCTTAGATCTATGTTGGCTTCCTATTGTAATTTGGAGGCTCTGGGAACCTCAGCATCACACCCTGCCTAGACGCCCCCAACTAACCTCCAATATACCCTAAATACCAACTATTACGGACCCTAAGAGCTCTACTACCTGGGGGGTGCTGGTGGACCCCATTGATGGAGAACCAAGCCTGTGTCGAGGTGTGGGAGATTCGCGATGACTGGAACAAAGAGCGGCTTGGTGTAGACCAACCTGGACCCGAAGGAACCTACATTTTTAGGGTTCCCTCTTTATGAGTCCTTAAAAACCGTAGGTTATTTGGAGCTAAGGAAAAGGCCAAACCCTAAGTGAAGCCTTCTACCCTAAAGAACAAACCTCAAACCCTGTACCCTAAACGCTTTAAAAAATCCGGCCTGTGATCTCAGTATGGACGCAGAATGGGCTGGTTCTCATTGTTTCGAGCTCCGTTTGTTTCTACTTCAGGTCTATGTTAGGTTCCTTCGTTTCTGAAACTGTTTTATGCAGGGACATGACTTGGACCCTGATCCCCAAAAGCCCTTTGCCCTGAGCCCCTCGAAGCCTAAACCAGGCTTTCTGGTTTTTGCTTCTGGATGCGGTATTGTTTGTAGCAGAAACATCTCTAGTACTGTAGTACGCAGAACTTGGGATCTTCAGCTGAAGGCCGGTGAATCACCAGAACTGGCGTGTTGGCTGTAGGGTTTAGGGGTTTAGGCTTATTGTAGACTTAAAGTTCGTAGGGCATGGAAGCTGTATGGGTTCTTTACATGCTAGCACTAGCACGACACGGCCTCTAGTTGGGGGGGCACAGAGACTTCGTTATTATTACTAGGTTATGACAGATTATACACCGTTCCAGTTTAGGAACTCCACATCATAATCCCCGAACACCCAAGCCCTAAACCCCATGATAAACCCCAAATCTTAAACTCGCAACACTAAGCCCTACATCCCGAACCCTACACCCGAAAGGCCCTTAAGCTTGCAAGGTGGGAGAAGCTGCGCACGGGCAGCTTCCAGTCTCTCAACACCGACGACATGGATGAGCTTGCCATGCAATTCTTGGGCCGCATTCGGAAGGCCGGGGTTGTGTCATAGGACAAAAGGGGTTTTAGCCTATGCGGGGTTAGGGATCCCTAGGGTTCCTTTCAAGGGATCTATACGGGTATCATAGGAGGCCAAAGGGGGTTTTAGCCTATAGGGGTTTGGTAGGGATTAGGTTTCCCATAATAGGGTTCATACTAAGGAATCCCTACCCCAAGAATCTTAATCCACCCTTTTAGCCTCCCTTCAGAGGGTTTCGAGTTTTGTCATGTAGGGCTTTCGGGTTCGTGGGTTTTGCGGGAATTGTGGTCTACATACCTGTGGCTTTTCTGACTTGCTTGCCGGCTGTATGCTGATACCCTATACTCAAGCGCTCATTGCCCGTTGTGTTCTACACCTTCGGGCTTCGGATTTCAAAGTTCCCTATCTATCCCTCCAAGGACCTCATAGTTAGGGCCCTAGACCTCTTAAGGACCCCATAATAAGGTCCCTATGCCTCTGAGGACATCTGATACCCATCACTCGGATCCTAGATTTCGCGTTGCGGAAAGCACCAGACCCATGAGGCTCTTTCCACTACCAAAATGCCAATACTGCTTCTTAGTAGCTGAGTGGATACACTTTACATACACTTTTTGGGAGAATCTTACCCACTATAAAACTGAAAGTCTACACTTTCTGGGGCTTATGAACTCAGCAATTAAGGATTGATTCCCTGAGTAGTAGGGCACCTACGGTTTAGGCCTTGTGATGAAAGGTGATTGGCAAGGACAAGAACGTCCAGAACTGGCACCGTGGCACTTTCGATCACCCTCAACCCTCAATTATCTTGGCTTTCGAGCTTCCACAGCTTCTTACATCCATTCCAGGCAGGAAGCCTTCAAGACAGTAAGATAGTAGGTACCCATAGGCTCCATAGTAGTTCCTTTTGGGGACTTGCTTATAGGATTCTAAATACCAACCCCCCAAAAAGGAACTACTATAGAGCCTCTGGGTAGGGCTGAGTGAATGGTTTCTACAAACTAGCTGCTCCTTGGGTGCAGCCTTTAACACCAGGATCCTAGAACTTCTGTGGCTGTTACCATTCCTAGAGGGTCCATATACACTTCTATTATGGAATTACGCCCCCAAAACCATACTGGGGATGGTCTATTAGGGCCTAATTCCGTAACAGTAGTGTATATGGACTCTCTGGGAAAGTTCTGAAGCAGCACCTCTCTTTTTTTTGCCAGGCTTTGCTTCTCCGCAACGCTCGCACGAATAGTTCCTGCCTTGAAGTTTTTGGTGTTCCGGGTGTATGTAGAACTGATTAAATCTCAAGCCCCCTGACCAACCTGATGCTATTTCACCCCACTTCAACCCCAAGGCTCTCGTGAAGTTGGCATCTGTAACGACACCTCATAGAGCCCTACATCATCCCAAACACCTAAACCCCCAAACCGTATTTCTTAGGCCATATAACCCTCAAAACCTCAACTCCTGAAGCCTTCTCTTCAACCCAGGCAGGTCTATCAGGATCTCAAGGCCGACTTGGAGACCTTCCGCAACATGCCCTTTGGCGTCTTCAGGGGGGATTAGAGCGATTGGAGTTCGGGTTTAGGGCTTCCGCGAAGGAACGTGGGTTTAGGGTTTGGGTTTAGGGGTTTAGGGATTAGGGTGGTTCTGGGGGTTTTAGATTATTTTTGTGTGTAGGGTTTAGGGTACTTAGGTGCCCTTTATCGAATCCTGCCACGTGTCACTTGTAGGTTGCACACTCTGGGTAATGGTGTGCTAAGGGAAGAGAAGGGCTCTTGCTTAGGTGCCTCCAGTATTTTCTAAACCCTAAACCAACCCGAAACCCTAAACTTAAACCTTAAAACCTAATCCGTAATCCTTTCGTGATGAGGATACTTATTACAGGAGCTTCGTGAGCTACAGGATTTCGAGCCGCAAGCCCTAGGTATACCTTGAATAGGGGAGACCAGAGAGAACCTTCAACGGAACACCTTAAAGACCTCTAAGCACGAATCAAAGCTCTTTTGAGGTTTGGGGTTCCAGAGTTTCTAATAATAACCTTGAGATGTCTGGAGGACATCAAGGTGTTCCATGTTCGGAGCTGGCACCCACGATGAACCCTTTAAGGGGCCGTGACCTATTGTTTGTGGGATGGAGGGCTGCACCCCATGCTCTGAGATGTAGGAAGGTGTCGTTCTTTGGCCACGCCTCTCATGCTTCGTCTTTGCTTCTGGCGCTCTTCGGTCGAGGGCCCCCAAACCCGAAACCCTGGGCCAGAAATTAACCCTTAGCCCTGCCTGAACCGATGTAGAAGCAACAACCAGCAACGAGGCTTCCCTGACCTGAACCTGAAACCTCGAATTCTTTAACCCTCAGCCCTGAACCGATGTAGAACCGACAAACCAGCAACGAGCCTTCCCTGAACCTCCAACATGGTAACATGATGAGTTTGAGGTGGCTTCTACATGAAAGCTGCTGAACCTTAATCCCAAAACCGGTACCGCAGCCGGCAAATTCCCAAAGTTCCTATGCCCTGGATCATAGGAGGCCAAAAAGGGGTTTAAGCCTATGGGGGGTTTAGTAGGGATTAGGGTTCCCAGAAAAAGGGTTCATATTAAGGACTCCCTACCCCAAGAATCTTACCCCTCTTTTTGGCCTCCCATCACTGGAGACCGACACTTCCGTTTCAAAATCCCCAAACCACTGAACTCAAAAGCAGAAGACATGAAGCACCCAAGCGGTCCGACTCCTCAGCCTCTAACCCCGAAATCCAAACTCAGTTGCTGGTAAAGACTTGGGATCTAAGGACTCAGATAGTAAGCCTTTTGGGTTCAAAGACCATACCATATAAGTAATATAAGGCTTTGGGGCTATGTTGATGCAGACTGTCTGGTTCTTAGTAGGGTAGGGGACCATCTAGGGACTACTATAGAAATAGGGATCCATGCCCCCATTTCCTCTTGAGAACCAGAGAGACTAAGGATGCCGGTCATCCAGAACTTGCGTGCAGACGCCATGCGTGAGCGGCACATCGAGGAGGTTGTGAAGCAGGTCAAGGCCGCTAGGCCCAAATTTCATAATAGTCCCTTAAGGGTGCCCTATAGTAGCCGGGACTTAGTAAGTAGGTTATAAGTAGGGTTATAGTTGGGGTATCTCCATTTAGGGTACTTATAACTCTACATACTTATAAGCTACTACCATCGTCGGGTTTCCATGTTATAATCACAGGCCCCTTAAGGGAGTAGGGGGGAGTGGGGTAGGGGACTATACTTCCTTGAGTAGGCCTTATTAAGTGCTTATTATGGGTAGTAAGGCCCCTACCACCCCCCCAAGGATCCTTATGGAAATTGGCAGAGTGGACCGTGGAGGTTGAGGCTTTCAGGTATTCATGAATCCAAAACCTAAACCCTACTTGTTATACCCTACAATACAGGTATAATCACCTGCCATTTCGTAGTCAGTACCTTATCGAAGGTGAACCCGGGTGCAAGCCCTCGGCAGCACCAAATCCCACTCCCAACAGTCAAAACTCAACAGCCAATCTCAACCCCAGACCTTAAACCTGATCCGAAACCTTAAGCACTAAATCCTAAGCCCCCCTAATCTACGCTCCTTAATGCTAACTCCCAAAATCGCGACGGCCTAAAACGAGCAAACAACTTTAATACTCGAGCCCTGAACCCTAAAGACTTCAATCCTTCAAAAACCCCACAGCCCTGACCCTTAAGCCCACAACCCCCCAAAAACTGCTATATCCTCGATCCTAGACCCTACGCCCAGCGCATGCACTGTCAAAGGGTCCTATGTACTGTTAAACTACTGTTATGGGGGATATATCATAAAAGTAATTCCTGATATAGAAACCCTACATGCTACTAAACTATATAGGTACTTTGGACCCTTTGGGACTTTCAAACGCGGCGCCCAGGAGTCGTTCAACCCGAAGGATCCGGGCTTCACGCTCCAAAGGGTCATGGACCTCGGCCTGCAGAACCACTCCGACCTCATTGCCAGGCGACTTCGCTAACCGCTAGTATACTATTAGTCGCAGCAGAATCTACGTAAGGATGTCAAGTATACTGTTCATCTCAGTGTGGTCAGCATCAGTTTCTGTCAGCAATATTAAGTTATGGAGCTCTCAATCTCTTACTATTCAGGGTTGGGCTTGCTTGTTCTACAAGGATTTCGTGGATGCAAGTAAGTAGATATTGTTGAGGGTTGATCAGCTCCCGTTGCTAAGCTCTTTTTCTTAACTCCCTCAAGCTAGTGGCACCTGAAACCCTCAGCAGTGGGAGTGTCCGAGAATAGAGTAAGCCCACACACACGGAGGCACTGCAACCACAGTGAGAATACGTATCACAGGTAACATCGGTGCCATAAGCCCTATTCCCCTAAATCCTAGTCCCCTAAACCCCTAATGTTCTTTTGGGGCATTTAAAAAGTCGGGTTTGCGAGTCATATGATTAGGGTCTACAGGGTTTACTGTATGGCCTCGCATTTTAGGTCTTGCGCTTACAATAGGTCTGTTAAGGCTTGAGTTCTCTGAGTTTTGCCAGAGAGGCTCTGCGATGATGCGAAGAAGGAGGCGAAGATCGAGAATGGCTTGGAAGACATCGCCAGGACTGCCTCGTTTTGGGGGGTTGAGATTGAGGGTTCAGTGTTGAGGTTTCCGGCTTTATATGGGAGTTTCCGAAAATTAGGGGTACCTTGTTTGGGGTCCTTATAATAAGGATCCTACTATGTAGGGTATTAGATTAGGGACCCTAATTTCGGAAACTCCCATATAGGGATTTGTTTTATGCTCAGGAATGACCAGTTTTGGCCTTCGGTGTTGAAGGTGGCTTCCTCGATAGACGAGCTGGCTGCTTAAACTGAAATACTGACCCAAACCCTAGACCCTAAAACCCTATAACGTTTCATTTCGTGAGGTCCCATCTCGGGGCACGCCCACGGCCCACAACACCGGCAAAGCATCACTGCCTTAATCTGGTTGCAGCAGATACTGCTTTTGAATTTTTATGCGCACAAGAGCTGTAGTCACTGTAGTCCCTGAGTAGGTACTTGTGGAACATAGTATCTACTACTTGCGTACATGAATCCCTTAAACCCCAAGCCCGAAAACCTATAGACTAGATCCAAAATAGTTCCCTTTAAAGGAACCCTTAATTAAGGAGTTTTGGAGGCTCTGGGTATACACCTAAACCCAGGATCCTCCTAAACCCCAAAACCCAAAAACCTAAACCCAGGATCCTCGTAAACCCTAAACACTAAACCCTAAAAACCTAAACGCAGGATCCTCCTAAACCCTAAACTTCCTAGACCCTAAAATAACCTAAACCCAGCATCATCCTAGACCCTAAACCCTAAAAACCCAAACCCAGGATCCTCCTAAACCATACCCTACAAGCCCTAAAACCCAGAGAGTGCAACCCACCCACCCACACACACAAGAAAACCTTTTGCTCAAGCAGGATCCTCCTAAACCCTAACCCCTCAAACCCTAAACCCAGGATTCTCCTAGACCCTAAACCCTAAAAAACCTAAACCGAGGATCCTCCTAGACCCTTAGGAGTAAGGGTTCAGTTATACACCAGGATCTGGGCCACGATGACCATCGATGTTGTCGAGCACAAAGGCGATGCGCAGCTCGGCCGAAACGGTGTTTGAGAGTGAGGGTTTTAGGGTTCCTTAAAAGGATTTAGAAAAAGGTTCCTTTAAAGGCATCAATAGGTTTTTAGAAGGTTTACAGGTTTAGGGGTTTAGGGGTTTTGGGGCTTAGGGTGCTTTGAGAGTTAAAGAGGGGTCTGTTGGAAGCTGTTGTTGGAGAGACACGGGTGACTTCAACCTTCACCTTGAAATTCCATGTGGCCAATACTATAAGGTAAGAGCCAGAAAGTTGGAATATGATTATCCTAACCCTTCTATGGTAAGTTATAGGGTATCCTACCATGAAACCATATTCCAACTTTCTGGAGTTCCCTTTATATACTTTGGCCTCAAAGTACATATGTCCTTCATAGTCTAGCGGATATTCCTGATGCTCGCAGTCTTGGGCTCTGATAATGGGTCCTTTTAAAGGGGTCTATTGTGTTTAGAGGTTAAGGGTTGAGGGGTTGAGGGTTTAGGGGTCTTGGGCTCTAGGCGGGACGGGACGTCTAAATCAGAGCCTCCCGAGGTTCAAGGTGCGCAGCACGGAAGAGCTGTACCAGGCGAGAACGGTTGACGATTTGAATCCCGCATTTCCCATAATAGGAAAATACCATAACTTCCATAGTTTAGGGTCCTTAAGGTAATGCCGGATGTATATCATCAACAGGAACCGAAGGGAAGGGGTAGGGTTTTTGGGTTGTCTGCTCACGAATGCTTTAGGGTTTAGAGTATAGGGTTGTGGGTTTAGGCTTTCGAGTTGAGTATTTAGGGTCTGGATTTGTTGTGTAGGTTTTGGGCTGCATGAGTTTTGTTCTTTCAGGTGTGCTCTTGAACAGAAGCCTTTGTGCTTGACATCGCACATCCCTAAGTGTGCCGGAATTGTGCCGGAGCATAAGCTGGCGTGCTAGCAAGAGACGGCTTAAAGAGATGGTGTCGTTGGTACTGGCTTCGCACTTTGAGCCCAACAAGGGTTGAGGTGGGCCGCTCCACGTTAAACAAGCCAGAATCCTTGAACCAGCTGTTTGTTCCGACCTGCTCCCCGACAGGTAAATTGGAGTTTCCGAAATTAGGGGTACCGTATTTTGGTGTCCTTTTTTCGGAAACCTCCAAATATGTGAACCGGTTCATGCCCTGGCAGGGCTTTATTTTCTTCTAAAAGGAGCCCACGCACCCATATAGTAGAGTGCAGGGTTGCTCTTTTAGGAATGATCACTAGAATTAGGGAAATTATGCCCCGTAACAGTACCTTGCACCCTTTAGGTGTCTCAAAGTACTTAAAGCACCAAGTCCGAAAGCCCAAACATCCCTGAACCGTGAACCTTACTTGTAAAGGATCATGGAAATTTACATAGCAGCCACGTTTATCATTACGGTAGCTACATATATTTACATATTTACTTATACCCCCAGTTCAGCTACTTATCACCATACTTACTAAGTTCGATGATCCTGCAAGTAAACCCTCAACCTCAACCCCTAGAACCTTGCCTGAAGGCGCTTGATGAGAACATCCAGGCTCTATCCTCCTACAAGAGCTTCTTGGCTTTGTTTGTTTAGGTCCAAGGCATTGGGATGTTCATGGTTCAGCATTACGCTTCTTTTCTGAGGGTGTTTCATCGGTTGTCAAGGGATTTTGAGCTGAGGGTAGAGTTTAGTGTCTTTGGAGTTTAACGTTTAGTTTGGGCGTCGCGCTTCAGGATTTGGGAGTTTTGCAACTCAGGTTCGGGTGTAGGCCTACATTCCAGCATGTTGCAGTGGCAGACCCCCTCGTCCACCGCGACTCTGGCGCCCAAATGGTAGGAGTGCAGGCCAGCCTGTCTCAGATCATCAACATGCAAAGGTTACAAACGAAGAGTGTCATATCCGCTTTATTCGACAGGGTTGGGGTACCACGAGGCTTACTCTACATCCTGATAAAGCCTCCCAGGACAGGTTTCCAAGATTGTAAAGTCTTCTGAAGAGCTGACGCTTCTATCGCAAGACGACAGGCTCTCCCTTCTACCTGCCCTTTGCGGCGAAGGCTGGCTGGAATTGTGGTTGAAATGTGCACGCGGGGGACTTTCTTCTGGTGGCTTTCGGTAAGGCCGTGTTGTTGTATTAGCTGCTGAGGCAGCCCGTAACTAATGCAGGATTGAGAAACAGTGAGGTTGCTTGGACCACCAGGAAGTGCGTCCTTTTTTTGTTTTTCGAGATTGATGTCAGTGTAGGTGCGATCAATAGAGGGTCAAAGTTAGAGCTTAGGGGACTTCGCGAATGGTGCTGACTCTGTGCAACCAAAATAAGCCCTAATGAGCAACGATTAACCCGATATATATAATGGCTTCAATATACACATTAACCTGCTTGTCCAGCTATAGGCCTAAATATATTTTGGGGGTTTCCTGACTACAGTTATAGTATAATGGGCCCAAAACCCTATTCTGAGTACTAAGGCCCCTACATTAAGCCCCAATCATAAACACCGCGCAGTCATCTAATAGCCGTTAATGGCTTTCAATAGCTCTTAAGTCTGTTCTCTCCCAAGTAGAACTGCATTGCCAGGACCTGTGTCGGGTACTTAAGGACGAAATGAACCCTAAAGGGATTTAAGGTTCATATACCATATAGGGATTCATAGTATGTGGGTATAGGGCCCGTACTTTTAAGGGTCATTTCGTCCTTCAGGGTGGCTTTCATGTCTTAGGTTCTGTTTTCAATTTGGTGCGCCGACGCGACGGCGCTCTTAGGCGCGCCGAGCCCCCGCTAGAATCCCTCCATATCCTCCATGCACGATTCACGGTGACCTGCAAAGGGATTGCCCACGTGCTGTCCGCGATTTGTGGCGCACACTTGTCTAAGTTTATCGTCAAGGATGCGCCGTGCACTCGATGACCTGTCTGCTGCCCCGCCTCCGGGGCCGCTGTGCGCGGTGCCGCTTTCGACGAACAGTCGGTCCAATTCCGGTCTCTGAAGTTCTTGGCCGGCCCTTCGCAGGTGCGTTGCGCACCAGAACCAGCGAGCCGCCACCACTGCTGGACCGACTTCAGGAGAGCTAATATAGGGGCATAAATAATTACCAATACCATTTGGGGGGTTCCTTTTTTACAAATATGGTACAACGGGCCCCTTTCTAGCTGCTAAGGCCCCTATACTATAGAATCTATAGGACCCTTTCTAGTACCCCTTATAGCACCCCGTATACAGATCCCTTGAAAAGGAACCCTTACAGGAACCCTCTTCTAACTATAAGGCCCCTATATTACCAAGTCAGCGAGCCTCTGTGCGACGATGGTGAAGGCAACCTATCTCGCCAATCCTGGCGCTAGCCCTATAATGGTGCTATGAGGGCTCTATTAGGGGAGGTTCACGGGTAGTTATAACTGAGGTTTATGAAAAATTTCGGAGTTGGCGATATAGATCTTTCAGGTTGCTTCTTGAAACCTTAAGCCTTAAACCCTAACTTGAGCTTCGGAACCCGAAACCCTAGACCCCTACACCTTAAGCCTTAAATTCTGAATTGAGCTTCGGAGCTGGAGAAAGCTCTTGCTATCAGCAGGGGAATTAATATAGGTGCCTTAATAAGTGCCACCAGGCTCGTTCGACTCGCTTCTCTGACCGACAGATGTCCGTGAATATAGGTGCCTTAATAATGACCTAGACTATTTTTTTTGGGGGGGGGTCCCTGTCTTAATTATATTACATATACGTACATACATACATGCATACATACATAGTACTTGGGCACATGGACCCTCAGGGCCAATGATCCTTGCTGGTATGAGTTTCCGGGTCACCCTTTTTCATGTAGAAACCAACAGCTACGCATGACGTGGTCTGCTGTGAGTTCTTCATCGCTTCAAACCGTGGATGTTGCAGGATTTGTAGAGGAAGTTGATCTTAAGTTACGGCTTTGTTTTAGGGTGTAGGTAGGGCGTCTAGATTTCTGCGTCCAATTCCACATTTTTTTTAATATGGGCACCAGAGAGTAGCCTTCAAATTAACATCACCCTAACCCTCGACCCTAAACCAACCCTAAACCCTATTCAACATTCGTTCAGAATGCGGATATCTAGTAGCCGCAGCCTTACCCTTTGACTATGCCCTAAACTCACCCTAAAGCCAACCAATCCTAGAAATCCGGGCCAAGAGAACCTGACGTGCCAGGTGGAGCATTGGGAGAAGACGCTGGCAAACATCTCTGAGGTCGACTCAGGGTTTAGTAAAGGGTTTGTTGAGGGTTCAGGGTTCACGTTCTAGGGCTCAGTGTTTAGGATTCAAGGCTTGAGACGCTGAACCCCAGATGGGAGTTTCCGAAAAGAGGGGATTCTAATATAGTACCCTAAATAGTAGGGTTCCTTATTATCAGGACCCCCCAAATAAGGCACCCCTAATTTTCAGAAACTCCCAGATGCAATCCTTCCACGGATATCCCGGCCTCCCGAAGGGACCCGGCATGTGCGAAATCTTACTTCTTGAGGTTTCGCGAGTGCCTGTGGCTCCGATTTGTTCCTGTTGACCTGGAGCTTAGAAACTTGACTCTCGTTGATTCTCATTGTGATTTCCTTGTCATATAAGTCAGAAAAAGGTATGTTATTTGGGGTTTGGGTAGGGTTTACGAGTATCTACGTCGTCGCTCCTTCAAGCAAGGAGTGGTGTTTCATGGAAGAAAGCACCTGACGAGAGTCCTACTCATCCCAATTCGGGTCGAGCCTCAGCACAAATTGTCCTTAATCCGGTTTCCCATAAACCTTAAAGTTGGAGTCATCGCCTGCTGCCTCGTAGGGCCCGGAGCTGCAGGAACTCTTGCAGTGGCAGCATGTGTAGTGTTTGCAAACATTAGCCCTTCTTCGGTTCTTCTTATTCTGAGAATGATATAGTACTTCCAGGTTTGGACCGAGCAACATTCCAAAAAGATTCCATTGCACGTATTTACTCAGCGGAAACTGCACAGTAACTGCAGCCAAAGCCACAAACCTGAAACCCCCCAAACTCGAAATATCTCTTCGGTTGAGCGTCCTGGAGTTCTCAACATGACGTCACGATTTGTGTATCGCAGCAGCCTGGCCCTACTCCACTGGTCTGAGCCCCTGCGCAAGTCTCGGAAACAAAACTGAGCAAAAGCACTGATAGCCCTGACACCCAGTGTCTACAGTATTGCGGTAGTACTTAGATTCGCAAACACTGAGCCCTAGACACTTGACCTGAAAGCCTTTCGGCAGGTTACAGAGGCAATCCAATCCGTGCAGAAATCGTGGATGTGACTGGCCTGCAGTGGCTGGTGTTGTTTGTTTAACCTATCAGGGTCGGAGTACCTGTAGGAACCGTAACCTCTTTATATAGGCACATGGACCGTTATGGTTTGCCGCCAGCCTGCATGAGCATCAATTTTTGTCTCTGCACTCGCACCGCTCAGGTGGTAGGGCTAGCGAAAGTGGAGCACGAAATATACATAAACATCATTACATCACATAGCTTTCCAGAATCCACCTCGCCGGGTCTTATTTCAAGCACCCCAAGCCCCGCCCTAACATGAAAACCCGGTCGTCCCCAGCTATTCAATCCGCACTCAATGCAGTGCGGCGCAATCCTTGCCCATGCCAGATTTATCTTGGCAAGGCTAGGCCGTGGAGTGTTCTTTGTTACGACCAGTTTGTTGAGTGCTTGGGGATTCTGCGCTTAAGCCCTTTCGGTTTGCCTACTGTACAGATTTCTTGGTGCTTCAAGCTACAGCTAGGGTTCAAGACTCAAGACGCAGAGTTCAACATCAAGTCAGGATCAGCAGGCCTATACCCCGTGTTGCAATATCCTCATTTAGCTATGTATCGCCATAAGGCTCCTAAGAGCGTGATGGGCTTTCTGGTGGAGGGTTTCGGGCTTTCGGGGCTAAGGTTTGGGATTTCACTTCGAGGGTCCAGGAGCCTTAGGGCAGGGTTCGGGATGCAGAGTTTCGGCTTTAGGTTTGGGGCAGGTTCAGCTTCGTAGGTTCTGTGACCATCCCTGCCCCAAGACAACAGCATCTTTGAACCGCACGTTCTGAAATGGCTTACCTGATAAGCTGTCGTAGTGTGCGGTTCGAGAACCTCCGGTTCCAGGCATGCGAGATGACAATACCTTAACCCCAACATGTAAGGAACTCATAATAATAAGAAGAAGAAACCCGAAACATGTAGGTTCCGTAGGGTCCAGGTATGGACTAAACCCAAACCCAAAAAACCCTAAACCCTAAACCCTAAACCCGAAACCCTAAACCCTGAACCCTAAACCCTAAACCCTAAAACCCAAACCCAAAAAACCCTAAACCCTAAACCCTAAAACCCAAACCCAAAGACCCTGAAATCCTCCAAAGCCTGAGCCCGGCTCTGTGCTGAAATCCTAAACTTCATAGACCCTAAACCCTACTTAAAGGATCATGGGACTTAGTAACTAGGGTTATAATTAGGGTAACTATACTTATAACTACTTATAACTCCAATTAAGGTACTTATAACCATACTTACTAAGTCCCATGATCCTCCAAGTAGCCCCCCTCCACCTTCCCAAACCCCAAAGGGTCCAAGTATCATCCTGGTATATACTTATAGGGCATTTTGGGGGTCTAGTTATGTCCCATGATGATACTTGGACCCTTTGGGAAGGGTTTAGGGTTTAGGGCAGTTTAGGGTCGAGGGTTTAGGGAATCCTTCAAGCCCCAAGCTTTAAGACTTTAAGCAAGGTAAAACAAAAGCTACACAACAAAGAAGCCCAGACCATGAGCCCTCAACGGGGTTCATGTTTTGTGGTTGAGATTCCGAAGCCGTTCAATCCTCCTCCAAGGTACTTGGAGAACGTTTTCCGCGGCTCCGAAGATATTCGCCCACACCTGCCGGATGAGTCGATCATGTCACTTGGTATCCAATGGATTTTAAGCCAGTGCCAGTTAGGGGTTTAACTTTTAGGGCTTTAAATGGTATGAACTGATTGATGACTTGGAACAAGCCCTATAGACCGAAGTTCTGTGATTCAACTCCCTAGCTGACCCCTAAAGCTAAAGCCTGAACCACCAGACAGAGCCTAGGTACAACGTGCATGCTTCGGTTTCGGAAATCGAAAGTGCACCGTGTTCTTGCTGTTTTGTCGCTGTCGCTCGAGAGGCGTATCATGCTGTGGGAGCCAGGAATTTGGAAATCGATGGTCTGTCTAACCATTGATATTGGAGGAGCTAAGGAGCCAGGGATGATGGTAATCCCCATTAAATAAGGAGCTAAAGAGCCATGGAACCCCCAAAACCACTGGTTAGTAGGAATTTAAAAATCGATGGCCTGTCATCCCGAACGGCTGAAGGTTCGACGAAGTCAACGAGGGCTTCATCAACATGATGAGGCGAACAAGCACGGATTTCGACCATGTGTCCGTTTTGTTCTCTAGTTAATTTTTTCTTCGGGCACTATGTAGTAATAGGACATTATGAGTTACTTACGGGGTCTTCGGGTCTACAGAGACTACAAAGCAGCCTGCAAAGAGTTTAGCCTTAGCCCCTAAGCCGCTATATAGGTCTGAATAGGAGTAGCAGGGTATCTTTTTGCACTCCCCTATCGCAACATGCTGGATTTAGGGCTTGGGGTCTTCTTACCCTCCTACCCCTGGGGCTATGTCGAGCCTAGGGTAGGTACTTTGTTTATAGACTTTGACCCCCCGGTATACAACTTGTAGACTGGAGCACTGGGGTTTCCGGTGTCGATGTGCGGCCAAACTTCTATGTCTTTCACAGGAAAGCTTTAAACTCCAAACCTCTGCACCCGAAACCCTCAACCCTCGAAGCCACGGCCTATACCGACCCTACCCTAACACCCTGAAACCCATCCTTAAAACCAAACCCAAGCCAAAACTTCTCAAGTCGCCTGTGTCTTCGTACAGGAAGGTGTACCAGGAGGCCCATAAGCCATAAGACCCTGTACCCGTGTAAACTAGGACCTAGAGTAGGCCCTTATTCCTTTCTTTTAGGGTGCAGGTTCCGCTGTAATCCCCTTATATACACCAGAAAAGGCACCTTTTTTCTTCCTAGGTTGACCCAAACCCTAACCATAACCCCCCCCTAAACCCCACGAAAGATCCTCCTGGATTCTGTGTCTCCGCACAGGAAGGTGTACCAGGAGCCGCTGGCGACGAAGGCCTGCGCCCAGCCGAAGATGTTGGAGACCCTCGGATTCACAGTTTGGGGTTTAGGCATATTAGGCATTTTAGGGTTTAGGGTTTATGCAACTTATGTTTGGGGTTGAGGCTTCGGATGGGTTGAAGGGGCCTCGGAAAGGGTTCCATCATTTTGGAGTACTTGGGCCTGTTTTTGTGTGTGTCGCCGCATGTTTTGCTTGCCAGATGTTTCCAAACTGGTGTCGAATTTGATTTTTTATGGTGCTTTAAGCATTGATCATCAAAAATCCTTGTAGAGCCCAGGGATGTTTTAGAGGGGTGGCCTCCTTTCCCGAAATGCAGTCCCTCGAAGCCAGCACATCCTGGATTGAGAGCCGGGTCCAAACACGCATCAGCCGAATCCCTGAGACCTGCACAGCCGTAATTATGGAATATACCTCAAATCATACTAGGGGTCCTACCTTGATGTAATGTATAATCCTTAAAGCAGTGTGGAAGGTCTGGGCCCTGAATTAACCTCAAAGCCCAACCTCAAAGTCTGACTTAGAGTTTGCCCTAGTGGTCTCATTTCGGTTGGGCGTGGCTTTACTATAGGTTAGTATGTTGTTTGAGATTTTGATTCTTTGGTCCTTGGACCCTAGGGGGTCTTCAGCCTTTAGCCATACAAGGAGCACAAGCCCTGAAGGATCAAACCCCCGAGTTGTGCTAATTACTCCATGCCCTAAGGCTCCACGTACCTATACAGTACGTATATACTGAGGCATTAAATTAGCGGGGTTCCTACATAGGTACTGCACGGCCTTGGAGTGTACCATGGAGGTACACGCAGTCTCAGGGATAGTAATTATAGGAGTCCCTCAGAAGCTGTAAGCCAGCATGTCGGAAGGGGATAGCTACCGCTGCACAGTAGAATCTCAAGGCCTGAACCCCACACTTTGTGGCAATACTGAAGGGGCTTCGGGTGTAGGGTGTCTTGTCTAATAAGTTTGCCCTAGCTAGTGTAGGAGTCTTGTATCGACTTCTGCCTTCAGACGAGTAGCGACATGATAACTCGATGTTGTGCTGAGCCTTTTACTTTGTGTCTAGAGTCTAAATCACCCAAGCCCTAAGCCCAAAACCCCTGCCGCAAGGGTACTCGAGTTCAGGTTAGTCGTTTTGTAAGGTTCCTTGGAGCCTTCAAGGATTACTCAAAGGTATCCTTCCCTTATTGCCGGGCCTAATCCCTAAACCCCAAACCCGTAAATTAACTGAACCCTTTTAGAGGACCCCTTGCCGCACCTCCCAGGAATCTTCAGTCCTTTGAAGCTTCCTTGGAAACTCGGCGTGACGCGAGGGAGTGTTTTCGGTTTTGTTGGCTTGGGGTCTAGGGTTTTAGGGTTGATAAGGCTGTTTTGGTCATGGTTAGGTCTTACAGTTTAGGGCTTAAGGGTTTCAGGGTTTCGGGTTTAGGGTACGGTTCAGGGCTTGGGTTTGGGGCTTCAGGGATTCAGGTGTTGAGTGCTTAGAGTTCAGCATTCCAGCGACTGAGGGCTGCAGCATTAGGATGATTTGCCTTAGCGATGGAAGGCGTTACCCTTCACCCCGATTGAGACATGTTGCCCGTAGAAACTGTGGAATGGCACGGCTGGAGTATTGCTCTTCTCGTGTGTAAGCGTCGATAGTCGTCCTGATGATGACCCTCTATCGTTCAGAGTTCAAGCCCCCTAACATGGCCTAACATAGGGTTTCTCGCATCATTATCTCGTAGGACCCTGGCCCTAAACCCTAAACCCCTAAACCCTATAAGACCTAGACCCCTTTAAACCCTAAACAGATAAATCCTAAACCCTATCATTATGGCATGGGACCCTAAACCCTCGAGCCCCCAGGAGAACATCCAGAAAAAGCTGAACGACTACTTGGAGAAGAAGCGTCCGGAGCTTAGGATTTGGCGTTTCGGGTTTTTACATGTACTAAAGGGTCCCTAATAATGACCTATACTATTCTGGGGTCTCCTTATTGTAATTCTAATAGCCTATACCCCAAACCCCCATTCTAATTGTTGAGGCCCCTATAGTAGGGCCCTAACTTTGGGCACCCACCAAACCACACTCCAAGATAGCTGTCCGTACGGGGCCGCGATTTCTTCACGACGATCGGAGCAGTTCCCCTTGGGTCATAGCCTCTCGACGATCGGCCAAAACCCCAAACTCTAAACTTGATCTGGGGATCCAAAAACCTGCCGCTTTGGGGTGTTATAGGCTGTAAATTTATGTAAGGGGTCATTCCCCATTATTTTATAAAGATACGGGATACAGGTAGGGTTTATGAGGGTTGAGGGTTTCCCCTAAACCCTAAACCGAATCCCAACCCCTAAACCCTACACTCTCGCACAACTCTCCACAACAATGGTCGTCTCAGGCACATTACACAAGCCCCTTCTATCATAGGGATCCTTAGGGGTGTAGGGGGGAGGGGTGTAGGGGACTATATTTCCTTAAATAGGCCTTATTAGTCCTTATTATGGGCCTTAAGGCCCCCTACCCCCCCTCCCCCTACACCCCTAAGGATCCCTATGATTCCAGACCACAAGAAGCCCAGAAGTTCCATGAAATCCTCGGGAAGCTCAGCTTAAAGGACTCTGCGACTTTACAAACACAAGGGGTTTAGGGTTTAGGGTTTCAGCGTCATGAGTAGTTAATTAAGGTAGCTCAAAATACTCAGTTAATTGAGCCCATGGAGGTACTTACAACCTTCCTTACTAAGTCCCGATCAGTACCCGAAAACCCTAAACACTAGGTCAGTTCTTCCCACGCTTCTACTTCATCTCCAACGACGACCTCCTGGAGATCCTTGGGCAGGCGGACTTCCTTTTTCTTTAGGGCTTGGCAAAGCCTAAAGGCCAACAGTCAGACATTCGCAAACCTCAACGCGCAAACTTGTAGGGTCCTAATGAACCCTAAACCCTAAACCCTTTTAAACCCCTAAACCCTAAACCCTCTTAAACCCCTAAACCCCCAAGCCCCTAAACCCTAAACCGGAACCTCCATACTACACTTTTGACGGTCCTGAATCCCTAAGCCCTCCTAGCCTCGACATCCGAAGCATCGGGGCCTGCATAATGAGCCAAATGGGAGTTTCCGAAAATAGGGGTACCTTATTTTATAATCAGGATCCTACTATTTAGGGTGCTATATTAGGGTCCTATTTTCGGAAACTCCCAAATGACTCCGGAGTGTTCCTTAATAGCATTGTATTCACAAACATAGCTTCAATTCCCGTTTTGGTTTTTAAGGGCCTACTATAGCACCTCCGTTCCGTATACCCTGATATGTATAGCGCTCTCAAACGAACCCTTCACACAACCCCGAGCATTCAAGACCCCTTATCGGGCCCTTATGGATCCCTTTAAAGGAGCCCTTATCGAACCCTTATACGTCGCTTTGAGGGACCTCGTATCGAACCCCGATAGATCCTCTATAAGACTAGACCCACAACCCTCCAAGCAGTTTACCCCATTCGGCTTGCCAGGCAAGAGACCCCGAGCAGGTGCAGAAGCACATCAAGAAGTGCTTCGAAGGCCCCTAAACCCTAAACTCTAACCCTCAACCCTAAACCCCACAAACCTAGAGTTCAGGTTTAGGGCTAGGGTTCGTGACGTGCTTCGGACGTCCGACACGTTTCACTAGTTCAGGGCTTCACATAGTAGGGTTTAGGATTTGGAAATACCGATTTGGAGGAAGAACATCGTACGGAAGATTTGGTTGATGTCACCGACCCGTCTCTTCAACGGTTGCGGTTCCTTGATTGTGGTTCGGCCTGGTTATTTCAGACGCTGAACTGCCTCGGTCTAGTCATCTGTGAAGCTCTGACATTCTGACGTTATATTCCCAAAACGCCACATAAAGATTGAAACTCATGAACCCTTCCGGGAAAGTAAGTTGGTCTGCAAAAAGGTCCACGAGTACTGGTAACAAGGCACAACCAAAGAGCATCAAATCACTTAACCATGATGTCATGGTGTAGGCTGGCCTGGACACCATCGTAGGGCTCAAAACGGCCCAACAGCCTTGTATAGTATGGTCTTTGCGCCCAAAAGCTTCAATATATGAGTCCTTAGATCCCTCATCCCTAGATCCCTTTAAAGGATCCCTTATAGATCCCTGAAAAGGAACCCTAGATGAGTCCTTAGATCCCTTAATTAATATATGAGTCAGATCCCTAGGGTCAGTGGAGGACCTGCTTGCTGGCACACAGTGGAAGAGATAACTTCGCAGCTAAAATGGCCTCTGGACAAAGAGACGGCTTGATGCCTATAGGGTTCCCTAGGGTTCCTTTAAAGGGGTCTATAAGCGTTGGTTCCTTTAAAGGGGTCTATAAGGGTTACTAAAAGGAACTCTGCCTTTATTGCCAAGAAAGGAGATCTTTCGTGCATGTCGCAGACAAACTGGAATCTGCATCGAGCAGGTCAGGAAGCCTTGAGGAAACCCTTAAACGTGCCCTTAAAGAAACCCTTACAGAAACCCTTCAAGGAAGACACAAACCCAGAGGGCCCAATGCCAATACCCCTTAATTAAGGAATATGGCTTAAATTGTACAGGGTTTCATCTTATGAGTTAAGCTATATGGGAGTTTCCGAAAATAGGGGACCCTAATATAGTACCCCCAAAATAGTAGGATCCTTATTATAAGGACCCTAAAATAAGGTACCCCCAATTTTCGGAAACTCCCATACCATATATTCCTTAAATCAGGGGGTATTCGGCCCTCTGGGCTTAAGATCCCTTATAGATCCCCTTTATAAGGATCCTTTGTCACTGTTGGGTAACATTTTACATTTTATGGGTACTTAAACCCAATAAGGAATAAAAATGTACATTTTTAATCCTATCTCAACAATGAACTGGGATCCCTTTGTATAAAGGAGCCCTATTCCTTACTTAGGGGGTGCCCATAGGCGCAAAGTATTTTTTTTTGGGGATTACCGTATAGAACTCAAAAAGGAACCCCAAAAAGGAACTACTTTGGGGCCTTAGGGTAATTGGGCTCTCTGGGTAAAGCAACCCTAAACCCAAAGTGCCACAGGCGTGAAGTCGTTGGAGCTCCAGCCGCCCTCGCAGAATCGTCGATGGGAGGCCTTGGCCCAGGGCTTCGGGTTTAGTGCTTAGGGTTTATAGTAGAAGCCAGAAAGTTGGAACATCATTATCCTCATGCCCTAAAGGTAAAGTGTAAGGGATTCTAGCATTAATCCTCCTAAAACCATGTTCCAACTTTCTGGCTTTTACTATAGGGTTTGAGGTTTCGGGTCTAGGGGCTTTGGGGTTTAGGGGTTTAGGGCTTAGGGGTTTCGGGTTTAGGGATCAGAGCTGAAGTTTCGGGGTTTAGGGCTGAGGGCTTAGGGTTCAGTAAGGGTTTAGGATTTAAGGCTTCAGGATTTGAAAAAGGATTGCGGGTTCAGTGGTCCAGCCTTCAACCCTGCCTAATAATTAAACCTTAAACCATAACGCCTGAGCCCTATTCTAATGCAACCCTCCATTGACTAGGTAGAGCTTTGGGACATTTTATATGTTCTCTTATTGGGCGTAAGAATGCGTAAGAGGATCTTACCTACTTTTTTTGTAAGGCTTTAGAAGCACCTCCTAGTTGATGCTTAACCCGCAACCTTAAATAAAGCTGTAAACCCAGATCGTTTGGGGCTTCGGGTTCCTGGAATTCTGTTGGGTATCCATCAAAAACTAGGTAGGCCTTTGGGACATTTTATATTTTCCCTTATTGGGCTTAGTAGGAACATATTTACGAATATTTTTCAGAGGCATTAAGGGGCCAACCTAGAAAACCTTACTCCACAATCCTAAGGGATATTCACAAGTTGACCCCAAGCTTCCAAGGACCTCATGATTTGGGCCCTGGACCCCTTAAGGACAAAATAATGAGGTCCCCGGAAGCCTGGGGTAAGTCATGTGTCTTGGGTGGCCGCTGGAGGTTCGGATTTTTGCTTGACCCTAAACCCTAGACACTAAACCCTAAACCCATAAATACTAAACCCCCCAAACCCTAAACTCCAAACCCCTAAACCTTAAGCTTCACTGTGAGGCTGTGGGTTTGAATGCTCCGGATGGCGAGCGACACTCGGCCAATCTTAGGGTTCAGGGGGTTAGGGGTTTAGGGCTTATGGCGGCGCTTTTTTCGTTTTTGTGTAGGTGAAGAGTGTTGGGCAATGTTAGCAAGTGGTGTGAGCGTCTTTTTTGGGGGGGCTGCAGCGTTCTTTATATAGATCCTCATATTTGGGGGTGTTATATTTCTAGGGTACCTGAATCAGGTAAGTTGCATCTATGTATCATGTGTGTGCATGATAGCAACATGGCTGGAGTCAGAAAAAAGATGGAGTCAAATTTGAAAAAAATTTTGATTTCTTACATTAGCAAGCAGTGAATCCATGAAGCGCTCAAGCCTCCAACGGAAAACTCACACTCTCTTTGAGCCCTCATCTCTCAACCAAAGCCACAGCCCCATATCGCCACCGCCCCCGCAAAAACTTACAGACTTTCACAGCTTGCCCCATTATCCTGTCAAGACCGTGAACCTCTGCAGTGCTGTTGGTGATATAGATCCTGCACTACCTTTAGGACCTTAGGATCCGAAACTATTGGAATTATGGTATATTCCTTATGATGGGTAATGCAGGGTTTATATCATCAACCGTGCTTCAAGGGTTCGGACATCTTAACCCTTACAGGCCCGAAGCCCGAAGTCCTAAGCCACAAATTGTCCCAGCAGCCCTACAACCACAGTAATCACAGGACAGCGCTCATAGGTGAATGCGAAAATCATGATCCCCATAGTACAAGTACTAAAGCTTCATGACCGAAACCATGTATGAATCGAATGGATCCTTTAGTAAGTCCTCACAATGATACCATCAACATACTAGCAATAGGCCTTTTGTTGCTGCTAGTGCCGTTGTACCTTGTGAGTCTAACGGCATCAGGTGAAAAGATGGTGGCGCCGGTGAAACTGGAAGGGCCAGTCGAGGCCAGAAACAAAGCATAGGTTTAGGGCTTAGGGATTCAGGGTTTGGGGTTGGGATTTAGGGTTTAGGGTTAGGATTTAGGGTTTAGGGCTTAGGGTTTAAAGGGTTTAGGGCTTAGGGTTGAGGTGCTCGGTATATCTGGGCACATCCGCATGTGGGTTGTAAACACTTGTTGGGTTCAAGAACCTACGAAGGTTGCATATTGAAGATAACCCCAACTCTGGCGCTGTATATTTATTGCGCGAAGAAGTTTTGCGAATTGAGGCAGGCCTCTTTCTTTCCGCGTGGTAGGGCAAATTGGGTCTTCTCTGTCTCCGGGACGTGCCAACGAGTAGGCCCTGATTCCCGGGTTCAGCTTCCCTTATAATCCCTTTAACACAAACATGTTCCTAGGTTATGCTCGGGTCTAGACTCTACCCTAAGGCTCCTAAGAGGGTCATGGGATCTCTGGGGCAGGGTTTGGGCTTTGGGGGCTCGGGTTTGGGATCTCACTACGAGGGTCCAGGAGCATTAGGGTAAGCCTAGACTCGACCTTAAAACCTGAGCCCTGTATGGCCGCCTCGGGGCTTCAAGCTCTCACGTCCTTAAGCGACAGCTCGGGAAGACTGGAAACAGAAGCTTCGGTCGTTCCTGTGACTTACTTGGGTACGGCCCCCACTCAATAATAGTTGATCTCAATAAGAATTCATAGTATGGATGTATTAGGACCTCAGTAGTAGCCTGATTATAGACTCTTACTGTATGGGGCCAGCACCTAACTTATTACGACTCACCAGGCCACTCTTCTCAAGGAAAGAGAAGGTGTCGAGGCTCAAATCACAGAAGCGCCTTGCCGTCAAAATCTAAAGTTCGAAGTCGCCGCTTTAGGGTTTAGGGCTTCTACCTTTCCCCAGCATCTCCCCACCCCCCAACCCCCTAACAACCCCTCGAAACTCAAAACCCAGTTCCCTCAACTCTTCACCCGCCCCCCCCCTTTCCCTGAAACAAACCCCCAGCTGCTCAGGTGTGGCTGGGCCTCGTGGAGAAGCGCATGTTCGAGTCGCTGAGGGCCCATCTCGTGAAATGCCACAACATGACCCATGGCGGGGTGAACTTTTTGTTGTGCATATTCGGGCAGGTTTTGCAAGGGGTTCCTATGTAACACCTATTCCTTGCTTGCTAGTGCTGCTGTTGCTGCTGCCGTTGCCCCGAGCGCTAGTGCTAGTGCTACTGCAACTGCCACTACGACTCCTGCGACTCCTCCTCCTCCTCTTCCTAAACTCTCGTTATGAACCCTAAGTCCTACACCCTTAACCCTGATCGCCATACCCTAGTCCTAAATCCTTTCTATGAACCCCAAGACCCAAATCCCAAGCCTTATGAACCCTGAACCCTAAACCTAAACTCTTAGTCCTAAACCCCAATTCCTTCGCCCTAAACCCTTAGTCCTAAACCCCCTAGTCCTAAACCAGAAACCATTTATCCGACACCCTAAACTCTTAGTCGTAAACCCCAAATGCTTAGTCCTAAAGCCTAAACCCTTAGTCCTAAACCCTATAAACCCTTACTCGTAAACCCCAATACTTCCCTAGTCCTAAACCAGTAGTCAATTGTCCCAAACCCTTATCCCTGGACCCCTACTTGGAGGGGCAGGGAACTTAGTAAGTAAGTTATAAGTAGGGTTATAATTGGGGTAACTCCATTTAGGGTACTTATAACTCTACTTATAACCATACTTACTAAGTCCCCTGCCCCTCCAAGTACACCCCGAAGACGCTGCCCAGGAATATCAACCCCAAGGCCGGCTGAATCTGCTGCCTTTTTTTTTGTTTTTGGAGGGGGGGGGGTTGAGAGGTTTAGGGATTTTAAGGGTTTTTGGGGGGTTTAGGGTTTGAGGGGTTTTCGGAGTTAGAGGTTTTTGTTGGTGGGTTCAGGGGTTTGGGGGAATTAAAGGTTCTTTGGGGTCTAGGGCGGCTTAGAGCTTTCAAGGGAGGTTTTAGGATTTGGGGATATAAGAGGTCTGGGGGTTTGGGGGTTTATGGGGTTTAAGGATTCAAGGGGTTTGGGCCTTTCAGTGGTTTTGCTGTTGAGGGATTTAGGGGTTGGGGTTTGGGGTTCCTTCAGGGTCTACATTGGCTTTTGTTGTTTACGGTTTAGGAGTTTTGGGGTGTAGTGGTTCAGGGATTTGATGGCTAGGGGTCGAGGGCCTCGGGGGGAAGGTTTTGTGTGGCGCAGGGCTGCGAGTTAGAGTCAGAGTTTCAAAGCTCCACAGAAATTGAGCTTCGAATATCAAGGCAAGTCCTGCCTGGAGCTTCAGCTGTGGATAATGATTGCTGTCTAATGCAGTGGCCTGATCAAGAAACCCTGGCCCAAATACTAGGATCCAAACAGCCCTAATAAAGATGCAAGGTGTCTTAATCAGATTCCAAGACTACCTTGTCTCCGTGTTACAAGATCCCAGGCTTGGATTGGTTTAATCCGGCTACCTAGAACAAACCCTAAGAGTCCAAGTACTTAGCAATCATATTACCCTAAACCCTAAACCCTAAACCCCTAAACCCTAAACCCTAAAGATGACTACTATCCGACTCCGTGATCCGAAACCGGAGAGTGCCGTATGGTTTGCTTCGTTGGACGCTTAGGGAAATGATTTGGCGAGTATTTATTAGGTCTTGTTGTTTTGGGAATAATCATGCAGCCGAACAATCAAGAATCCTGAACCTCAAGATGCACGATCTTCTCTTCCTGAAATCTCACAACATGGGCCGATGAAGGCCTTGTGGCTTAGGGTTGAAGCTTTTCGGCCCAGCGTTCATGTCCTTGAACACAGCTCATCTAAGGCCCTTAACTCAAAACTAGTCCTTCAAAACCCCAAGCCCTAAACCTTACTGTGTGAGCCAGTTACACTCAATAAAGACGTACGCGTACACCCTGAAGCGTAAACCTAAACCTTTGAAAACGCCATATCCGAAGTCCACTGAAGACATATTCCCTAAACCCATCAAGACTAAGAGCCCTCTACCCAAACCCCTTTTTGCAAACCATATAGAATCCGAGCTAGAAGCCCCGCAAAACTCCAGTGCCTCCAGGCCTCAAGCGTGCCAACCCTACAAACAAAACGCATCCCGGAACCAGGCGATGAAGAAGGAGAAGTGGGTGAAGGAGTTCCTCGGACAGCTTCTGTTCCCCGCCCAGCATTGGCAAGCTAGTTCTTGGCTGTTGAGTAGCTGTTGTGGAAAGGTGCCCCTAAAACCTCCACAGCGTAAACACCCTGAACACCTTGAGTCCCAATTCCTGGAGCTAAACCCCAAACCCGACAACACTCTGGCTCTACCATAGGCTCCATAGTAGTTCGTTTTTGGGGTTCATATCTAGGATCCTATAAGGTAGTCCCCAAAAGGAACTGCTATGGAGCCTCTGGGTAAGCCTCTACGCTGGCATTCGTGGGTCAAAGGATCACCTCTGGACAGATCGCTTGGACCACGGATTGCTCGGCCGCCCTCGTCAAGGCGGATTTGGGTAGTTCAATAAACTGGGGTTCCTTTTCTTTTGAAAAGGACCCTAAAAGTAACCCTAACTTAGAGACTGCCCATTTGGGTTTTGAAGAGGGGAAACAGTTCAGTGCTGTAGTCCGTCGCAGTTCGAAAACGGTTTGGACATGTATTACAGAACGTTTGGGATCTGCTTTTGGGAGTTGAGGTTGAAGTTTTTGTTAGGGTTTGAGCGTTTCGCGAATCATGACCTTTGCAGTGCAGGGTTTACGGTCTAGCAATTTAGCAGACGGTAAAGGTTGAAGCATTTTACTCGTTTACCAGGACATCCCAAGGTATCCTTCATACAGGCCTTACGGTCTTTCATGGCGGGTATGTCAGGTTTAATGAAAGGCCGGTTGGTAATCAAGGTAAGTTGGGGCAGAGGCTGTACTGTACTGCTCAGGGTTTTGATGGCTTGGCTCTCCTCGTTGTGCCAGTGCCCAGGGCTTAGATATCCCTGCGGGACGATATGCCCATACCGGATATTCTGAGGCTTTAACACTGGAGCCCCTTCAAAAGTCTGAGTATTACAGCACATGGCTACTTGTACACTTCTCTAAACTTAAGTTGAAACTCGCTCTTGGTACCTGAATGTTCATGAAGTGAGTGGGTGTTGTATATGCACGACATTCGCTCAAGCATGTTTGCACTTTCTGTCCATGCACGTCTTCAAAAAGACGTTCTCAGAGAGACGTGCGCTTTTCTTCTGAGATTTATGATATTGATATTACCCCCTTTACAACAACCCTAGAACCTCCAAATTAGAAATCCCGACGCCCGAACATGCTGAGTCTCGGTGGGGCATGAAGAAATCTACACGGCATAGTAGCCAACACCACCTTGAAGATCCTGGCGCTAACCCAACCCTTAAAACATAAACCCCTAAACCCCTTGAAGACCTCTTTCATTCCCGACTGAGAGCCGGCAAGAGTGGGTTTCTATGGAGTTTAAGCTTCCGCAGGATGGAGCAGGTGCCTTCAATGCAGCCCTAAACGCCGAATGCTAAACTCCGTACAGCACGCCCTGTACCATCAGCCTGAAAGCTTCAACCCACAAGCCTGCAACTTGCTCGAAACATAAATAAGGGCCTTTTCCTCAGGTAGAGAAGGGCCACAAGAATGCACTCAAGACTGCCTTTGCTGCACTGTGGTGAGAGAGTATGGGTTTGGGGTTAAGGCGGTCTAGGGCCTGGCCACTGGGCATTTGAAGTGTAGGGTGCTTTGGATCGTGCCTGGAGGGGTTTTAAGCATTCATGGACCACTAACCCCTCTACCTGCACCTCTACGCAGCTTCGCTCCGAAAGGAACGAGCGACACCCATTATGGAGCCTTAGTAGAAGAATCCAACCCTGCGCACCCCTACATAACGTTGGGTCCCATGGCTTCGGGACACCGTACAGGGTCCCTCGTTCAGACTCCTACTCCACGTTGAAGACAATTCTTAAAGCAGGCGGTACTTCAACCGCAAGCTCATACACCCCAAACAGGGTTTTAGGGTTTAGGTACCTGTGTTCATGTTGAAGACCACTCGAAAAGCCTTGGGGCTGCGGATTTGCGGCTGGAGTTTTTCGGGTTTGGGACCAGTTTGGGGAAAAGGGTTCGCAGGGTTGGGGGGTTCAGGCTTTAGGGTTTGTGTAGGGCAGCACCGGCACATGCTCGATCTGCCAGCAGCGACTACAGGCAACCAAAACAAGGCTGAAACCCGCCGAGCCTCGACTTCGTAACAAGGGTTGAGGGTATACCCATAGTCTCCATTGTAGTTCCTTTTTGGGGTAACCTATATAGGATCCTTAGAATGTTCTTTTTGGTTAAACCAGAAAAAGGAACTACGATGGAGACTATAGGTAGGGTTGAGGGTTTGGGGTTTAGGTTTAGGGAGGAACCTCGAAGTAGAAGCCCTCAAGCTATACCTCCCCCACTTCAAGCAACAATGTAAACCCTCTGACCCCAAGTTAAGATTGAATGGGGCACCAAGCAGGACGCTCAAGCGCACGCAGAGCAAGTACATCAGCAAGCTTTGCGAGATGATCCGCAAGGGCCTGACCAAGAATCCCGGCCTTTTGCTGGGTTTTGTCGGGTTTGGAACGGTGCTGGGCTGAGTGGCGTTCTGCCCCCTGCTCCTGCGACCTAAGAGTTTCGGGGTTTGGGCTTGACACTAAAACCCTGAACTCTAAACCCTAAAGGCTTAAAGACCTGAAGACCTAAATCCTAAAGTCTAGGCGGATTTCGCCTGGAGCTCTCACGATTTCAAGGGGGGGGTATGCAGTCAAGGGCTCCAGTCTGGGTTGTTGTTATGGAACATATGCGTGGTTGTCAAAATTACGGTCCCTTTGGGGTCCTTATTAGAATACGGCACCTATTATTTAGGGTACCCCAAAAGGGACCTGATTTTTTGCAATTGCCCGTATGTTAAGTTACCATGATTGGGATCTTTGTCGCGTCTTTCTACGCGGATTCAGGTTAAATAAGTCCTGACAAGAGCCCAGCAGTGTCGGGCACACCTAGAACATAGAATGTAGTACCTGCTTTCTTTGGACAACCTACTTTATGGTTGCGATCCTATAGCTTTTTGAAATGAAGCAAGGCAGCCAACAGAAGAGGTACAGCATTTTTGTGTCTAGGGCATTTGGAGATGCGAATAGTTGGTCATCAGTACGCCCTAGGCCCTGTAGTTAAATCACCAAGGTCCAGGCCTAACCCTAAACCAGAACCCCTACAGTAAGCTCTAAACTCTAAGCTCTAAACCAATAACGCCAGACCCTGAACCCGAAACTCGAAGCCCTTAACTACACCCCCAAAGCCCTAGACCTTAAGCTAAGCCCTATGGAACCCGAAAAAGAGCCCCCTTCTGCTTTAGCCCAGGATCGAACGAAACAAGCATCCCGGCAGTCAAGGTAAGAAGACCCGAGGGGGCCACGGGGTTGGTTTTCAGGGTTGAGGGTTTACCCTAAGGCTCCTAAGAGGGTACTTAAAGGGCTCCTCAATAAGGGATCTATAAGAGGGGTTTCAGGGTCTACTTCAAGGATCATGTGACTTAGTACCTACCCTAAGGCTCCTAAGAGGGTCATGGAATCTCTGGGGTAGGGTTTGGGCTTTGGGGGCTGAGGTTTGGGATCTCACTACGAGGGTCCAGGAGCATTAGGGTTTAGGGTCCTTTTTGTATGGGTGCGGTATTGTTTCGGGGACCTATAAAGGGACGCTGATTTAGAGAACTACCCATGTGCTCACGGGTTGCAACGGTCCGCTTTAGGGTTCCAGTAAGGGTACCGGTGCCATGTAAGGGTTTTTGGCTTAAGGGTCCAGGTATTGGCGTAGGAAAGAAGAGGACAGCGGCGGTTTCGGGATTTTCTATATCCTACCCTAATGCTCCTGGACCCTCGTAGTGAGATCCCAAACCTCAGCCCCCAAAGCCCAAACCCTACCCCAGAGATCCCATGACCCTCTCAGGAGCCTTAGGGTAGGTACTAAGTCACATGATCCTTGAAGTAGACCCTGAAACCCCTCTTATAGATCCCTTATTGAGGGTTTAGGGTTTAGGGTTTAGGGCCCTACCCCGGAGACCCTTGACCCTCTTAGGAGCCTTATCCTAAGCATGCTCCCCTGAACGGTGGCTGCTCGAAAGCTCTGGGGATTCAACCGGCCGAAGCAGATCCAATCCCATTTCTCGGGCGATCTCCTTGCAGCAGCTGGCAAGTCTGGTAATATCGGGGCCTAAATAACTACCTGTACTATTTTTTTGGGGTGGGGTTCCTTATTAGGATTATAGTATAAGGGGCCCCAAAAGCCCATTCTAATTAAATTAAGGCCCCTACAGTACCGCTTCTGCAGATCAGCGACTGAATTCTAGCGGCGAGCCTAAGCAGACTGCATCCGCTGGACGTACCTTCCTGTCCTTGTACTCATAGAATAAATACTTTGGCCTAGTAGTCCATATATAGGCATTGTGGGGCCAAAGTATATACTGTTTGGGTACATGGACCCTTCAGGGTTAGGGGAAAAAGGTCATATGCGTAAGCATTTTAGAGGCTTAAGGGGCTTCATTATAAGGGGGCTCTATATGGGATATCCTTATCCTAATGTTTGCTTCTCTGCTTTTTGGGGGGCCCTACTTGATGCTGAAGCCTGAGCAGTGTGGTCTTCCGAGTCAGAGTGTCGCGAATACAGTCTCTACCCAAAGGGTCCAAGTATTGTTATGGTACATACTTAGACCCCCCCAAAATACCCTATAAGTATATACCATAGTGATACTTGGACCCTTTGGGCTAGCCACTGCAGCTGCAGAGGACGGGTTCCTTTAAAGGGCTCTACAGGGGTACTATAGTACTAGAATATGCACCTTTAAGATCAAGGTTGCAGTGTGGCAGCCGGAGACTAGCGCAGATGGGTAAATTGTGTATCAACAAGATCGACAATTTGACAAGTGGAGATTAATCCCAACACCGCCCCTAGCGTCAGGGCATCACGGTCCATGTACCCAAGCGTATACTCTGACACCCAAAGTTATGTACCGTCATTTTCGACTTTTGGGTCCGACGAGGATAACGGTGCGAGTAGAAGCTCGGTTGCATATGACAGGGCGGTCCGAGGGGAGAGTCATGTAGCCTCAAACCCTGAAACTAGCCAAAGTCGTCTAGCCCTCAGGCATTACTCAAGCGCCTACCCTGGGCCTCAAACCTCGAAATTTGCATCCTAAACCCTGCTCCTCAGTTAAGCCCTGTCACCTCGATGCCAAGGTTGGTGGCACTGATCACCATCGAGGTCCATGCACGCGATGTCCAAGAGCGCATGTATGCGTGGGTCTGAGAGGGCGTTGCTTAATGAACAAGTGTTTGCTGATTTGTGCCTTCGGGACCAAATGACCCTCATAAGTAGGTACCCGACAACCTTATTCTATGAATCCCTATATCATATATGAACTTTACATTTTTTAGGGTTCCGGCAGTCCTTAAGGTAGTGGGACTGTTGATCTAGGTATTGCTCGAAGCTGTCCAGTTCAGGGTTCTTGCGTTTAAAGAATTGTACCCAAGACGCTATTTCAAAAAAGAAAAACATTCGCTAGCCCTAGCTCTAGAGACCATAAAGGCTTCACACCAAAACACTTGTAAATCATGAGTAATATCAACTTGCGGTTCTTTTCAAGGAGAACAACAGACATAATTAGACCCTGAAGCCAAAACACCTTAAACTACGAACCGCAACTTGCAGTGACCCTTATGGTCGGCTCCATAGTAACGCTCAACGGAGCCCTTGAAGGAATTCTCTTGTTGTTCATGCAACTCTCAAAGTCTTAAACGAACCATTTTGACTACGAAGCAGCCGAGGCTCCAAAGACATAATCCCTAAATCCCACAACCCCTACCCTATCCCTCCAAGGACCTCATAGTTAGGGCTCTAGACCTCTTAAGGACCCCATGAGGCATAGGGCTAAGCTTTAAAAAGGCAAAGGAGCCGTTCAAACTGCGCAGCCCGAGACTCCCGGGCCCTTCACCCGTAAAGAAAGCCACTCAAAGTACGAAGCAGCCGAGTCTCTGAAGACCTTATGGGAGTTTCCGAAAATGGGGAGCCCTAATATAGTACCCTAAATAGTAGGATCCTTTTATAAGGAGCCCTAAATAAGGTACCCCCAATTTTCGGAAACCCCCTTATAGCAACACAGACCATACACCCTGAACCCTAAAACCTGAACCCTTAAAGGAACCCTGAGCCCTAAACCCTTAAAGGAATCCTGAAAAAAGCCCTTAGCGGAACCCTAAGAGGATCCGCTTAAGGGAAACCTTTAACGGAACCCGTTCGAGGCTTTGAAGACCTTATAGCACCATAAGGGGCCCCAAATCAGGAAGCCCGAGCCGTAAACCGTTAAAGGAACCCTAAGCCCTAAACCCTCAAAGGAACCCTGAGCCCTACACCCTCAGCCCTAAACCCTTAAAGGAACCCTTAGTAGGAACCCTTGGTAGGAACCTTTAAAATACCCTTAAAAAAAAACCTTAAAGGAACCCCTGCAGCAGCCCATTCAAGGAAACCTTAAAGGACCCCCTTAAAGGACCCCCCCCGAGGCGCTGAAGATTATAGATCCCTGTAAAGGAACACATTATAGATCCGTTTAGATCCCTAAAAGGACCCACTATAGATCCCTTTAAAGGAATCCATTATAGATCCTTTTAGCTCTAACTACTAAACCCTAAATCCCTAAAGGATCCCCTTTAAGGAACCCTTAGTAGGAACCCTTGGTAAGAACCCTTAAAGGAATCCCTACAGGAGCCCATCAAAGGAAACATTAAATGAAAGGATCCCCCTTTAAGGAACCCCCCCCCTCTTCCGAGGCGCTGAAGACGGAGTCGCCCAGCAACTTCAACTGGACCTCGCAGCTTCGCTTTGAGCTCCGCGAGAGCCAGGAGGACCGGATGGGCTTTAGGGGGTTCCTTTAAAGGGATCTATAAGGGGTTCCTTTAAAGGGATCTATAAGGGGTTCCTTTAAAGGGATCTGTAAGGGGTTCCTTTAAAGGGATCTATAAGGGTTCCTTCAAAGGGATCTATTAGGGGGTCCCTTTAAAGGGATCCATGAGGGGTTTCTTTGAATGGATTTATGGGGTTTGGGCTTTAGGGTTTGGGGTTTTGGGGTTTGGGGTTTAGGGTTAAATATAGGGGGGTCCTTTAAAGGGATCTATAAGGAGCCGTTTAAAGTGATCTATTAATTAGGGTTCCTAGAGGGATCTATACTATAAGGGGTTCCTTGAAAGGGATCTGTGGGGTTTAGGGGTTTAGGGTTTAGGGTCGCTTTGAGCTAAGCGAGAGCCCAGGAGGATTTTTAGGGTTTCTTTGAGGATTCCCTTACTTCAGGGATCCATAAATATTCCTTTGATTTAAGGCCCGCTTTACAAGAATCCCTACAGTGCCCTGAAAGGACGCCTTCTAGCACACTAACGCAGCCTCCACTGCACCCTTGAAGGAACCCCATATGCCCCATATATGCAGTGCGCTATAGTTCACTTAGAGGAGCCCCGAAAGTACCCTTCTGGGCCATATGTAAGAGACAAACACCAGCTGCAAAAGAAAACGAACTTGAAGCTTCATGGGGCGGATGGCTGATGATAAAAATCCTGCAGTACCCATAACAAAGAATGTACCCTAAATCCCCATAGTTTCAGGTCCTCAGGGTAATGCAAGATTTGTTTCATCAACCGTAGTAAGTAGTTTAGGCTGAAAGTAAGTTGTAATTGGTATAATCTTACTCACGGCACCTATAACCCCAATTATAACCCAACTTGCTCAGTCCCTTGAGCCCTAAACCCTAAACCCTAAAACAGGAGGCAGTGAGTGGGCAGGCGCCGGTTCCCATGTGCGTGGTGCTTCAAACGAACACCACGGCCCCTTACGGCCACTCGGCAAGTGCCACGGGGTTCGATGGTCACGATATAGGGCATGGGGGTTAGCAGGACAGTTCGGTAGGCGTGCAGTGAGATATGATACGGCTCTGGGATTGCAAAGACTCAAAAGGTCATACATATGTATATATATATATATATACATATATATATATATATAGTTAGTTAGCTAGTGGTAGATACGGCTTAAACTGGCCTTAAAGGAGATTCCCGTTTGCTGGCTTCAAACGTTGTAGGGTCCTACAGGTTTAGGGCTTAGTGTGCCGAACTGACCCACGGGCTTTAAACATGGGTAAGACCAGATCCCTAGATCAGAAGCTCCAAGGGTAAAAGGAGGGACCCTTAATAAGGACCCTTAGAGAAATACCCGTAATATAGCCATTATATACCCATTATATAGCCCATTATTGGGTAGGGGTCCCCATTAAGGGTCCCTCCATTCCCCCTTTGAGAAGCCACAGCTGCAGAAGCATGAACTCCCAAGGCCCTTCTTAACAACTGCCAGCAAGTCCAAACCCAAGGCTATGAGTATCAGGGCAACAACGGCCGACTGGTTGTCACGCCGATGACTGACCGATGCTACATGAGCCATGGCTTGATATCAGGGTTGATGATTTAGGATGATGGGTTCAGGTCGAAGGCACCGCAGCAAGTCGACCACTAGCGAGATTTGTCTTTGTTCGTAAGGCCTGGGCTAGATTCCGTTTACATGTAATATTTTGTGATCCTTGGATCTTCTTGTGCAGTCATGGAGCATAGACGCACCTGCCATCGATATCTTGGGTTCAGGACTTCGGGTTTATGAGTCGGCATGAGTTTGAAGAGCTCTCGGCGCACAGAAAGGCTTTGTAGTGCCTCAGGCTCAACCCTTAATCCCAATCCCACATCTCGCAAGATGTGTATACTTTGTCTGAAAAGCTAAGTCCTTACAGTTTTTCATGGTGGCGCATAAATACTGCGTCTGCCTCGCTAAGGACGCTGACTACGGATCTTTGACTGCCAGACAGCAGTTTTTTGCTGTTTGTTTAATGCAGGGGTTGTGTTTTGTGTAGTAGTGTCGGGTTTCGAGGATTTGAGCTCAAGAGTGACCTGATCTATTTGGTCTTTCGGCACTGCCGGCTTTGCTTTTGGCAAGCTGGGCTTCTGGGTATGGGACCTAAGCCTTCAACTCAACGTCTGTGACACGTCAGTCTTGGGTCTGCATATCTACCCCAGAGGGTCCATTTACACTACTATTACGGAATTAGGTACCGTAAGACCATCCCTCTTATGGTTTTGGGGGGCCTAATTCCATAATGGTAATGCATATGGACCTTCTGGGTACGATGTGCTTGATGAGGGCATGCGCACCGTAGAACTTTACAGCAACAATTCCGAGGTCCAGGTATTATGCGAACGGACTGCGATGCCTTGTCAAGATCTAAGGTGTCACTATAAGAGCTGTGAGCAAGACCGTGTAAAGTGCAAGAGAAGGGGGCACGCTACGCGTCCCTCGACTCTAAGGGGGCACGCTACGCGTCCCTCATCTTTACCTTTCTATGTGACCGCCCACGCAACGTTTGGCTCAAGTCAATGCCCATAGCTAAGTGCTATAAGTGTCTTCTATCCTGAGCAATCAGAGCTATCCCGTTGCACAGACGAACCGCCGCCGGCAGTGAGTGCAAAAGGAACGGCCGCCGGTTCTGCCTGCATAGGATTGCACGCGTGGAAGTGTAAGAGAGACAGGGTCCAGTCTGTGGAGAGTGCAAGCCAGCCACACCTACATTCATTACAGCTCTGGTGGGGAGAGCAGCAACCTAGTCGAGATCAATCCCCCACGCAGGTTATCAGCCGTACGCGGCTCTGCCTTTCTACAGCAACGACTACTTGATCTACTACGACCACAATGAACTCGGGATCAAGCCAAGATACGACAATGACTTTCGGTGCCGATGTGGCAGCGCCAGCCGTTGGTGAGTCAACAGCTGATGACACAGTGGTGCAATCCGTTGATAGCTCCACGGAAGATGACAAAGGTCAATCTTCTGCGCTTGCCATTGCAAAGGCAGTTCCCAAGGTGAAAGCAAAGAGTCTACCAAGAGCATCTACGCCTTCGCGTCCGACATCCACAGGTTCGAGGACGGGCAAGGCTCCCGAACGACGAGCCGAAGCGTCTGGTTTTCAGGCACCTCGGACTACGTCCAGGGCCAAGGACAAAGGAGTGAAGACCTTGGAAAAGAAGTCAAGACCATCATCTTCGAGAAGCTCTTCAGCACGATCGAGGACTTCGGCTACTCGTGGGCGTGACAAATCCATGACTTGGAATCGGATGGTTACCAATCAACCACGTGATGCTGACGATCTGGATATGACTCTGGACACTATCCCAGCACGTGGTGATGCATCATCGGTGACCACGCCAGCCATAGCCGATGGTCCGAA